TCAAAATTAAAACAAAAAGCTAAATAAACAAATTTAATTTTAAATCAAAAATAAATAATATTCTCTTTATTTTATTTATTTATTTTCTCTTTCTCTTTATATCCTAATTCTATATTTGGATTATTTTTAAAATATTTTTTTGGATTGTGAAATAAAAATAAAATTTAATATGCACTTTTTTTTAATTTTTTTAATTGTTTCCAAAAATATTTAATAATAGGTAATTTAATTTAATGAAATTAAAAATAAATAGAAAGGAGAAAAGTCTATGAATCTATTTTAATTAACAAAAAAATAATATAACAATAGTCTTTGTTCACAAAATTTTTTTTTAATTTTTTAAGTATATGTAGAATTAAATATCTATCATAAAATTACCAAACAAATAAAAAAACTTCAATTAAAATCTATAAATCAGTAAAGCTTAAAAATAATGTAACAACAACTTAATCAGACCTTTTTAATTAAAAAAAACATATCCCAGTCAATAGAAAAACGAAAAGAAGCTAGTATGGGACGCACAAATCCATAACTTGCTGGAAATTTTTCTGGCCCTTATCAATTTTGGTACCAGTCTCCTTAACTGGATGAGAATTTGGTAGGATTAGGAAATCCTGAAGCAAGTTATGGTTTTACGCCGTTATGGCCGAGCCTCGTGTTTTGGGCGTGCCCGAATTTCTTGTATCTTGAAAACTGAAAATCACAATTAAAAGGGAGAGAAAAAAAAGAAATAAATAGTCAGGATCTCAATTGTATGTACACACTTTAGGGATGAAAGTGTATGTAAATGTGAAATATTTGGAAATATAGCCTAGGCATCCCCACAACTATTATGTGGCCTAATCATTTTCTAAAAATTGTACGTACAATAATGTACATAAATTTAGGAGGTATACATACAATTATAGAACTTTATATTTCGTAATCCAAAAATTTTTTAATTAAATAAAAAAAATTAAAATAAATTCAAAAATTTATTTGTTTCTCAAGTTTCTTTTGTTTCTGCCAAAAAAGTCCCAATTAAATTACAAAATTTAATTTCAAAAAATTTGTCAGAAAATATCAAAGCTTTACGACGTGCTGCTTCACGAATATCTTTTCGATCCCGTACATTCATTTTTGTAATTATTTTGAGAATAATATTTACATATTCTTTAAAATTTTTAAATAAAAATTATTTTCTTAAAAGATTTATTTTTACCTTCCCTTGTAGAAGCTAAAAATCCACATTTTTCAAAATATTCCTCATCAACTTTATTTAAATTTTCATTTCCAATAATATCCAATGCAGGGCCACCTTTGAAAAAAATTAAATTTAATTTTAAAAAAGTTTTCAAAAATTTTTTCTAAAAAATCACCAGAATTGTGTGCAACCATAATAACCCCAGCAGCCATTCCCTCAACCACAGAAATTCCAAAATGTTCATTCCACATTGTATGTAACCCAATTAGTGAATTCTTTTAAAAAGAATTTTTTAAATAAAAATTTTTTAAATTTACCTTCATTAATTCCAACAATCTTTCAAAATCAATATTTAATTCCCAATCAATTTCATCCCCAGTTTTCATTCCCAAATGTTTTTTGGCATAATTTTGTAAAAATTCAACACGTTTAGTGTCCTCTTCATTTCGACAACCTCCAGCAATAATTAATTTTACCTTTTTTTGAAATTATTTAATTTTAAATTTAAAATAAAGTCTTACATTAATATTAATTTTTTGTTCCAAAAGTAATCTCCTCACATCAGCAAAAATTCGTAATTGCTAATTAAAAATAAAAATTTTTTTTGATAAAATTATAAAATAGGTTCATGGAGAAAATATGGAGGAAATGAATCCGAATAACAAAGAAATTTTAAATTTTTTGGCAAGAAATTCCTTTGAGTTTTAAAATTAAAATTATATTTATGACTTCGTTTTTAATTATCCAAAAATTTAATTAATTTTTAAATTAGCAAAAAATTTTTCAGAAATATTTCAACGGGGAGGTCGAAAGAATAAAAATATCTAAAAATAATCTCAATATTCTTTCCCTAAATTTAAATTAAAAATTATTTAAATACCTCAAGATGATTCTTTTCTGGCCTAATTTGGCCTACCGAAATTATTGAAACTTCCAACTTTTTTTCTTCATTATTTTCCCCATTATTCTCTAATTTATATTCAGAATTATTTTCCAATTCTAAAAGTCTCTCAACATTGCAAGGGGGAAATACAATTTTTGGTTTGATTGACCAAAGTTGTTCGATATGTGAAGCTGTCCAACTTAAATTTTAAAAAATGGAATATTTACAGAGCTTTGAACTGCTGGAGTTTTTCGAAAAACAAAAAAGCTATAAAAACAAGTATAAATCAATTTCTAGACGTACGAGAATTAACAAACTTCAATTATTAATCGATATAAAAAAATCCAAAGACGATTCTTTTATCCCATACCCATTTCTTGTTAAATAAAAAAAACCTTCCATTAGCCATAGTTAATTGAGAACAACTTCCACAACTTTTATAAAGTAATGCAACAATTCGATAATAAATTAATTTTAATTTAGTTAAGAAAAAACTAGAAGAAATTGTAGAGGAATTGTTGTAAGTTGGTGTTCTTGAATTTACTAATTGGATCATTTCTGAAAAATTTAAAAAAAATAAAGATTTAAGTGAGGGAAGTTTAAATTATAACAAATTAAACAAAAATTATTCAAATTCTAATAAAGGTAAACTAAACTCAAATTATCAGTTTAACAGGATATTAAAAGACAATTATTTTTAGTTAATCCTATCACAAAAAAAATTTTTTGTGAACGTTATTTAATTCTTAAAATTTAAAAAACCAGTTGTAATTGTTGGGTAATGAACATAACAAAGAGTTTTTGCACCTCCCACCCAATAAAATAAAGGTAAAGTCAAAGGACAGCCAGTAGTGTCCATAAACCTTAAAAATTAATTTTTAAAAAATTTAAAAAATCAAAAAAACCATTCAGGACAAAATCTCCACAAAGCTTCAAATCCAACAATTAACCCGGCAAATAATTGGGCAATTAAAGTAAAACGTGGATAGTTTTTAGCCTCCAACAACCATCGTGATCGAAGAAAAATAAATTGAAGGCGATTGGTTGGAACAGAAATTCCAAAACGAGAATTGACCTAAAAAAGGAAACAAATTGACAAAAAATAAACTCGAATATTTAACAAACCTTGAATAAAACACTCTAACAAAATCCAACTAAACCCCACCCACACACAACAGCAGATCACATATATATATTAAACAATTTTATAATAAAATAACCTTTTTAAGAATTTCCTGTGGTGTTCTATCAATATCACCAGTATAAACGATAAAATTCAAATCAGGAAAACTAAAATTAAAAAAATTATTGATAAAATTTATTTAGTGAAAATTAATCTTTTAATCGTATAAAAAATATTTTCATCAGAAATTTAATAAAAAAAATTTTTTAATTACCTTTGATGCATCGCATTTAAGGCCAACCAAAGCACCCTCTCACCTCCTCCACAAGCATCACAATAAGGATGGAAGAAAGCAAATGTATCAGAAATTCTTTAAAAAAATAAATTTAAAAAATAATTAAAAATAAACCTCTTCCTTCGAATGTAGAGAAAAAGTAAATAAATAAAAATTAATAAAATAATAAAAGGAAATGAAATAGGGAAAGCCATACTTTTATTTTAAAGCTGAAAAATTTAATTAAAAAATAATTTAAAAATAAAAAACTTAGTTTTAACTAAATTTTGTTTATATTTTCGTTATTAAATCAGAACTTTGGGATAAAAAAAATATTTAATAATTATTAAGTTATTTTTACAAACTTTAAAAAAATTAAAAAAAAATAAATTTAATAATTTATTCAACTTTTAACCCCCAACTTTTTATAAAAAAAAAAGAATTATTATTAGATTTTACTTTCAAGAGGAAAATAATTAAATTTAAAAATGTTAATTAATTAATACTTTCCTCAAAACTTTTAACAAAAAAATAAAACCTTTTTTTGTAAATAAGTAGTGTTTAACATGTTTTTGGAATGAAAAGAAAAATACCTTTGGAATAAAATATTTGGATAGTTAGAAATATTTTTTAAACAATAAACTTGTATGTCTAAAAAGGCAGCAAATTTAAGGCAGATGATAAAAAAATTTTTTAATTCTCTTAATTAATTCCTTTAGTATAAATTTTCATAAAATTCATTTTTATTGAAGTAAGTAATGTTCGAAAGATTAAAGGTGTTGGGGTAGTTGGAATATTTCAAAAATTATTCGAATATCCGAAATCATGATACTCTAAACAACAATATCTGAAAAGCCTTTATATTTTATTTTCTAGTCATAAGCTGAACTTTGAATAGGTTTTGGAATGATTTGAGCTTATTGTTTTTTTTTGTTTGATTCTTTGGAGGGGAGAAATTGAGCGCAAGTTCTAAACACATAATCCCACTACTCTGAATAAAGGGATTAAAGGAATAAAGGGATAATAACCAAAACTATCAAAATTTTCTGCCAAATAAAATACAAAAATTTAAGTAAAAACCCCATTAAATATTTAGAAAAACCCAAAAAGGATTAATAAAATAGTATAATTTTAAATAAAAATTCTTTACAAAAATAAACTGAAAAAAAAGAATTTCATTTTTGAATTAATAAAATGTGTCTTTTGTCGGGAAGCTAACATAAATAAGAGCACAATGTTTAAGAAAAAAACAAAATTATAAGCATTTATCTCCATTTTTTTAATAAATCCAAAAATATTTTTAGAAACAAAATTTAAGCAAAAAATGGAAATAAAAATCCCTCAACAATCATAACATACAATAATTTTTTTGTTGAGGTGTTATGGATGGACGGATATATTTTTTATTTTCTAGTCAAAAGCGCGTTACAAGAGAAAAAGCGTTAAAAAGGGGGAAGAAAATTGTGTGAAATGTTTATTTTTTAATTCATTTAATTTGTTGTTGAAATGTTGTTGTTTTTAATTTGATATGTTTTTATCATTTATTTTGATCAACTCTTCGACGTAATTCAATCAATTCAGCATGCATTTCAGAAAATCTTCGATTACATTCTTCAGCAAAACGATCAAAATCAGCACGAGAAACCCATTGAGAAGTTGAAGGAGTTGTTTGAGATAAAGATATTCCTCCACCTGTTGTTCGATCAGTAATGTTGGAAATGGCAGATTCTGGTGACGAAGATAATGGAATTGTTGACATTTCTTTTGTTGCTGATGTTGTATTGAGTGTAGAAATTGAAGGAACCTAAAACAAAAAATTTGAATTTAAAATAATTAAATGAAGGGGTGTTTGTTTACATGGCTAGTAATTAAAGCAGTCTTTGGTGGCTGAAAACTAATTCTTTCTGCAAGTGGCACATAACGATGTTGAGATTGGCTAGTTTCTTCTCCAGCTTTTTAAAAATAAAAAATAAATTTTCTTTTAAAAATAAAAATTAATTACAACTAGCTGAAAAAACACTTGTAGTCTTAATATTATTATTTATTCCTGTTGCTGTTGTAGGACTTGAAGTAGAAGATTGTGTTGTTTTAGAAGTACTAGTAAATGTTGGTGATGACATTTCTAATATTTTTGTATCGTTGTTATTGTCAAATGAATCTCTTGTATTTTCAGCTAATAAAGCAGCAGAATTCTTAAAATAAAAAATATTTATTTAAATAAAAATATTTTTAAAATAAAAATTTTGCAAAAATAAAAAAGAGTAAATATTCAAAGAATTAAATTGATCTAAATTGTCGATAAGTTTAAGAAAAAATGTAAATATACATTTTTTAAACTATATACAACGACGTTCAGAGGAAATAAAATAAAGAGATAAATTAATATAAAAAGTTAATTTATGACTCATTCTGTTAGTATTTTGTTGCGCATTTTAGATGTAAAAGAAAAAAGTTTTGTTTAAAAAAATTAAAAAAAGTTGCGAGTTTTTTTGTAATTTATAGAAGAATAAATTAAAATTTGTTAGTTAATTAATGAAAAAGAATGCGTCGTAAAAATTTTCGATTATGACGCAGGAAAGTTTGACGCAACTAGAGCTCAATATTTAGTTTTTTTATTTAAAGTTCGAAATTCCGTATGAATCCTAAATTCGAAAGAGTTGGAGCCCAACTTCCCGAAAATCTTGGAACCAGAGCCCAAATTTCCCAAACTCACATCAACAATTTATGGAAACAAGGAGATAAAAATTTAAATAAAAAAATTTTTAAAATTTTCTCACCACTTTAGAAGGCGGACGTTTATTTGACGGCACAATTTTTGTTCGTGCAGTAACAATTGAAGAAGAAGCCAATAATTTACTATTATTTTGTTGTTTATTTATTCCCCCACCACCACTAATATTATTATCGAAATCAGTCATTTTTGGTTCAACATTTGTCGAAGCTTCTGCTAATTTTCCTCCACTAATAATTGTAGAATTACGTTGAGAGCCTGGTTGTTGTAAAGGCAATTTCCCTCCAGGAAATAATATTTTTTGCATTCCGGCAATCATTGAATGACGATTTCCAGGCGTATTATTAGAAGAAGAGATTATATTTTGTGTTGCTGCATTTGTTGGACTAATATTATTATTTTCTGTATCATTTGAAAGTGAAATTGCAGAAGTTGTCATTAATTTATCTGTGCCTGGATCTGTTGGTGTTTTTGCTTCAGATGACATATTTGGTTGTTTTGTTGTTGAATCTTTAAAAAGAAATTATTTTCTCTTCAATTTTTTAAAAACATTTTATGATTAAACTAAAAATCATCCAAAATTAAAAAAATCATAAAAGAATTCAAAAACATTAGTCAAAAAAATAATTTTAGAAAGAATTTTCCTATTTTTGGGTATATGTATTTTTATATTAAAAGGAAAAAGAAGATTCATAACCAAAAACAATCTAAAATGATAAGGAAATAAAAAAGAGCCTAAAATTGACCCAATATAAAAAACAAATATTTTTTACTGATTTTTTCACATGTTATACTATTAATTCCCTAATTTGAAAAGTAAAGCAAATTATGATTGATTTTGACCATTTCGCTAAATCAATGGCCAAGGTTTAGTAAACCTTAACTTCAGATCAAAAATGTTAATTAAATTAAAAAATGTAAATACCTCCAAATAAAGAGTCACGAACAAATGCCACAGGTTGAGAATGACCATGTGTTGAAGCATTAAATTTTTGTGGCTTTGCCGGAAGAGAAGGTGGTTGATGTGGAATTTGTGAATTTTGAATGTTGATTGCAGACTCAGACGGCAAGAATTTAACAAAATTATCAGGAAATAATCCTCTACGGCCATCTGGAGCTTCAGCGATAAACCAGCCTTCGTCTTCGCATTGACGATTAATGACAATAACAAGAGTTCCTTCTGGTAAACTAAGTTCATCGGGAGCAGCAGCATCATATTTGTACAAAACTTTAGCCATATCTAGATTTAAATAAACATTTAAATTTTGAAACAAGAGTTATATTCATTAGAAGAAAAAAATATTTTTTAACCTTTATCAGCTGAAGGCGCAAATGAATGAGAATTTGAAGCATTTTCAGTCATCAGCGTTGACGTAACTCTACGTGCACACATTTCTCCTGTCCGGCTACCAACCGTCCCTCCCCTGAGAAGACTTGAAGGCAAAACATTTCCAGTGTGTAAAACGCCGGGGCTTGATGTAACAGTTGTGGCACCATTGCCCAACGAGGAAAAATTGTTTCCAACCCCTCCAATCACAGTAGTTTTTGGTGCTGATGAAGAAAGTTGATGGGCACTAACCCCGCTAATTAAAGTGGAATGGGAATTCTCTTGATGCGACTTGTCTAAAAAATCAAAAATGAATTCAATAAAAAAGCAAATTGCAAACCATGTGAGGAGTCAACAGATCGTGGGAATGTAGATGAAGGGCTGCTCAAAACAGCTGAAAATTAAAAAAAATATTAATTTTGAAACAAAAAATATTAAATACGAGGAATTTGTTTAGAAGGTGTTGCAGAGGAAGTAGAGACAAAATTAGTAGGATACAGTCCAACAAGTCCTTTCCTTCCAGGATTATTTGGAGAATTAATAATTTCACCACGAGCCCAACCATCTTCTGTATGAGCCAAAACAGCTAATTCATCACCTTCTTTTAAATCCAATTCGTCTGGTTGTTGTGCAGCATAAGAAAATCGAACGACTGCAGTTTCTGCTGAATGGAAGGGAAGACCAAATCCGGACGTTGATGTATTAAGTGCTGAAAATTATTTTGGAAACCTACAAAATAATTTTAAAAAACCTCTATTTCTCAATGGAACATTTTCCAATTTTGTCGAGACCATTGTAGAATTCCCCAAGCCAGACCCATAATCTTTGCTTAATCTGTCAACAATACGTGCAACATTTCCTTTTTCACACTTAAAAAAATTATTTAATGCTTCAATTAAATAAAAGAAAATAAACCGATTTCTGTTCACTGTTCATTTTGTGTTTGTTTATAATTAAAATAATTTTTTCTTTCAAAATTTAATTGTTATTTTTTATTTAATATTTGTTATACTAGCTACTATGTTAAAATCTGAAAATGAAAAATTTTTTTAGAGATTGTAGTTAAATAGGTAAACAAAAAATAATTAAAAGTCCCCCCCCCCCCCCCACAAAAAAAGAAAACCATCAACCCTTTCTTTTTCGAGTCTTATCAAACCCAAGCCTATAGAAACCTCACACATTTTTTAATAAAAAAGTGTTTCCCTAAATGTTTTCAACAATACACAATTTAAAAATTCACAAAAGTGGCCACCTTGTGAAAGAGAGGGAGTGCTTACTCAGCAGAGAAAAACAGCAAATATAAAAACATTTTCATTGCAAAAATACGCTTTTTAAAGAAATATGAGTCATATGTAAAAAAGATTAAAAAAGGTTCAGAAGCGTCATCGTATAATTATTTTAAGAAATTGCCTTTATGTACTAAATGTACATAATTTGAAAAATAAAATTTTGGCAAAATGTTTTTTGGAAAAATTTTTTAATCGATTTTTGATTTACCTTAAATTTAAAAAATACTTCATTTTTCCCAGGCTCGATATGGAAATCAACCTGATCCAGGTTAAAAACTAATAGTAAGTGTAAGAAGAGCCGATTTAGTAGATAAGATCGTGGACAAAACGTCACCTCTCTCCAATTTTTCATTTCTCTCTAGTCTTCTGCCATCTAAAAGATTTTTTTGTTTTCAATCGATTAACATTAAACTATTAATTGATGCGCAGTAGATTAAAAATAAAGGCAAATGAGATTCATCAACTCAGTCTGCTGACATTTAGAGCAAACATAAAAGCTATTTAATTAAATGTTGGTTAATACAACTCTTCAAAATTTTCTCTTTTTCATTTTTTAATTTACTAACTGACAAATAAATAAATGATCTTTTTTTAATTATAAATTTTCAGTTTTATATTTTAATTAAAAAAATGTCGGCTTCTAACGGAACTTCTCTGATTCGACAGAATTTTTCTGCTGATTGTGAGGCTGCTATTAATAAACAAATAAATATTGAACTTTATGCTAGTTATGTTTATTTGAGCATGGTTTGGAATTTGTGAAATAATTTCTAATAAATCTTTCAATTTAAGAGCTTTCACTTTGACCGTTCTGACGTTGCTTTGCCTAATTTGGCCAAATGGTTTCGAAAACAGTCGGATGAGGAGCGCGGACATGCCACTACTTTGATGGCTTATCAGGTTGTTTTTAGTAGGGCTTTTCGCTTTTTGTTACGAATTTGAGTCATAAAAATTAATTTTAGAATACTCGTGGTGGACGTGTTATTCTTCAGAATGTTCAGGTAATTTTTTATTTTTTTTCTTAAAAATTATTTTTGTATATAGAAGCCAGAGAAGGATGATTGGGGCACTGCACTTGGAGCTTTTGAAGCCGCTTTGGCACTTGAAAAGTTCAACAACCAGGCTTTGCTTGAACTTCATAGTCTTTCTTCGCAAAATAATGATCCACAGGTTTCCTTTAAATATTTTAAATAAATTTTTTTTAAATTTATTTTTAGATGTGTGACTTTCTGGAGGACAAGTATTTGCGTGAACAAGTGGAGTCTATCGAAGAAATTGGGTTTGCTATTTTTATTTTTCTTACCTTTTACTTTCCGTTTATTTTTGAATTTAAAATTATTTTTCACTTTTGGTTGAACAATTTTTGTAGTAAAATTATTTCTAGCAAGATCATCACGAATCTGAAGCGAGTTGGAACTGGTCTGGGAGAATTTATGTTTGACAAGGAATTTGACTCTTAAATGCAACGAAATGACATAATTAAAGAAAGGCAGCGTAATTAAAAAGAAAATAAGCATGTTATTTTTTAAGTAAACGTAAATATTTTAATTTTCTTCTTTTTGGACTTTTCCTATGGAAATTTATTTAATTTTGCATTTTTACATTCTGGCAAGTTTTTTTGTATTTGTTTTCGGCATTTCTTTAAAATTATTTTTTGAGATATGAAAAGTTTTTTTTAAATATTAAGAAAAATTATTTTCAAAATTCTCTCAAATGCCGAAAATTTTGAGGAATTCCTACATCGTATATATTTCTTATCTCAATGCGGAATGTGGGCATTTATATCTTTTATTTAACTTGATAAAAATTAAAATGGTTTTTTTGTTGATTTTAAATAAGAATTTAATTATATTTAATTTTATTTATTAAAAGATTTTAGCTGGGTTATATTTTTATATTGTTTATAAGATCTGAAATGGTATCAAATAGTGATCGACAATTGTGTGTTGCTTTCGATGAGGTTTTTTTTTAATTTTTTGGGTTCATTAGGGTTGAGGGGTGTTGCCGCTTAGGAATCGCGCCCACGGTCGAGTCATTTTTTGGGCTTGTTCGGGCCAAATATCAGGCTCGACTCGATCCTTCGTTCAGAGTCGGTCCATTTTGGCAACTCAAATGGTGAGGGTTATTTTTAAGATTGTGTACAATTTCTCTTTTAATTTTATTCCTTGATAGAGTCCACCATCAATGGTACGCAATGTTTGTATTATAGCTCATGTTGATCATGGTAAAACTACACTTGCTGACTATTTAGTTTCTGCTAATGGAATTATTTCTGGTAATATTTTTAATAAAATTTAAGAGATTTTTTAAAAATTTTAGCTAGGCTAGCCGGCAAACTCCGTTATATGGATAGCCGGGAGGATGAACAAATACGAGGGATTACTATGAAATCAAGTGCTATTACTCTTTATTATGAACCTTTATTAATAAATTTGATTGACAGGTTTTATAAAATGGACTTTAAGATTTTCTAGTAAAAATTTTAGCCCTGGTCACGTTGATTTTTGTAATGAAGTTAGTTCTGCTGTGAATTTAGCTGATGTTGGCATTCTTCTTGTTGACGTGGTTGAAGGTGTTTGTGCTCAAACTGAATCACTTATACGTTTGGCATTAATCAAAAAATTAGACATAATTCTTGTGCTTAATAAAATTGATAGGTTTTGTTCATTTTATTAATTTATGTTTATTTTAAATATTTTTAGGTTAATTGTTGAACTAAAAATGTCTGAAACAGAAGCACATAAACATTTACAGCAACTTATTGAATTTATGAATGCCTGTCTTTCAAAAGCTATTCAAGGTCAATTATTTGAAGAAGATTGGAAAATTTTTGATCAGGTATTTGAATCAATCTTTACAAAAATTTTATGAATTCTTTAATTAGGTAGAGGCCAAAATGCATTTTGATCCGTCTAAAGGAAATGTTTTATTCGCTTCAGCACTTTATGGCTATGCATTTGCAATCGAAGATTTTGCCGAATTATGGGCTAAACGTTTAATTGCTAGACAAACATGGCAATCAGAAGAAACAAATAAAAATAGGAGAACAGACGTTAAGGTTTTAATTATTTTAATTTAAAAATAAAAAAAGTTTTTTAAGACCGAAATATCTGAATTAAGAACTCAATTAGCTCAACATCTCTTTTCCAGAGACCATTATTTTTCAACTAAAACAAACAAAATTTGTTCTGGCGCTGAACAGAAGGATAAGAAAACTATGTTTGGTAAATAATTTTTATTTCTTACGAAAATTATTTTTTAGATCAGTTTGTCCTTGAACCTCTTTGGGAAGTTCATAAATGCGCACTTTTGGACAAAACAGTGGATAAGTTGAGTCAAATTGCTTCCAAGTTGTCTTTGCCAAGTTTAAAAAGTCGAAGAGGAGATGAGGTTTTATTTTAACTACGACATAAAAATAATAAAAAAATATTCGAACATTTCACAAAAATATTTTTAAGGCCTTCCCAGAATTAATGCGTAATTGGCTCCCATTGAGTTCTGCAATTGTTCGCGCATGTGCTAGAAGTTGTTCAGCACAAAATGCTTATAGAATGCCACAAAACGACTCTTTGTCAGATTGGAATAGGATTCGAGATTTGTTTGTTCAAAATGATAGAGATGTTGGCACTTTAGTAGGTGGCCATTTTTATTAATGTCTAGTACTAATTTGTTCTGAAAAATTGTTTTTCTGTTTTTATTCTTGACTAACTCAAATCTCTCATAAAAATATTAATAAACGATTATTAAATTAATCCTAATTAAAATCATTTTTTTTCCAGATAAAACCCAATTATCTATTTCTTTGCCGTATACCGCTAATTGTTTAAACAAATGTGATCCAAAGGATCCATTAGTGTTAGGTTTTGTTGCTAAAGCCTTTGCCGCATCTGATCAGGCTCAGATTCAACGTCGTATCTCTCTTTGCCGAGTAATGTGTGGAACTTTAAGAAAAGGTATTAAATTACTTATTAAATGCTAAAATATTTTAATTTTGACAGGCGATCAAATTTTTGTTTTTAAATCCTTACAAAATGCTAAAATCAATCAAACTACACAGTCTCGACCAGAAGAAAATGAGTGTTGGCGTGAATTCACAGTTACTGGTTTATTTATTTTATTTGGTCGAGATCTTCTTGAAGTTGAACGTATTCCTTGTGGACGCATCTGTGGCGTTGAAGTTAATGGTGGAGAATGGATTGGAGGTATTTTTCTGAAAATAATTTTTTAAACTTAAATTTTTGAAGGTTCTTTGTTTAGCAATCGACAATTATCTCCTTCAGAAATCCCTCATATGGAAGGAGCTAAACAACTTGGAAAATTTGCTGATCCAATTGTTCGAGTCACTATAAAACCAGCTATATCTGGGCCGGCAGAATTTGCTGAACTACGGGCTGCTCTTCGTCAATTGGCAGTTTTGGATTCAGCAGTTAGTATAGTTGAGCAGAAGGAAAATGAATTTTTGATGTTAACTGCGGGAGAGGTACATTTACAAAAATGTATTGAGGTATGAAGTTTGAGAGGAATGGTAAATATTTTGTATTAAAAGGATCTTAACTCGCTTGGTCAGACAGATTTAGTTGTTTCTGAACCAATTGTTCCTTTTCTTGAAACTTTGGTTGTTCCTGATCAACGTTTATCACATGCAAAAATACTCACTGATCATTTTACAGTAATTAACAATAAATTTTTAAATTTATTTTAACTAAAGGAATGTTTTATGCCTCAATTTGGCTTGAGGATACGTTTAAGAGCCGTCCCCTTAACTGGACAAGAACCAGAAACAAATAAGCTTTTTGAATTGATGGAACGTAATATTCAACTCATTGATTCTTTCAAAGAAAGTAAATTAAAATATTTTTATTTAGAAGTATATTTTGAAATTTTAAGGCAATTTTAATGCTCAACATCGTTCTAAAATTGAAGCTTTTCGTTTAGAACTAGCAGAACAAGCAAGCATTAGTCTTCCCAAACTTCGTGGGTCTTGGTGGGCAAAGAAGCCTTCTATACAGATCCGACAACTTTTTACTGAAAATATTCTTTCTTTTGGACCAACAAAAGCTCGACTAAATATTCTTTTCAATAACAACGCTTTACCTTTTTATAATAATGAGGATAATGATAAAATGAATCTAGATTCTGAGCAAAAGGAAGGAAATGCTGCGTCTATTAGAGAAGGTCGTTTAAAAATAATTTTGAAATTATAAGTAAGTTTTAACTTTATATGAATGTGAGAGGGTTAGAATGAAAAATCAGTACTCCTAGCTACTATATTTCTTCTTTATATCGTTTATCATAAAAAATTTTGCAGCTAATCTCAGTCCATTAGAACAAGCACTAGTTGGGGGTTTTCATATTGCAATGGCTCAAGGCCCTCTCTGTGATGAACCTATGCAAGCAATTGGTATTATAATTGAAGATTGGATATTAGAAGATAAAACTGAAAGATGTAATGTTGAAGTAGAAAATAAAAATGAAGAAGAAACGAGAAATTTAGTTGAAATTGAAGATGAAAATGATAAAAGAATAATTGGTGTTGAAGGACCATTTAAAGAATTAAATGAAAAGAAAGAAGAAAATTTACAAAAATGTGATAATTTATTAATAAATTGTGATACTCCAAGTACTTCAAAAATAGAAGAAGAAAAGATTAATTTGGAAAAAAGATATAAACAACTTTATATGAATGCTCAATTACATGGACAATTAATTTCTGCTATGAGACAAGTCTTTTTTTTAAATTTTTTAAAATTATTTTTTAATTCATAGACTTGTAAAGCAGCACTTAAAAAACATGTTGGTGCATTAAGATTAGTTGCAGCAATGTACGAATGTAAAGTACAAACACCTGAACAAATGTTGGGAAAAGTTCAAGCAGTACTTTCAAATAAAAGGGCAAAAGTTGGAAAAAAATAAATTTAATTTTAATTAATTTTCTTTTAATTTTTTAAAGGTTTATAGTGAAGAAATTAATGAAATTAGTGGACTTTTTGAAATTAGTGCTCATTTACCGGTTATAGAAAGTTTTTCGTTTTGTGATCAATTACGTAAAAGAAGTAGTGGAAAAGCCTCAGCACAATTAGAATTTTCTGGGTGGCAATTAATTGATGAAGATCCCTTTTGGGAGCCGAGTACGGAGGAAGAGGTAGAGAAAATTAATTTTTTAGAAATTACAAAGGCACTATGAACGTCATTTTTATGCAAATTTTTCTAAAACAATGGGAATATTTATTATTGTTAAATTTCTAAATTTAAAGATGGAAGAATTTGGGCGTCCCAGTGTGCAAATACAAAACCAAGCAAGACAATATATGGACGCTGTTCGCAGAAGAAAAGGTCTCCCAACAGAAGATGTAATTGTTGTTTGTGCAGAAAAACAAAGGAATTTAAAAAGAAATAAATAAATATTTTTACAAATTTTTATTGTTGTTGTTAAATTGAGAAAAAGAAAATTAAAATTAATGCAAAAATAATTTAGCAATTACTTCTTTCATTGTCATTCGTTTACAACTACTTACATTATCATTTTTTGATGAATTAATACAGGCATAACCATATGGACAGCATGTACGATTAGAGCAACAATTAGCCTTAAAAAATGCCGATTTAATAGAGAAGCCCTCTAATGTGGTGTCCACTCACACATCACATCATTTCAGCTCAATCCGGTCCTGAGGACATGTCTTATAATTAATTGGCTCCCACTCACGTGTTACTTTCCTTATATACCAACTACTACATTCAGCCCCGAAGGCAATGTGTTAGAGAGATTCGACTATTCCAGTTTCTAATAGATTTTTCAACCCTTACCTTTTTCTCAGGGCAACAATCGTAACCAACTAGCTCGTTATTTTCATAACGTGGGCAGCAAGTAGTAGTATCTTTTCGCGAAGTAATGTCACCACCTCGCGGAACGCATTTTGAACGATCCGGGCATGATGGTAGTGTTGGAAAAAGTGAAGGGTACTGAAAAATAAATTTTTAAATTTAAATATTTTTTCCTATCGAGACCTCGTAATGTTCTGATATAGAAATAGGTTCTACAACTTCTTTCTCCTCTTTCTCCTCTTGACTTTCATAATTTTCAATAGAAATACATTTATTATCATTTGTACATTCAAATCCTTTAGGGCAACATTTACGTGAATATCTACAACAATTTCCATCCTTAAAGGGGCAACAACCCAATTCTCTTTCATATACCGTACCAATTTCATCATCATAGTATGGATATGAACAACTTTAAAGATAAATAAAAAAATTTTTGACTCAATTCTTTAACCATTTAGTAGAAACTGGACAAAATTTTTGTGCTCTAACTGATCCTGTTATAGCATCTATAAACTGAAGGCCACATAAACGTACAGATGGTTCCATTGCGTCCGCCTTAATTTTTCTTTCCGAAGGATTATCCTTTTTGTGTTGAATAGAAAATGGCTAAATATAAATAAATGGGAGAAGGAACTTTTTTGGAATTTTATTTTTACCGGCAATTTTCTAATTTCTGTTTCTCTTAAAATTGGAGGGATTAAACATCTTGCTTCACTTATATCACATTCTGTTCCATGTGGGCAACAATGTAAATGATCGGAACAACAAACAGCTTTCTCTGCTGGGCAACAGCCGTACTTTAAAAATTAAATTTTTTGTAAAAAATAATTTTTTATTTGTTTAAATTGCCTGAACATTTTTCCAAAATTGTTTTTTACTTCCAATAGGGCAACAAGTATGGTGTGCCGGACATGAATGTTTTCCATCTGGACAGATTACTTCGTACTAAAAATTATCTTTTAGTAGTCTCAACTGGTAGAGCATATGTAAAAAGGCTAATAAGGTTGTCAGATAGTTGGAAATCTTCGGATATCCGGATCCGATATCCGAACCGAAATTTTCCGGATATCCGGTCTTTTTTCGGATCCGGACATCCGGATCCGACAACCTTAAAGGCTAACATATCTAAGCCTAGCAAGCCCTGATAGCAAGATCGCAATGCTGATATACAGCAAAGTCTGCCCCTTATTTCCAAACTTTTGTTAAATCCTTACCATTTTTGTTGAGGGAACTTTACGTCTTAATGGTTGAGAAGTAATAATTCCTCCTTCATTTGTGTGCTGAAAATTATTTTTTGAAAAATATTTTTAAACAAATTAAACTAACCAAACATAATTGGCGTTCAACATCACATTTATTATTTTCTGGGCAACAATGTACGTGATCAGAACAACAAACAGCTTTGGGTAAAGGACAGCAACTTTTAAATTTTTTTAAAATATTTTTAGTAATTAAAAAATAATTTACCCAAAATCCCCACTATCTAAAGTACAGCAAGTTGTCCCTCCCGGACATTTTGATCGAAAATCTGGACAGATAACTTCTTTATCAGCTTTAACGAACCAAAATAAAATAAATATTAAATAAAGAAATTTCATTTTTAAAAATTTTCTATTAAAAAAATAATTTTTAAAGTTCCAAAGAGTTATGTTGGGAAACTGGAAAAGTATATTTATTTATAAATAGACTAGGGAACAGGCGGCAAATGATAAAATAAAAGTTAGGGAAATATGTTTATGTTTGACAGGCAAAATTTGTCAAAAAGGAGTAACTATTTGAAAAAGTTTGAAATATAGACAAACAGATGGAAAATAGTTTAATCTTCTTAATTTTAATAAATTGTCTTTTTCTTGTAAATCCCTTAGAATTATTTATTAAAATAATGAAGTAACTATTAATTAACTATTAATTAATAATCAAATTTTTAGGGGTAAATACACAAACATTATTTTAATGCAAAATAAATATTTTTATATGACCATTTATTTAAATATATTCCTTATCTTTTTTGCTTAATTTATAATAATTTCTTTTATTTTATCGGTAAATCTTGACAGAAAAAAATATTAAGAGAAATATTAATTTTGATAAACCTAAAAAATCAAAAACTGTAATTAATTTATGTCTACATATTTTTTATTTTCACAAAAATTATTTACAAATTAAAAAAAAATATTTTTTTATAAAAAAATCAATTAATTCCTTTCATTCTTTATCTACAATTTAAGCATATAAATGGGGAGCTTTAATTACAATAAACACAACACAACTAAGTAAAAACATTGTAAATGTTAAAAAACCTTTAAAAAGGGAAATATTTTTTTAATTTAAAATAATTTTATTTACAAATTCTGTCAACCACCATCGCTGCAAACATCCAATCTTCGTGAATTTCGTTCATAAATTCCTGAAAAAAATTTAATTTAAAGGGGAATATAAAGTCCGTTAAGAAATTATAAGAACAAGCATTTTTTTGGTGTTTCTCATACTTCCTATGTTCAATCGTAACAAAAATTTTTTTTAAAAATAGATGTTCTGAAAATATTAGGATTTTGAGAGTTTAAGAGAGTTTTGGTGAAAAATAAAATTTTTATGATTTTTTTCTAAAAATGGTGTGTTAAGAAAATATAAGAACAAGATTACAATCCTTATTTTCTATGCTATAATTTTTTCAAAAATTCTGAAAAAATTTCTGTGAACATTTCCATCAATATGGAGTAGAAAAGCAAAAAGAACGAAGTTTAAAACTCCTTTCTTCATTGAGATATAAAAACCCCAAAATCAACGGAAAACCGGGTTACAGTACTTCAAAAAATATTTTGACCTCCTTAGGGGTTATATAAAAAAATTTTTTTAGGCCCTCCAGAAAGCCGACAAAATTTGCTACAAAAAACATTTGGTCCCATCCTTGAGAAAAATTCTCCAATTGAGGACTCATCGGTTAAATTTAAATGTTAGAAATAATGACAATTTATGGGGTAATTTGAGAGAATTTATTTATCTGCTCTTTTAAGAGGTAGCTTCTCAATGATATGATTTTTCTCAAGGATGGGACCAAATGTTTTTTGTAGCAAATTTTGTCGGCTTTCTGGAGGGCCTAAAAAAATTTTTTTATATAACCCCTAAGGAGGTCAAAATATTTTTTGAAGTACTGTAACCCGGTTTTCCGTTGATTTTGGGGTTTTTATATCTCAATGAAGAAAGGAGTTTTAAACTTCGTTCTTTTTGCTTTTCTACTCCATATTGATGGAAATGTTCACAGAAATTTTTTCAGAATTTTTGAAAAAATTATAGCATAGAAAATAAGGATTGTAATCTTGTTCTTATATTTTCTTAACACACCATTTTTAGAAAAAAATCATAAAAATTTTATTTTTCACCAAAACTCTCTTAAACTCTCAAAATCCTAATATTTTCAGAACATCTATTTTTAAAAAAAATTTTTGTTACGATTGAACATAGGAAGTATGAGAAACACCAAAAAAATGCTTGTTCTTATAATTTCTTAACGGACTTTATGTACATAAATATTTCCGGAAAATTAATATTTCTTCCGGAAAGGTTTAATTTAAAGAATGTGGGAGGAAAAGTCAAAAAAAGACAGGAATCGAGAGAAAAAGGGAAGGGCAGGAGAAACGGAAGGAATATGTGCCCATTCCTGCTTTTTAATTTTCCGAAATTAAAAGGTTTTAGTTAATTCTGGAAAGTTTTAAATAAATATTTATGCCGTATTTATTCTAATAGAATGATCTCTCCATTAGATGGCCCCTCCAATTGAATTCATCATTACCGCCTTTTTTAGGGGTATTAAAAAATAGAATGGCGGCCATTCCATTAGAATTAACACGGTATAAGTATTTTTTAAAATCTTGAAAAAAAATTTTTCTAGTTTTAAAATATTTTCATAAAAATAATCTAAAAAATTTAATATTTACTTCTTTCTGTATTTTTGCACATAAAAAGCGAACATGTCCAAGTAAAGTGTTGAATTGCTCTTCACTCAAGTGAATTAATTTATTTTTAATTCCCTGTTTTGGAGAAGTTTTCTTTTCGTCAAAAGATTTAAATTGCTTTTTTTTGGAGAAAATTAAAAGAAATATTAAATTTTTAAAAATTACTTTGTCTGTAAAAATAGGTGATGGTGGCTCTATTGTTAAAATTGTATTGTTTGTATTTGAATGATTAAAACAATGACCGAGAGCAGAAAACTAAAGAGAATTTTAAAATAAATTATCCTTTTTAATAAAAAGAAGCTTTAAATCCCCTTCTCTCTCCCAACATTCCCCCCTCCCCCTCCCCTCCCCCTGACCCCTCCTCAGCTTTTACTTGTAAAGAATCTGAAGAATTTGTTTGATTATAAGATAATTTTCTATTTTGTTGGGGAATTAAAAGAGAATTTGTTGATTTTGTTTGTTGTTGTTGATTTGCTGCTGCCATTCTTTTACAAAAACGGCGCTGATTTCCTTTAAAGTTTTTAATTGATTTAAAGAGAGAATTAAATATTTCCGGAAAGTTTATTTTACTTCCGGAAAATATTATTTTTCGGTATAGTTTTTCCAGAAACTTGAACATATCTAAGAAATTTTTATAGATAGCACAATTTACAATAAGGGTGGGGCAATTTCGGGTATTCAGAAAAGAAAGGACGAATACCCGAAAGTTTCCGGTTCGGTTATCGGTTCTGCATACTAGAGATCGGCCTGGATTTGTATCTAGTTTGGATTTTTCATGGATCCAGTCAAGATTCTGACATTCTGACGATCTCTACTGCTTACACGAAGATTTCCCAGAAACCGCCAATTCCAATTAAATTATTTTACTTGTAGGAAAGGGAGAGGAATGTTCTTCAATCCGTAAAAGAGTTGTTCCAACACAGCTAGTCTTTCTCTGTTGATTTTCTTCTTTCCTTTCTTCGCATTCTTTATAACAATAGCCATTTAATTGTTGCCAATGATTTGGAGGAGTAAATAATTTATTATCAAATTCGAAATTATTTTTATTTTGATTTAAATATATATTGTCTAAATTTGTTGGTTTATTGAGAAATGTTGATGATTGACTTTAAAAATTAAAAAATTGTTCTTCTTTTTAATAGTTAGGTAAAGAATATTCTAGAAAATATGTAACACGGTTTCTCTCTCTTCCGTTACCGCTTATAAACATAAAAATATGTAACACTGTTAGCAGAATCTATCAGAGTTTCCGGGATAATTTGGGAAAGGTTTGTATAAAATGGAAGCTCTCCGCAACGTCACTCACTCGAACTCTGTTCGAGCTCAAGGCTTATACAAGTGAGAGATACAGTAATTTTGAAAAAATAAATTACTGGATTTATACATCCAACTTATTTGCCCTTTACCCTCTCCCTATTAATTTCTCTCATTTGAGAGACACCTCAGCCCTAGGGGATCGACTTTATTTTAATTATTTATTTACCCTTCATTATTATTATTAATTTCCCCAACAATATCTTTTAATAATTTTTCTCCAGTTCCATCAGAAAGTTTAACACGAGGGGGTCTTTGCATACAAAGCAACCAAGGAAGCCATTCAAGTAAAATAATTCTCATCTTTTTGAATAAAAATTTTTAAAAATTAAAAAAATTTTTACAAAGGAAGGCATAGGAAAATAAGAATCAGCTTTTCTGTGGTGAAAATTAAGAACTATAACTGTACAAATAACAGAAGCACCAACTTCGAACATTACACAAGTGAAGAATACTTCTAGAATTTAAGAAGAGAATGTCCTGGATATTTAAAAATATTTTTTAGGAACCAATTAAAGGTAAAGTGTCAGAAGTTTGTGGCATGGTCTCAGCTACCATCAACATAAAAACACATAAAGACATAAATATAGTTACACAGAGATTTAGTTTTTCTCCAGAATCTGGTGGTAAAGAAAAACCGAGAAGAGCTAGAGAAGAAATTAGAAGAGAAGGCAAAACCAGATTAACACCTAAAATAAATTGATACGGTAAAAGATTTATATACCGAGCGACAAAATTAAATAATTTGGCCGTCTGGACATTTTGAAAATAATTAAGTTTAGGTTATTCGTTATTTTACCCCAACTAAACATTTTGTCCAATCCCTATATATTCCTAAGTAACAAGTATAGAATTAGAGAAACAATAAATAAAGAGATTGTATATATTATTATTCTCTCTTTGTCTTTTATTTTACTTTTTTCACTTATTTTATATCACGTCTAAAATTTATAATTGTTTTTTACTTTTATTTTTGTCTTTTGCTGGAGTTTTTGGTTTTAATTACCCAAGTTGAGGTAAATATCAACTTCACCCTCGAAAGAGTGGTTAATACTTGGGATAAATTTTGGAAGTGCTTGGCCTTTGGTTGAGCGTAAATTTGTTTTTTGATTTATTTTTTTTTTGATCAGTTTAATTTGTCGATAAGTTGAGATTTTTTTCAATTCTACAGCATACCGAAAATTTAAGGTGGATTTCAGTTAACCAGTGAATTGGGTGAAACGTGAATTTTTGGTTTGGTTGCACAATTATGTATCTAATTGAGTAGATTTCTTTCTTTTATTTTTCATTTTAGTTCGACTATTTGAAATCTCAGTATTAAATTTTATTCACCGATAAGTGCATACTTTTTAAATTTTATTTGGATTAAATCGATTTTTATAAATCAATTGAAAATAAGCAAAAATAATTTTAGCTAGCCGGTACTGCAAATTTGTTATTTTGACTAGGTAAGAAATTTGCTTTATTTACATATGTATGTTACAGGTTTGAATCCCGAAAATTTGCAATTTTGGTTTAAACAAAATCGATTAGAAAATTTTTTAAACCCAAAGTGATCAGTTAATTTTAATCTGCGGTAGTATTGGTGTCGATTGTGCCAATTTGGTTAACTGAAATCCACCTTAAATTTTCGGTATGCTGTAGAATTGAAAAAATTCTCAACTTATCGACAATCAAAAAAAAAATAAATCAAAAAACAAATTTACACTCAACCAAAGGCCAAGCACTTCCAAAATTTATTCCAAGTATTAACCACTCTTTCAAGGGTGAAGTTGATATTTACCTCAACTTGGGTAATTAAAACCAAAAACTCCAGCAAAAGACAAAAATAAAAGTAAAAAACAATTATAAATTTTAGACGTGATATAAAATAAGTGAAAAAAGTAAAATAAAAGACAAAGAGAGAATAATAATATATACAATCTCTTTATTTATTGTTTCTCTAATTCTATACTCGTTACTTAGGAACATAAAGGGATTGGTAAAAATGTTTAGTTGGGATAAAATAACGAAAAACCTAAACTTAATTAATTTACAAAATGTCCAGACGGCCAAATTATTTAATTTTGTCGTTCGGCCAAAAAAAATTTAAATTCTTCATTAATTAATTTTAAAAATAAAAGCTACCATAATAAAGGGTTCGCCTTCTAACAGAAATAAGAAAAGTAACATCAACATAAGGTTCTGGACAGCAATCATAAACTAATCGATTTCGAACTGATTGTACACCTTTTTTAAACAAAGTTTAGGTATATTTTTTAACTTTCCCTTTACTTAATAAATTCCATTCTCCATTTGGAGTGTATGGATCTAAAGAAACAGAATCATTATATAAATCAGTAAAAAAGCCAGAATAAGTCCAAGAACCAAATTTCATTGCACAAGTTTGGTCATCAAAGGGGAATGATGTTACCTAAATGAGAGAGATTTTAAGGGGAATTAATTATTTGGAGGTTGGGGTACTATATTATAGAGATCGGCCTGGATCTGGATCCAGACCTTGATTTTTCCTGGATCCAGAGTCTAGATCAAGGCATTTTTCTGCGTTCTTCGATTTTTCCTTGAACTTGATTTCTTCCTTGATTCAAGGACCTTGAACTGGTCAAGGTACCCATCCAAAATCAAGGTCAAGGTTTTTTTTAAATTTCCAATCTCTACTATATACATGATCTTTCATCTTCTTTTTAGTCTATAAAAATTATTTCCCCTTATAAGTTTTTTCAATTAAACTCTCACTCACATCAATTCTGCAAGAAGATCTAATAATTGCTGGAGGTATCCAAGTAACAGACCCATTATATTTAACAATAGCATTAACTGGCCATAAAGTATCAAAACGTTGATCAACAGAATTATATAAAAGAACATCGGGTTTCCAAATAGAAGTTATTGGCAATCTAACTTCTTTAATATCCCCATATTCTGCTGGATCCCATGTCAGAAAAATATCTTCCCAATTCATACGTACCCAAATATTTGTTTGCATTATTTGGGCTTTTTCATCCTTTTTTAAAGAAATTTTTGAAGAAAAAAAATTATTTTTATTTTTACAATATCTATAATAGCCTGTAAATCCATCCCTAAATGTACTATTATAGGTGCACTTTCATTTTTTACAGGCCTGGCCAAAACATTATAGCCATGAGTCAGTCTGTCGTAAAGAAGACGTTCGTGTTCACCTGCCCAAACGGCTGCTAAAAAAAAATTTAAAAAAAATTATTAAATAAAATAAATTAACTGCAAAATTATAAACTAAAATATATTTGGTAAACAAAACAAAATACTTAAGGGAAGGATTTGCTCACTGTTCTGTACAATAACAAAGAAATAAGTTAAGCAATAAGATATGTAAAAGTTTAGTGGGATAGTGCATAAGGGAAAATTTCGGAAATTCTTTTCCGGAAACATAAAGGTATGCAATAAAACTTGTATTACTATGACATGTCCTAAAAGAATGACACCAAAAATTTTCCAAATCGTGCAGAAAATAATTTTTGAAAAGGCATGTCATGCCTTTGTCATTTTAATTCAAGCTTTACATTAAAGGGAATATAAAAACAAAGATTTAATTATATAATCAGTGAAAGGATAAAATACAAAAAGTGCTGAGATTTCACTCATTTTTAGTCACCACTTTCTCCAATATTCCTTCCATCCCAAGAATGTTTATTACTTTCTTCTAACCATTTAATATTATCTTCATTGTCTTTCTTTTCCTTTAATTTTTAATTAAAAATTGTTATTAATTAAAAGAAAAAAACATTTAAATTTCCCCCAATATTAGACCAATGTTGTTTAGAATTTCCAGCAATAACTCCAAAAGGTTCTCCATCATCCATACTATTAATTTTGTGAAATACACTTGCATGATTATCCCTTCCAAGCATTGCATGTTTCCCTAAAGCTGTTGCCCCCGTAGAGCCAAGAACAAGTAAAGAAAGTGGTCGACAGGTAGTGACCACAAAAAGGACTTTTTTTGAAAATAAATATTTTTTAAGAGAAAAGAGAGAAAGAGAACAGTGAGTGTTAATTAATTAATTAATTACCGTCAAAAAATATATATGTTAATAAACAAACCCTTAAAAATCAAAAAATGATTATCTCCTGTTAAAGCTGTCAACATTAAAAGTAAAGAAGGTAAAGAAAACTTTGGAGCACGTAAAGAATGTTGTGAATATTTTGTTGAGAATATTGTAAACATTAATTAATATAAAAATGTTTGAAGAAATTTTGGGGAAAAATTTAATTTTAATTTAACAAAAAATTATTTTAAATTTTACAGAATTTCAAAGTTCTCGGTAAATTATAATTTAAAAAAGTCAAAAATACAAAAATTTTTAATAAAAAAATTTAGAAATCTAAGTACATCCTTATAAGAGGGGAAGAAACATTTTAAAATCTTTTCTCTTCACAAAAACACCCCCACAAATTTTTTTCAAGTGGTTGAGAATTATATTTACTGATACTTAAAATATCATCAAAAAGTGCCAATTAAATTAAGGTTATATATCCAAGAGAGTTAAAAATAAATAAATAAAAGGAAATGGAAAAAAATTAATTTTTATAAAATTATTTCTTTAAATTTTGCAACTAAATTTTTTAAATTTTATTTTGTTATCCCTCCCAATATTTATTTTCCTTCCCCTTTCTTTTTAAAAAATTTTCGGTCTTTTTTTTATTTTAAAATATAAATTCCCACACATTTTTCAATATTATGTACTTATTTATTTATATTTTTGGAAGACTATACTACTCACATTACATAAATTATTAGCTACATTTTTAGCTTAAAAAAAGAAGAAAATAACTAAAAAAGAGAGAAGTGTTTTGATGTTTTTCAGGCAAATAGCGCGGAAATTAAAAAAATATATATTTGTTTTTAGTTAATTAATTATTTAAAATATTTTTAAAGAAAATAATTTTAAGAGATTTAAGGAGGAAAGTGAAGTTAGGAGGATGGAGGAGGAGGGGGGAAGTGAAGTTAAAATACAAAAACTAAAATTAGAAAAGTTAAAAAGAAATTTCACAAAAATTTGGATAACCTAACAAAATTCAATCAAAAAATTAAAAAATAATTTTAAAGTAAATCTTAAAAATTGTTAAAGAATTAAATAAGGAAGAAATTTAACTATATAAAAATTAGGGTTGCCGTTTTCGAATCGGGCCGACGTTCGAGTCGCTTTTCGGGCCGGACCTGGCCGGTAACCATAATAAAAATGAATCAAAAAATAATATTTTTCTATAATCAACACCCTCCCTCCCTCTTCTCAAAATATTCGAATAATCCAAAAATAATATTACTCTATTCCATAACCAAAAAATAAAATTCTAAAAATCCACCCTTCAAACCATTTAAATAATCGAAAATTTATATTTTTACTTTAAACAAAATTCAAAAATAACAATTTTTTCTAAATTATTTGTCAAAGAATATCCATAATTTAAAGGCAAATTTGGTGAAAATAAAGGCTCAAAATTTGTTTTAGAAAAATCTTTTAAATTAAAAAAAGAATTTAATTTTGAAATTAATTCGTCTTCTTCTTCTTGCTTTGAAGCAAATAATTCGTTTAAATATTCTCCACGAAGTTCCCAACTTTGAATTATTTTAATTCCTTTAGAGGCTAAAAATTAAAAAAAATTAATTTAAAAATTGAAAATAAATGGAGTTAATCAATTTAAAGGTTAAATCGTTTTATAATTTTGGATGCCTAAAATTGTTGCTTAAACAGCTTTCCCAGCCCTAACTAAATTAAAAATATTTTAATGAATTTCTGAAAGTATTTAAAAAATGTTTTTTGAATCTGATTTCTTTAAATTCAGAAAAGGAAACTAAAAAAACAGGAAGCTAAAATCCCTGTCAAAAAACCTCTAAATAATTTAAAAATAAATTTTTATGAAAATTAATAATTTACCAATTAATTCCAAAAATAAATTTAAAGTTTCTGGATTTCGAATAGTGCAAGCAATAATGGCAATTGGAGAATTGAAAAAGCTTTGGTTATTTGAAAGTAAACATTTTAATAAATTAATTAATGAAGGGAAAAGTTCTGGATCATAAATAATATCTAAAAAAATTAAAAGAAATTCAATTTTTAATTAAATATATTTTTTAATTCTTAAGTGGAATAACATAAATATTTCAAAGTCAAAAAAATATTTTTTAAAAAGCCTGTGACACACTGGTAATCAAAAAAATTCTCATAAAATTCTTAAAAAGAATTCCGAATTTTAGTATAAAAATTAAATTTTTAAATTCCTTTTAAAAATACCTGAAGCAACAATAACATCAGCGGGAGGCAAATCACTGGGAATAAAATTAGTCCAATCCAAATATTTCGATTCAATAATTAAATTATCTTTAATTTAAAAATAATCTTCCTTTAAAAAACTCAAAAAACCTTCACTATCAGCAAAATTTAATTTAATATTTTTATTTAACAATTCCAAAACAAAATAATCAGAATCACTCAAAATTAATTTAATTTCCTTATTTTTATTTAAATAAAATTGTTTTGCAAGTAAAATTCCGACAAGTCCACAGCCAGCACCCAATTCTAAAATATATTTTGCATTGGAGAGATATGGCAATAAATTGGTAGAAAATGATAAAAATAAAAAATCAGCTAAAGCAAAAGAGGCCTAAAAATAAAAATGAAAAAATAAGGTTTCTTTTGTCAAAATTAGGAAAGTAATTGGAAAATAAAGAGAATTTATTCATCTTAAATACGAAAAAAAATAAAATTAATTCAAAAATTATATGGATAGAATCCGGGCATGGAGAGTTCCAAAAATGTCGTTAACCGATATTTCAGTCCAAGATGTCGTCCCGGTTCTAACTCTAATTTGAATTCATTCTTGGAATTTTAATTTAGAAAATTTAGTTACAATTTTAGGAAGCCCGTGTAAATTAATTTTTATATTTAATTATTCAAAATCTTATTTTTCAACATTTTAATTTTCAAAATTAAAAACCTGCCAGCAACACAATCCAGTAGTTCCTTTTGATATATTTTTAATATTTTGACAAATAACTGCATAATTAATTTGTTCATTTGACGGAGAAGAAAATTGTTTAAAATTAAGAGGGAAAATACTAAAAAAATATTCCTGTTCACTTTCCATTGATAAACAAATATTTTGATAAAGAATATCTGATGGATCCATTTGTAGCTGTTCAAACTAGAAAAACAACTTTCTTAAATTAAATTTAAATTATAATTTTAAAAAACCTTTTTAATTGCCAATTTACACAAATTCTTTAATTTATTTTTTCTTCCAGGAAAAATAGCTCTAGCAGGCGAATTAAAAATAATTTCATCCAAATGCAACTCTTTATATTCTTTCACAGCCAAAACAAAATTTTTAATAATTTCCTCTCGAATATTTAAATCAGAGAAAAAAGAACGAAGAAATGGACGGATCCGGTCAATTAGAGTTGGATCCAAATTTATTTGAAAAAGTGGTGGGAGAGACGTTGTCCCATTGAGCGCTTTTAGATTTTCGTTGTTTAAAAGTTTTTGATTTGAGGTCGACATCTATTAAAGGTTTTCTAAACAAAATTTTAAAAATTTAAAAAAACCGTAAGAGGTTGAGGGAGGTAAATATTCTGGTCGGTCATAGGGAATTCCATAATGTAAAGCAATTCCAACACGCTTATTTCCCTCGTCCAATAATTGTTTAATTTTTAGTTGATCTGTCTCCTAAAAAACATTTTTAAAAATAAGAAAAAATTTTAAACATACAAAAATATTTTTTCTAAATTCCTTCCGAGCCTCAGATAAAATATATTCACGCTCTATACAAGTATTTGTAGGCTCTTTTGCTGTCCAGGATTTTGAAAGACGAATAATACGTGAATAAAGTGACAAAACTTGACGTTTTGTATTATTATTGTAGGAATTCATGTAATGAAATCTTGAAAATTTAAAATTATTAGAAAGAGAAAAATCTGAATAAATTTTCGAAAAATTTCAACAAAGTACAATTGTACTTTGTTGAAATTTTTCGAAAATTTATTCAGATTTCGAAAATTTATTCAATTTTGGCAATGTCGCAAAATGAGCAATTGATCTTTCATTTTAGATATTTTGAAATCTTTCTTGTAAATAAATACAAATGGAAAATTCAAAAGGGTAAAAGTAAATATTTTAGAAAATGCCAATCGACCTTTGAACTAATAAATAGAAAAACTGGAATTTAAAAAAATTTTATTTTTTGTTGTTCTCGTGATTGTTTGTTTCTATTTATTTAAATGATTATTACTCTTTCTATTCTTATTTCAAAATCATTTTTAAACTGTTTTCATCGATTAAAGAAAAACTAGTTGTGAGTGTGTTCTTTACTCATTCATTTCTTTTTATTTCTTTATAAATTTCTTTTTCATTTTTTAAATTTTTTAGAATTCAAGAAAATATTTTTATGGCACATTCAGAAGCCATTCCCTCACAAACTGGAGGACTCGAAGGGTCATGTATGGAGCCGGGTACTAATTTTTGATAAATTCTTTTTAATTGATTTCTTTTTAAAGGATGCTTTGCAGGGAAATCTATGGCTGTTTTTACAAGTGGTGGTGATTCTTCAGGTTTTGCGCTTCAATTTTAATTTATGAATAATTATTCTAATTGTAAGGCATGAACAGTGCTGTTCGATCTGTTGTTAGAACGGGGCTCTATTTTGGATGTCGTGTCTTCTTCATTAAAGAAGGATATGATGGAATGGTTAAAGGCGGTGATAATATTCTTGAAGCCAATTGGAATTCCGTGTCTGACATAATCCAATGGGGTGGCACAATTATTGGTTCTGCTCGTTGCAAAGAGTTTAGAGAACGTCCTGGACGAAGAATTGTAGGAGATATTTAAATTTGTCATAGTACTAACAATTTAATTTAAGTCTTGCAAGAATCTGATAGCTAAAGGTATTACTCATTTGGTCTGTATTGGCGGTGATGGATCTCTGACAGGAGCCAATACTTTTCGTCAGGAATGGCCATCACTGGTTAAAGAGCTTTTGGATGCGAAAGAAATAACTGAAGAACAAGCAAAGAATTGTGCTAATATTCAGGTAACTAGTGCCAATTTTAAGGTTTATTTGACTTTTTAAGATTGTTGGTTTGGTTGGTTCTATTGACAATGACTTTTGTGGTACAGACATGACTATTGGAACGGATACTGCTCTTCAACGAATTGTTGAGGCCATTGACTCTGTCGTCTCAACTGCTCAAAGTCATCAACGTGCTTTTGTTATTGAAGTTATGGGACGCCATTGTGGCTATTTGGCATTGGTTGCTTCTTTGGCAAGTGAAGCTGATTTTTGCTTTATTCCTGAATGGCCACAGCCTGTTAATTGGGAAGAGGTATAATTAATGTTTTTTTTTGCTAAATTTGGTTTTTTAAGGTTCTTTGCAAAAAATTGGAAAATTCGCGTGAACTGAATCAACGTTTAAACATTATGATTGTTGCTGAGGGAGCTATAGATCGTGAAGGAACACCGATATCTAGTGAAAAAGTGAGTTTATTCGCAATAAAAGATAATAAAAAAATTTTAAGGTCTGTAATTCGGTTAAAACTCGTCTCGGTTATGACACTCGCATAACTGTTCTTGGACATGTACAGCGAGGTGGAAGTCCGTCGACCTTCGATCGTCTTCTTGGATGTCGGATGGGCGCAGAAGCAACTTTGGCATTAATGCAAATGACGCCAGAATCGGTTAAACATTAAACGAAAATTAATTTTTATGTTTTTGCAGGAACCTTCGGTAATTTCTACTGATAGCAATCAAATGGTTCGTGTTCCTCTAATGGAATGTGTTCGTCGTACTCAAGATGTTTGTATTTCTTCTCTTATTTAATTAAAAAAAATTTAGGTTCAAAAAGCTATGGATGCTAAAAACTTTGAAAAAGCTGTTCACCTTCGCGGACAAAGTTTCCAACGTAATTTGAATACTTATCGTTTGCTCACAAAATTGCATACACCAAAAGAGAAAGATAATTTGTCTGGAGGAGTTAGTTATAATGTTGCGGTTATGAATGTTGGTGCTCCCGCTGGAGGTATTTTTAATTAATTTTTTGAGTTTCAAAAGAAATTAAGGAATGAATGCTGCAGTCCGTGCTTTTGTTCGGATGGCTCTCTATCATCGCTGTAAAGTTTTTGGAATCAATAATGCATTTGAAGGTTTGGCAGAGGGTAAAATAGAAGAGCTTGATTGGGAGGCAGTTGCTGGTTGGGGTCGAGTAGGTGGATCTAAACTCGGAACACAAAAACAGTTACCAACAAAATATATGGATCAAATTGCTGTTCAGTTAAAGAAATATCAAATTCAAGCGCTGTTGATTGTTGGCGGATTTGAGGTTTTTTTAAATTTCTAATTTTAAATTTAATAATTTTTTAGGCTTTTCATTCTGCTTTGATTCTGTCCCGTAACAAGGAACAATATCCAGAATTTGCTATTCCGTAGTTCTTTCCTTTCAATTTAATTTCATAAATATTTTTTAGGATTTGTGTTGTTCCTTGTACAATAAGTAACAACGTTCCTGGTACTTCTCTTTCTCTAGGGTCTGATACAGCACTTAATGAGATCTGCCGTCTTGTTGATAATATTAAACAATCGGCAAATGGAACTAAACGACGAGTTTTTATCATCGAAACAATGGGTGGTCATTGTGGTTATTTGGCAACATTTGCAGCTTTAGCTACGGGGGCTGATAATGCTTATATTTTTGAAGAACGTTTTACTGCTGACGGTTTGTTTTAGAATTTGAAATATAAAAATAAAAGAATTACTTTTCAGATATAAAGGAAGACGTAAAAGTAATTGCAGAAAAGATGAAGACGGGTGTACAGCGTTACTTGATTGTTCAAAGTGAAGGTGCTAGTGCAAACTACAATACCGACTTTGTGGACAGACTCTTTAGAGAGGAAGGAAAAGGAGAGGTTTGATTTTTGTCAAAAACTTTTTATGAAAGAATATATAATTTAGTTCTCAACGCGTGTTAATATTCTCGGTCATGCACAACAAGGCAAACTTTAAATTTTTAAAAAATATTTTTTTAATTTTTAGGGGGTAGGCCAACTCCTTTTGATCGTAACTTGGGTGCTAAATTTGGAATTCGTGCGTTGGAGCATTTGTTGGAGCTGCTCAATCTTAAAAGAAAGGGAGATACTAAAACAGATTGTTGCGGATTGTTAGGTATACATTAAGTGTTAAATAAAATGATTTGTCAATTTTAAACATTTTTAAGGACTTGTTGATCGTGCTTTACTCTTTACACCTGTAGAAGAGTTGGCATCAAATACTGACTTTGATAATCGACTTCCAAAGCATCAATGGTGGCTTAAGGTTCGACCACTCCTTCGCATTCTCGCAAAACATCAAGCATCGTATGAACAGACAGCGAAAGACTTAGAGCTTGAAGAATCTGATAGTGATGAGAAAGAAGAATAGAATAAAGTATACTACAATGAATAATAAGCTAAAAATAGCGAATTTTTGATTTAGGCTTCTCATTTAATTGGGTAATATTATTCCTTTTATAGAGTGCATTTCTCCGGGTTTTAATCTCCTAGAAAATTTAATAATTATATATTCATTTATAACAAAATTGTAATAGATCTTTGGCTTTTTCTTAAATATTATTTTAGATAAAATGAATCTCTTTTGGAATATTAATCTTATTGAATAGAAAGTTTAGTAAATTCTTTAAAAAAATTAAGATTATGCTCTACAAAGCTATAGCCCTTCAATGTCAAATAAGAATTTTTATGAAAAAATTTTTCGGACGCTCCCATCCTAATCCCCTCCAAAAAGTCTCTGATAAATTTACATTAATTTGTCGTATTTTGGTATGAAATTTTAATTTAAAAAATAAGATAAAAATTCAACAAACGAGATAAGACACAACAATTGAGGATATTTGATAAGAGAAATCCTGATATCTATTTTGAATTAAATAATGCCCCTGAGAGAATGTCACAAGCAAGTTCATAGAAAAAGAATGAGAGCGCCGTCTGTGTTGATTCTTTGAGCAAAGCAGGCCAAATACCTTTATATAAACTTGTAAAACCTTCATGTTTAACAATTCCGCGAATGGTGGCTGTCCTGAAAATCAAATTAAATTTAAAATAAGCAAAAGAAAAACAACATTCCGCCGTAAGCAGTCGTCTGACCGAAGGCTCCAGGCCTAATACGTTCATTTATCTGAATAAAATTTTTAAGGAGAGTTATTTTTTGAATTAAAAACCTGTAGCCTATGTCTGACCAAGTCTAATGGATACTTAAAATTTAAAAAAAAAAGTTTGAAAGAGGATAAATGTGGTACCGTTATTGTTTTGGCTACAATGCCAGCTAAAGCACCTGAGGCTAGCCTATTTAATTGTTTGGTAACATTTGAATGAGATTCCTTCTCAAGTTTGTTGTTAATGTTCCTTTCGTGAGATAATGAATTTATCCAATTATAAGCAGTGAATTTGATACCAAAAAATTAAATTTTTTTAAACATTTTAAATAAAAGTTTAAAAGAAAGAATGTGACTCCAAATGATTTCTTAGAATCCCCCTCTGCCAATTTTTAACAGACAACATTATATCCGGCTTTCATTTGGGGTATGGAACTCTAATGGATAGGTTAGAAAATTGAATGGAAAGGTCACAAGTTTCCCTTCTATAGTAGATTAATCTTTACCAGCATTAAGTGCAATTTGAGCCAAAGAAGGTGTTAACCCATGAAAGAATCCACCAATTCCTTCCTTTGTCCAAGTTTTATTAATTGGGTGTAATAAATTTCGATAACCTTGCGAAACCACCTTTTCAAAATTTTAAGTTCAAAAAAATTAAATTAAAAACAAAAATTAACCATTCGAGTACGAATAACATCAAAAGGCATGGAACAAGCTGTTGCCAAAGCTAAATTTAAAAAAAAATTTTTATAAATTAAAAAAACAAAAAAAACATCCAGCAATTGATCCACAAAGAAAATCTGCAGTCATTTTATATTTTCCAAGTCCAAGTTTAACAATTTCACTGCTTAATGCCTCAAAAGTAGAATATTGAATAACACCTTAATAAAAACTTTAAATATTTTTCTATAATTTTTTATTTCTACCATAGGTAACGGAAAGAGCCTGTCCAGGAATATGACCTCTCCTAAAAATTAATTTTAAAAAATTTCTTTCAATCTAAAATCAAAACCATAATGCTTTAAAGCCTTCCTCCTTCCAAATCATTCTCATTGTTTTTAACATCCTTCCACTATACTTCCCTCTATTATCACCATATAATGGCTCCTCTTGTAACTATTAAAATAATTAAATTTATTTTAATTACGAAAAAAACCTGAAATCTAATTTTAACAACATCTAGAGGCTGAATTACTAAACGAGTTGCTACACCACTAAAACAGCCAGAGCTGACATACTGAAAAATGATGAATCAAATTTAATCTTTTAAGTACTATCCTTTATAAATCTCAAATTTCAAAGGACGAAAAACAATTTGGCCTAGTTACTCCACCCAAACAAAAGCCATTTAAATATACAAAAGAAAAATATTTTACCTGAATTTTAGTCAAGTTCCTTTGTTTTCCTGCTTCTAACCTGCTTAATCCAACAACCATCCCTCTTTAAAAATTATAAAATAAAAAATTCAAAATATTTTTTAAATATCAATTAGTTATTAAAAACTCTTATTAAATGAAACAAATTTTAAAAATTAAAATATTGTCCAAAAGAAAGCAAAAAATATTTAAAAAGGTAAATTGAATATGTCGATTAATTTAGCCAAATGTTCACAAATTATTCTAATTTTAATATAAAATGAAGAAAAAAAATTATCAAAATAAACTTCGATTTTCAACCATCAAAATAAAATTATTTTTCAAAATTTTCCTTCAATTTCTTCAATTCTAGGCATACTTGATTGCATCAAACGTTCAAATTTAATCTTCATTCTATACATACAAGATGGTGACAAATTTCGAAGAAAGTCAGCAACATGCGCACCAAAAGCATCTGCTTCTGCATTTAATGTGGAAGTACGTATGGCAGATTCAAACTCTTCAGCTACATTTTTAAAAAATAATTTATGGTTTGATTTTTAAAAATTCTAATTGGTACGTTATCTCAAGATAACTTTTCTAGACACGTGGTTAATGTCTAAAAAGACATTTTTAAATCGATAAAAATATCCATCTAATGGCGTGCTTGCATAAAAAGCGTCTTGCGTTTTGCGACAAAAATAGCATTCAAAAGAAGGAGAGACAAAATCGCGTTTCTTCAATCCCAATGCTATTTTTTGTCGCAAAACGCATGACGCTTTTTATGTAAACACGCCATAAAGTATAATAGATGGAAAGAAGGGTATCTAATGAACAGACTAATCATAAAGAAAAGTCGTGAATCGAAAAAAGCAAGAAAAATCAAAATTTATTTAAACCAACCACTAGTAGAACCAACATTATAAATATCATGTTTTCTAATTATACGTTTCGGAAAATTCGGTTGTTCATAATCATGTTCTTCAACATTTTCAGGAATATACCGTTCGTCTTTAATCTCTTCTCCCCCATAAATTTGTTCAAATTTGCAAGTTTTGGCAGCCATTGAAGGTGGTCTTTCTTTCCTTACACGTTGCACAATCTTAAAAAATTTAAATAAAAAGTTAAAGCTCTGACTCTCAATTTCTTTCCTATTCCCGTTTCTCATATAAAAAACTGCCAAATTGTATAATTTTAAAAAAATAAAATACCTTTCTAACAGCATCTTTACTAGGCAATAAAGATACAAGTTCTGCTGGCGAACTTTGAATAGTATATTCCCTCAAGACGCTAGCAGGTTCACTAGTTTCAAGTGCTCTTCGTTTAATTTCACTTATCATTCGTTGAAGTTCAACATTTTCTTCATCAGAAGGGCAAATATGAACACCCATTTCTCTAACTACATTATGTTCCAAATCAGTATGAAGACGAGCACGACATTTAACATGTTTTGAATTAAAGAATTCACACTTCCAAAATCGAATATCTCCATCACTATTCATCTTTTCAAAGCAGTAAAGAAATCCGTTATGGTGAAACTTGGGTCGTCCTCTCTTTGAGAGTAAAATATTTTCCGTTTCAAACATCTAAAAAATATATGAATATAAAAAAGAAATTTGTTGTAGATTATCTTGAATTACAAAATTGATTACTTAAAAATTATCAAAACATATTAATTGGAAATGGGAAATATCAGAAAAACACAATCATGATTTTAAATGACGACTTTGTTTTGTGACACAAGAAAAATTCAAGGGATTGATTCAGATTCAAACCTATATATACAACCCAAAAATAAGTGCACTTGTATAAAGGAACCCTAAAGGAAATATAAAGGAACCCTCTCGAGGTAAACATTTTCCCATTTTTGAATAAAATTTAAAAACTTAGTGTTAACCTCTTGTTGATATGGAATCCGAAATAAATCTTCAGCAGCTTTACGTTTAATTGTTTTGTCTGGTTTAACTTGAACAGGTTCTTCCACAAATTGATCACAAGTATGTTCCCCAATCACTGACAAAACTTCATCTTCCATATTTGTATGCAACCTTCCAGCACATTTCTGTCCCTTTCTGTGGTAATGTTCACATCGCCAATACTTCTTTTTACCTTCTTCATTTACTCTTTCAACAATATAATTAAATCCTTCATGTGGAAGCTTTTTTGAAAAATTTCTTTTATTAGGTTTGACTTCTGGTGATTCCATAGGAAGTATCAATTTACTTTAAAAAATTTGAAAATAAAATTTATATGAAATTACCTGATTTTTGTAAAGTATTAAAAAATGTCAATGTAGGTAGTCAGAAAAAACTTTAAAATTAACCTAAAAATTAAATAAAATTAAAGAAAAGTTAAACAATAAAAATTACAAAACTGCAGAATGAGCAAAATTACAGGGAATGGCTATTTTATATTTCGACTAAATGAAATTTGGTCTTTCAATATTTGATTAAATGAATTTTGCCATGAAGAGAAATATTGCAGGATTTTCTTCTGCCAGAAAGCGAGACAAATTTATTTCGTTTTTTTGTTAAACTGACATGATTATAGGTGTTGAGGTTCGGGTTTTTGTTTCACATTCTATTGTGTCATAAACTTAATCGTTTTATTTTTTAAGAGAAATTAATTAAAAATGAAATACGTCGCTGCGTATATGTTGGCTAGTCTCGGCGGGAACGCTCAACCAACGGCAAAGGATTTGGAAAAAATTTTGGGTGCTGGCGGTTTGGACGTTGATATGGAGAATGCTAAAGCAGTGGTTAAAGCGCTTGAAGGCAAAAATCTCGATGAGGTTATTGCTGCTGGTGAAAAGAAACTTTCGAGCGTGCCATCAGGAGCTCCGGCTGCTGCTGGACCTGCTGCAACGGTATGAAACAATAGTTAAATTTTGTTTTATGTTGTTAATTTTTAGGGAGCCGCAGCTGCTGCACCTGCAGCTGAAGAGAAAAAGGAGGAGAAGAAAAAAGAGGAAAAGAAGGAAGAAAGCGATGACGATGATATGGGCTTCGGACTTTTTGATTAAATGAAGATTGAATTATATTTTAATTAATGATAAATTGTTGCTGTTTTTACGTTGTGTCCTTCATCAAATAACTTTAATTAATAGCATTTCGGGTCTTGGTGCTCACCTAGGGAAGTGAGTTAGGTTAAATTGCTTATAGGCCGTATTGGTTAAATTAGCTGGATGTGAGTAAAGACGCAATCTACCAGTGGTTTAGCCATGATTAGATTCGCCTATTAGTTTAGGAGGAATAAACGCTAGCAGCGTTGCGTGTAGATCAAACTAACAATAGACTTATTTGACTTTAGCGAATACTCAAACACTTAATTTTATCAATAATATTAAAAACATTTGTTTAAAACAATATATCGCAAATCTATCGTCCAAACATCTTTAAAATGTTGTGTCTATTAGCCTTGTTTCTGTGCCTTGCCTGCATCCCACTGTGTGATCTTCAGTTGGGTGTCCTTTTTCGCCTCCACTCCAGCTCCCTTTCTACAATTTCTCAGAGCTGCTGCAGCAACTTGCGAAAAGCGAGTGTAGGTGATTCCAATATCTTTCCTGAAAATTTATCTAGAAATTAAAAGAAGTTTGTGTCTTACCAAAGTGCCATTAAAAAGATAATAGATATTAAATAATATGTATTATGTCAATTCAACAAAGCTAAAATTGAAAAAAAAGTTAATTAAAAAGAAAAATGATTGATGAAGATTATGCGTATAATTAACGGGGAAATTAGAAATTAAAACAGGTAATTTTGAGTTTCGTCGTCCCCCTTTTTCTTACTCAACGAGATTCAAAACAACAAATTACAGCTAATGAGCTCATTTAATTAACACATTTAACTTGGCTGCTACAATAAATCAAATAAAGCTCTAAAAAATTAACAGATATTCGCCCGCATCATGACATTCGCCCGTTTCATAAATTTACAAAAGGTAACTGATCCATATCTCTACACTTTTATTCTCTAATTTAATACTCTCTAAGTTTATCTTTCTTTATTAACGTGTGAAGAATTTCTCGTTTAGTAATTTACAATTGGGTAATTAGTGAAAATTATGTCATTTTGGTAAATGCATTTAAAATAAAACGAATAAAAGAAAATTTTGTTTGTTTTTGTAGTTTGTATTTGTATTTTTGCCTGTGAAAGGAAAGGGTTTAATTTTAATTGATTTTAAACACTTCAATAAAGAGTTCACTCGCATTTAGTTTTTTATTTTTTAGGATTATTTTAAAATTGTATCTTTTTATTGAGTTCTTGTCTTCTCAATTGAGATGACAACTGAATATGATGACGAGAATTGTGGACAATTAGTTATAGCAACGGATGATGAACTTGTTGATTGTCCTCCTGCGAGTCCCAATGGAGAATCAGAATTTTCTTCAACAACTGAACCTTCACAAAAATTAGATGGGGAAAAATCGAACGTGAAAGTTTCAGGTTTTTTTTGTCAATTTCTAGTGTTTTTAATGATTATGTAAAAAATATTCTTGTAGCACATGTTGATTCCTCCACTAGTCAGTCTCAGTCAGCAATTCCCGATTCTACTCAAATCAGTTCAATTGAGACTAAAATGGATGGCTCTAATTTAGAAATAGGAGAAATTGACGGCAAAAAACAGGAACCTTCAAAAAACGTTTCTACTCGAAATAAAAAACGTGAAAAGGTTTCTACTAAAAATTTTGATCAAAAACCTTTAAATGCCGACAAACATCAAAATAAGACGAATGAAGAAAATACTTCCAAAATTGATGTAAAGCATAAACCGCATGGTGTCCACAATTTTCTTAGCGGAACTTTGAATAAAAAGGTAAATTTTAAAATATTTTACTTTATGTGGGTTTTCTTAATTTTTCTGGACATTTGTGCATGCGGATAAATTAAATTTAAGCTGCATATATAAATTTAAGGCGTCTTTTCTTTTATAATTTATTTTTACATAATTTTAACTTTAAAAAATTTTAATTTTAACAGACAATGATCGATAAATCGACATGTGTTTTTACTAGGGCAAATGGGACATCTAATGGTTTGGAAGAGCATTTACTTTCGATGCGACCTGGAACAAACGTAACAATTGATATAACAATAATTTGCAAATCTGGTGGAAATACTTTGTATATTTGTGCAAAATGGCGTGGACAGGAATATCATGGGGTTTTAACTGACGGAGAGCCTTTATTTTCTCATCATCATTCTCAAAAAAGGTTAGTTTTTGAATTAATTTTGCTAAACCCCCTTAATATAACCTTGCGTTTTTTAATAGAAATGCTAATTCAAATAGTAACAAATCTCATTTTGATAATGATGGAAGTGGGCCTTCTCATAGTATGGCAGCAGAAGGAGATCGTGCCAGTAGTATTGGAGGAGTAAAACGAGGTGGTAAGCGTGGTGGTACTCATTTATCAAAGCCATCGATTGCCACAAGTGGTCCAGAAGATAAACGATTGAAGAATATTGCTGATGGTAGGAAAGCTTCCAAAGATTCTTTAAAAATAAAAAAAGAATTATTTAGATACAGCTGGGCAACCAAATCATGCAAATAAACAACTCGTTTCTTCAAAAAGTTGTTCAGAACCAACAACTCCCGGTCCAGTCTCTAGCGAGCAAAGCAGTTCTTCATCCAATGCATTCTTTCCTCATGCAGTCCCACACTCTCCTATTGCCTCTACTTCTTCAAATCCTTCATCTTTTCACAAACAAATTGCCAAACGTCGTCTTTCTTCAGCTTCCTCTTCTTCTCAAAATACACATCATGGTCTATACGAAGCCTCGAGAAGATCATTTCCTCATCGATGTCCACATAAACAGTGTGGTTTTAGATTTGGAGCTATCCCCGACTTGAACACTCATTTGCTGATTGGTCATCAAGATTTTGAACGAACGAAAGCTGTTAGTTTAATTAATTAATTGATAAATAATAGAGGATATGATTCATTTTTTATTAAAAATTTTGATGATTCAAGTTTCCAATGATTTTTTTAAATTATGTAGTAGGGTGACATACCAATTTTTCTGTAAATTATCAACCATTAGATGGCTTTTAGATAATTTTTCATTAAAATTAAATTTTTAATATTTCATTTTTTAATTTTAAGGCAATTCTTGAATCAAGTGCAACTCAAACAATTTCTCCTGAAATGAATTCAATAGGATGTGATCCTCTTAATATTTCACAAAATAATGAAGAGTCTTCATCTTCACACATTCTTTGTTTTAAATGTAAACAATTATTAACAAAAGAAGAAAAAGAAGCTTTTAAAAATTGTCAAACAACTAAAATTATTCGTCCAAATACTTTAACTATCGATGAACAAGAAGAAGAAGGGCCTTCAACTACAAAGAAACAACGTTTACAAAAAACAAAAGAAGCAGAAAATGATGATTCTCCAGGGTTTTCTGATATTTCTGATGATGCGGCGCCGACTTTAGAAAAACAAGAACAAGTTGGTTTTTGATTTAGAAAATGATTTTTTAATATTTTTATTCAGATGTTTGACAAACAAAATGATGATCAGCAAGCGAGTCAACAGAATAAGAATAAAAACGAGTAGGGTATTTTATTTTTACATAATTCTTTTCCGGGAAATAATGAGGGGTTTGGGGAAAAACACCTTGTTAGTCTCTTTAAATTGACTGTTCGAAGTCCGGATGTAATACTAGGATCAATGAATCGAACGGGAGCTCTCACTTTTCAGGCTCATAGTTTCAACTTTTTGGATTGATTTTTAATATATTTTTTTCTCCTCTAGAATTCCCTTTACTATTGCTGACATTGCTTCTTCTTCCTTAACAACATCACCTTTATTTCTACAAAAATTAGTTCCAGGTGATGGTCAATTAATTGATTCTGCTACTTTATATTTACAACAATTGCAACAACAACAAGAACAATTAAAAGGCGAAAATGAAAACAAAAATTTATTAGAAGAATCGATAACTTCTTCAACAAATGTTGGAAGAATATCAACAGATTTAAATAATGAAAGATCTCAACAACCACAACAACAAACATTTAATGAAACTTCTTTTCCTTTTTCTGTTTCATCAAATATAGATCCTTCTAATCTTCAACCAGGGATTTCTGCTACAATGTTTGGACAACAAAATCCGTTTGCCATTTCTCAACTTCAGGTTTCCTTTTAATATTTAATGGAAAATTTAAGACGAAATCGGATAGTGATTGGATTTTATCTAAAATATAGGAATGTTTTATTTGGGCATACCCCGAAAATTTGCCAAGAATTAGGGCTAAACTCTAAAAACAATTAATATTTATTTAAATCTCATAATTTCGAAAAATGGTTTTTGTTAAGGCTTTTGTTGCCGCCAATCAACAACAATCATCTGCTTCTCCAAAATTCCTTAATCCTTCATCATCGGGTTTATTGTCTTTGGGTACTCCAATGTCTTCTACTGCTACAAAATTGGATGCAAATGCACAGGTTCAAAGAGATTTTTAAAGAAATCTCTAAATACTTTTTTTAGATTCATCATAAAATCTACGAACTACAAGAGCATGCAAATACTTCTGGTCGAGGTGAACAATTGGGAAATGTTCATATTTCTGCGGCATCACGTTCTTCATCTACCAAACCTTTACAATCACAAATAGGTAGCACGGTTTCTCCGATTCCATCAATGAGGCCAAATTCGGCGATTGCCAGTGGTGGTGTAAGTCAACAACAGAGAGGATGTAATATGATTTTTTGCCCATTTGTGTTTAAAATAAATTTTTAATTTTTTAGCTTCCCAAAACGATCAATCAAGCATTTCACAAAATTCACAACAACATCAACAAAACTTGCAAAAACCTCAACAATTATCACAACAACAACAGCCAACACTCTTAAATCCATCTAATCCTTTCTTTCTCCGTCCCCCTTCCAATCCTGGTATGGCCTTTCTGCCTTCAAATCCAAGTTTTGCCCCGCCTTCTATAACACCAAGTTCTGCAGCACCCCCAAATAATGCTGCTGCTCTTTTTGCGATTCAGCAACAAATGGCTATGGCACAGCAGCAACAACAGGCAATGAGAAGAAATTCTAATAATAATAATGTTCCTCCAATGCCAACAACGAGTGGGGGAAATACATTACTTCAACAACAGCAAATACAACAACAACAAATTCCAACATCAATGTTTGCTCAACCATTTGGAGGGCAGATGGTTAGATTTTTGGGATTTTTATAAGAAGATAAAATTGTTACCTAACAGCTATTTTGGGGTAATGCTATATTAAAATTTTTGGATAAGTCTTTTCCTTAACTGAAAAATATAGATATTCGTTTATTTTTGAAATATAGAGCTTTTCTCGTAATTTAAAAAAAATTTTCAGCAAGTCCCTCCAGGTTTATTGGCAGCAGCCGCCTCTGGAATGGATTTTAACGTGTTACAACAATATGGTAATTATTTAAATAAAATCTTTTTTAATTAATAAATCATTTTAGCTGCTTTAATTAACCAAGCTAGTGGAAGTAGTGGTGGTGCACTTCCACAATCAAATAATAATTTGCCTCATATTCAACAACAAAATCACAATCAAAAATAGGGCTCAAAATATTTTTTGTGAATTTAATTTTGCCATATTTTACTTAATCTACTTATTTATTTCTAATTTTTTAACATTTAGATGTCAGGAACTAACACAAAAATGATAACATTTATTGTTAGTTTAATTCTTTTTTTTATTTAAATTTAATCGAGCCTCTATTTTTGAATTTTTGTTTAAAAGTCCTTTCCCATGTTTAAAGTTTTCTCTTTCGGATTTGGTTTCTGACCCGACAGAGTGTTCGTTGGCTGATTTTCTAACATTCCCAACCATGAATTTCCAAAATACAAAACTTAATTGAACGAAACGAAAAATTTTTTGGGCATATCTAAATTTTACTTTTGACAATTTTGTCTAGTTTTTAGAAATTTAGGTAGTTAATATAGAGGTTCGATTTTAATATTTAATATTTAAAAATTATTTTTCTTTGTTATAATTTTTTAAAATTGTGTTTCTTTTTTGGGCCAATATATTGCTTTCTTTTTTCATTTTCCTTATTTTCAAAATTATTTATGTTTACGGCATTCTTTCAATTTTTTTTTTGAAAAATTGCTCTATATCCCGTCTTTGTATAATTTTTATAATTAATATATTTTTAAATAATTTTTTTATAAAATTTTTTGTTTTTAAAGAGGGGAAAAGTTTTTCTTAAAATATAGCTATTTCCGGTATTTTGATTTATGTTTAACAGACATGCTAAGGGGTTTGAGAAAGGAATTCTTTTATTTATTGTTAGTGAAGGTGGAGATTTAAATTCCTATCAGGAAATTAAAAAAAAAGATAAAAATATTAAAAATAAATTCGAAAATAAGTAAAATTATTTGTTGGTTTATGAAAGAGGAGTTAGGAAAATTGTTTAAAAAAATTTTGTTTTAATTTTTTAGATATGTTAATTAATTTATCTTTTATAATAAAAAGATTTTTGCGTAATGGACGTAGACATTGGGACAGTTTTTGTGAATATACAGAACTTCCCGGTTTTCGTTTTATGACGTCAAAAGTAACTTATATTGTTAGGTAATTTTAATTTTGAGGAAAAAATATTTTAATTTCTCTCAAAAAAGAATTGTAGCAATAACAACATCAATTTTTTGTTTAATTGGAATGTGTGCACAATTATATTATTTAATTTTACAATATTTAAGAAATCAAATACAGACATCTTCTAGAAAATATAAAATACAACATATGGCTTTGCCTTTAGTTTATTTATGTCATCCACTTGATAGAAAGTTTGTGGGGGAAATGTGGGAAGAAAGAAAATTTTGTTTAAGTTTTGTGAAATTCCTTCCATAATCCTTCAGTTTTGTCTCAAAAAAGTGTTAATTCTTACATGGGTGAAGAACAATTTATAATAATATTCCTGCCTTCATATTCCCTTATTTTTTCTCCTCTCCTCTCCCCCCCCCCCCTTCCTTTTTTTGATTTTCATAAAATTTAAGAAATTATCCATTACCACTTCTCGATGTTTGTAGAAAATCTGTTTTTGAACATGGCTCTCCTGATATTTCAAATAATGAATTAATGCAACGTGTTGTTCCTTAGTAAGTTTAATCTGATATACCCCACTCTCCAATAAAAATAAAATTTAAAGTTGTATATATTCCCTCAAATTAATTGACTATAAATGTGAATTAAGATGTAAATGGACTTCTCAGGTAAATTTAAGGAAGGGAAATAAATAAAAAAATATTTTTTAAATTCTCATTTTTGGGGATTTTGTGTTGAAACTCGATTAAATATTACAAGTGTAGACAATACAACAATAACAAAAATTGAAGAAGAAAATAATGATGTTGAGTTTTCTCGTAAAGAATATATTTTTATAAATTTAAAAATTTTTTTTTATATTTTAAAGAAGTAACAGACTACGAAATTAAAATTTATTTTAATTCAAGTATTCAACCAGATGCTGCTCCAAATACTTTTGCATTAGCTCTTGTAAGTCTTTTCTCTCTTCGACATTTTTAAATATTTTGCCTGATTGGACATTTTGAAAATAAAGCGAGTTTAGAGTTTTCGTTATTTTTCTCCCTTCTTTACATTATTAAATCTTGCTAAAAAGCCAAATGCAAGTTAGAGAAATAATAAAGTGAGAGAGTCAATATGTTAGTGTTTCTCTCTATGTCTTCTATTCTGAAAAATTCGTTTATTTTATATCATGTCTGAAATTTATTATTTCTTTTTACACTTATTTTGTTGTTTTTGTGCATTCATCGGTTTAATTTAGGGTTGCGCCCCGACCCCGACTAACCCCGACCCCGACCCCGAACCCCGACATTTTTTGACCTAAAACCCCGACCCCGACCCCGACATTCCCAACCCCGAAAACCCCGACCCCCGAAAGTTCGACCCCGACGACCCCGAACCCCGAAAAATTTGTATGACCCCGACTCAAACTGCATTAATTAACTTTTATATATTTTTTTGTTGGCATTCTGCTATGATTTTGATAAAACAAAAGAAAGGATAAGACTAGAGATCGGCAAGGACACGATCCCGCACAGGATTTTTCAGGATCCTGTCCGAAATCCTGCCTTTTTCCTGCCGAAATCCTGCCTGCGTGGCTGAAAAAAGAAGAAATCTGGCACCGAAATCCCAAAAGTTTTGCTTACGGCGCTGTAAAGGGAAGTTAAATGGTATATCAGAGAATTTGGACAGATAAAGGGGTATTTTGAGTTATATCGCTGAATGAAATTATGGATTTTAGTGATATTCGGATATTTGAAGTAGAGTTGGACAAGCCGAGACCGATACCGAGATTTTCGGCTTTTTCCAAATATCGGTCTCGGTTTTTTCATTCTCGGTCTCGAAACCGATACCGATATTCTCGGTCCATTTCTCGGCGAGAAACGATACTGACTCAAAGACCCCAATTTTCTTGTTTTTTAATAAAACTGAGGATTTTTGACCTTTGGCCTTCTGAATTTCAAAAAATTTTCGCCTGCGGCGCTGAAAAGAGTGAATCCTTTATTTGCCTTACAAACTCCGAGCATTTATCTAAGCCCTCACGATTGAGTTCGCACGACTCTTTTATCTAGCTCAACTGAGTCCCAGTAATTTAATAAAATTAAAAGGCGTAAATACAATACTGGGTTATTTGGAGGGATTTGGCTGTTTATGGGGATATCAATGGATTTGGAGGGATATCGAATGTAAGGCGGTGGGATATCGAATGTAATCGAATGTAATATACTTTTGTAACAGAGTGTATAATCCTTTTACCCTACTATTATATTTTTTTAAAAAAGGATGTTAGCCATCAATCGAATCGGATCCAGATGATGAAGAGTATTTATCTGATGATTTGGATGATGAAAATAATGAATAAATTATTTTTACACGTATTTTCGACATAAAATAAAAATTTCTGTTAGTATCGGTCAGTATCGTTTCTCGGTATCGGTCTCGGCTCAAAATGATGGTATCGGTCTCGGTATCGGGTTCTTGAGTATCGGTCAGTCTCGGTCTCGGGTTGGCCGATACCAGTATCGTTTTGTCCAACTCTAATTTGAAGGGATCTAAGGGTATAGTGAGGGATTTGGCATTCCGAAGCGGTATTACTTGAACTAGATTTTTCCCCTATTACTTTCTACTCGACTTACATACTTGGAATACCAAACTTTTGACCCAACAATGGGGGATGTTGACTCAGTGATGGGGGAAGTTTCCGGATATCAGAAATCTTTTGTTCGGATCCTAGAATTAGGGAAAAATAAAAGAAAACTGGTCCATTAATTTTAGATCCTTTTTTTCGCCTGCGGCGCAAAACATGGAAGAAATCTGGCTTCTTGACCTCCAGAATTCTCAAAATTTTTGCCTACGGCGCTAAAAATGTAAGAAATCTGGCTTCTCGACCTCAATAATTCTCAAAGTTTTCGCCTGCGGCGCTGAAAGAGGAAGAAATGAACAGTAATGTTTGATAAAAATGCTGGATTTTGTAAATTTTCACTTCAACCCCGACCCCCGACCCCGACCCCGAACCCCGACATTATTTTCAGCCCCGACCCCGACCCCGAACAATTTGAGCAACCCCGACCCCGACCCCGACTTTGTCAACCCCGAAAACCCCGACCCCCGACTTTTTCAACCCCGAAGGCTCGGGGCGCAACCCTAGTTTAATTACCCAAGTTCGAGGTAAACATTAACTTCGGCTCTCGAAAGAGTGGCTATACTTGGGATAAATTTTGGAATTGCTCTGCTTGTGTGGAGCTTAAAATTGATTTTTTGTGTTACAATTATGTATAGCCTTATTTTCAAAATGTTCAATCAAACGATTATTAAAGGTGTCACACCATGTTTTTTTATGTATCTATTAAGAATTTAAAATTAAAAAGGTTTTTCTTCGTTTTGCTGGTGATGCCATTAAATGGCCAACAATTATTCCTTTAGTTGGGGCCGCCCATATGATAATGGAAAGAGATGCATTAAATATATTACAAGTTGTGGAAATATTAAAAGTATTTTAATTTGTCTCTCTCTCTATTAAAGAGTCTCCCCTCTCCCATTTAAAGATAATTCGTAATGATTTGCCAAATTCAGAATTAGTACCTTTTAATTCTTCATATGAATATTGTGTTTGGAGAACAAACAGTGAATTAGCAATAAATGGAGGGTGGAAATGCCCTAGTGAATTTATTACAAAGTTGGATATTCTAAAAGTTTTTACTTAAATTTTCTTCAGTGTTTTTGCCAATAAACCAGAAGACTTTGAAAACGTTACTTATGGATTGTCTGAATGTGCGCTTCAAAGAGCTGATGCTGCTCAAAAACGATGCCGTGAAGATAAAGAATTTAATCGTTTTACTGTCGAATCAGCCATTTATACAAGAAGTGCTGCTGAGGCAGACGGACTTGATCCGTAAGAGAAAAATTTTTCTTTGAGATATCTCTCTCTAAAAATGACTAGTTTTGGTGTAAAAGAGGGGGGGATGGTTGTCTTTCAAAGGGGCCAAAAAACTTTCAACTAAAAAAATTCTTAAAAATCCCTATCAAGAAGAAATTCTCCAAATCTCCGAGTTTATCCTTCTGATGTAGCTATGCAAGAAACTTTTCATCAATTACGTTCTGCAGAATGGAAAATGATGAGTAAATTTTGTGAACAAATTTTAAATAAAATTTAAAAAAAGGCGAAGTTGGAGGAACAATGGCACTTTATTTGGGGTTTACTTTAATGGGGTTACTTGAAACAATTGTTTTCTTAACCGTTGAACATGTTAGAAATGTGGCTAGACAATTAGACGAGGAAAGTCAATTAGCTAGAAAGAATCCTCCAATAAAGAAATTATTTAATCAAAATTTATTTAAAAAATTATTTGGAAAGAAAAGATGAGATTTTTCTAAATTTGATTCGAAATATTTCGTTGTTTTTTAACTCTAAATAATTTTTGAAGCATACGAAAGTCTTTGGTAAAATTATTTTTTTTATGTGTTTCTACCAGATTTTATTTTTACGATGTAGAGACGTGCGCCAAAATTTTGCGTGGCGCGCCAAACGCCAAAAAGTAATTCTAAAAAGCGCATGGCGCACATATTTACTGAGAAAAGAAAAACTATGAGAGGAAGTTTAGAGAAAAAAAGCTGCTACGCAGGGTATTTGGGGTCTCTCTCAATCCCGTTACGGGATCTCGGGAATTTTTTTCAAATTTACGGAATTTATAATTACTCCATTAAACTGCCTGCGGCGTTGAAAAAGGAAGAAATTGGCTTCCTGGCCTTCCAAAATTCTCAAAATTTTCGCCTGCGGCGCTAAAATATGAAAAATCTAGTGACCTGGGCTTCCAAAATACACTAAAATGGAAGAAAGCTGGCTTCTTAGCCTTCCTTCTTAGCCTTCCATTGGCTTCTCCTTTCAAAATTCGAAAAGCTTTGCATGTGGTGCATGGATTACGATTATTAAGAGGGATTTGGAGAAAAATAGGGTTGTCAGGGAGGGGTCTCTTAATTTGTCTCTTAATCCACTGATATACCTCTTAATCCTCTGTTATCTATTAATTCCTCCCTTAATCTGTCGAAATCCACCAATATTATTTCCAAATCCGACGATATTCAACATATTTATAATTAAAAAATTTTTTAAATTAAAATCCCGGAATCCCGCGGGATCCCGGTAAATTTGAGAACGGGATTACTGGGACTCCGGGATTAACGGGATTAATCCCGCGGGATCCCTCCCGTTCGATATTTTCAAACTCAATCCCGTTACGGGATCCCGGAAATGCGATTTTGCCGATCTCTAATGCAGGATATGGAATTTTTAAAATTAAATCCACGGGGACTCAATTGAGGTATATACAACGGGGACTCAATCGTGCGGACTCAATCGTGGGGACTCAATCGTGCGGACTCAGTTGAACTGCTCCGTCAATTTGCAGTTCGTTGCAAAATTTTGTAGTCTCGATTTAAAAATTTTCTTCATTTTTATTCCATTTATTTAGGCAAATTACGCGTAAATTCTTTTAAAATTTAATTTTATTATTAAAGTTTATTCTTTTTAAAAGTAAAAAATGAGGAAATTTCAATTATTTATTTTGTCTGTTTGTGTATTTATTTTATTTTCTTTTGGTAATTTTTTTGTTTAAATTAAAAGTTTTCATTTCAAATTTTTTAGCTCCTTCATTAATTCATGCAGAAAATGATGCTGTTGAAGATGAAGAAATTGACAATAATAAAAATAAAGAGGAGGAAATTAAGGAAAAAGAAAATTCAATTTTGGTAATTAATTCGAATTTAAATTAAAGTTTTTTCCTTTTTTTAAAGAAGGATGACACAGAAAATGGCAATCAAGAGTCAATGGGCCCCTCCCCAGATGTCCAAACTTCTTGTATTTTGACAAGCCTTAAAGGGGGTCCAAATTCGAGAGAATTAATTGCTGGCCAAATTGTGAAAGTTTTAATTGGAATTGCAAACAAAGGAGAGCGGGATTTAATTGTTAAAAGTTGTGAAACTTCTTTTCGTTATCCTCTTGATTTTTCTTATTATACTCAAAATGTTTGTTTGTTTTTAATTTATAAGGAAATTTTGAATATACTAAATTAAATTATTCCCCTTTAAGTTATTTAATTTTGGGTGGGAATCAAGGAAGGGCCAGCTTACCCGAACTTCGATGACCGAACAATTTTTAATTCGAAAGCAGATCCGAAGATAATTTTGAAAACTCGATTCGAAATTCGCCCTGACATTTTCTTTTTTTCAAAATTTTTTTTCATTTTGGCCCATTCGAGGTGGAAACATTTTAAAAATTCCCTACTCTCATCTCCCAATAATTTCTAAAAAACATTTTTCTCTTCCAAAATTATTTTTTTAGTTTTCAACAGTTCGTTATGAACGTTTAGTACAACCAAAACAAGAAGCTACTTTTGATTATGCATTTATTCCTTCAGACGTTTTTATTGGCCGTCCATTGGGTTTAGTTGTTGATTTACATTATGTTGACACGGTAATTAATTTTTTTAGAAATTTTTAAAAATATTTTTTAGGATGGACAATATTTTGTTAGTGCTGTTTTTAATGAAACTGTTACAATTACTGAAGATGAGACTGGATTTAATACAGAAACGTTGGTTTTTTAGATTTAATGAAATAATTGGGGATTTTAGGAAATTACGCAAATTATTTGTTTGGTAGTTCTTAAAAAAATTTTTTTGACATTTTTTGGTCCTAAAAATTACATTCTGATTGGGAGAGGAAAAAAATAAGTTTTTCAAAATATCTTTTACAAGAATTCCCAATTTTTCTAATAAAATAATAAAAATTTAATTCATTTTTCCAGTTATTTTATTTATTTGATACTTGCTGGATTTGTGGTTATTTTGGTATTAATTGCACATCATTATATTACAAAGGTTTATTTTTAATTTTTAAAAATTATTTTTTATCTTCATTTTAAAGTTTACTCGAAGCAATTCAGGAAAATCAACCTCAAATAAGCCAAGTAACAATAATATTTCAAATGTCCCTCCAAATTATGAAATGGGAACAAATAAAAATGATGTGGATTTTGAATGGATTCCACGAAATAATTTGGGTTGGTTTTTTTAATTTTAAGGCAAAAATAAGGGGAAATGAGGGAAAGAAATTTTCCTTTTCATCACAAGTCTTCCTTTTAATTTTCAAAAAAATTTTTTTTCCAGATTTGAAATCGGCACAAAAGACTACACCCTCTCGTAATCGAAAACAGCCTCGCCAAGCGGCAGCCAGTTAATTTTAAAAAATTGAAAAAATTGTTCTCTTATTTAAATGAAAATTTAATATTTAATTATTTTCTCTTTGATTTGTTAAAAAAATATGTAAATTTTCTTTTGTTTTTTTTGGCCTCATTATGAGTAATTATATTTTAGCTTATTTTAAAATGTTTAGTTGGATAAAAATATTTTTAAAGAAAAAATTTTGTAAAAAAATTTTTTTTTGAATTTTTATAAGATTGTAGGGAAGGTAGGTTAAATAAATAAAAAATATTTTTTCGTCATCAGACGGACACTAAAGTACTTTAATTTTTAGTTTTTTAGAGACGGTCCCTCACTTCCATTTGTCTCTCGGCTGGTCAGAAAATACCCTCCCCGCCCCTTTTAGAAAACAACTGATGAGCAAAAATATAATGCTAGACGGTCCCTTTATATATAATTCTGTATTTTATTCGAAGAAAAGAGTGACAAATGTAAAAAGTCTAAAAAGAGAGAATATCTAATTAAAAAATTAAGCTGATTTTTAGGAAGAATAAATACAAAATGTTTTTGTTATTAATTTTGTATCAGCTTGTATGGTTTAGGCAACCTAACAAGACATTCATCCGAGTATCTGATAAGATTGAAAAGTGTCAAGCTCTGACAAAGATGTATGTACTTCTTCCGAAAGCTATTCATTGACTACCTTTTGGTACCGCTAGTTGAGTCTGTGATAACTATTAAGCAATGATCAAGAATACCTCATCTCTTACCTTGTACTCAACTGGCAGGATTCAACCGACGAGATACTCAGCCAGTCTAACTGTGAGCTCATTATACTCTCCATTCTTTTCTTATTCGTCAGCACTCTCAGTAATAAAACACTCTTTTGCACTTCGCACTTGCACTTTATCTTGAATAAACAAAGAGGTGGAAGATGAAGCGAGCTAGCGCGACAGTCAGCAAAAACTTACCATATCAATCGATTTTCAGGGTAGACACACACATCAAACCAACTAGCTGGTTGTATATTCGTCTAGCTACTTCGATTTATTTACACTATTTCGCTAGTAATTTCTATGCTCTAATCGTATTTACTATACCCTACATTTCACGTAGAGTAGTTCACGATGGCGGCCAATACGTTCATACCTTTGTGCTTAATACGAGCCGTTGTTGTTGGACGTCGTCGGACTATGGACGTTGGGTCAGCCGCTTCACAAAAGCGCGTTACCGCGTATTACCCAAAATCTCGGCACTATGCAAATTTCTATCCACAAACTTTCATTCTAGATGATCGCTAAACTTGACTCTTAGCTCTCTAACCTTACCTAATGTCAGCTGTATTGTACTAGATATACCGAACTAGGAGATCGATACAAGCTTCTCACTTCTCTTCTGGATGTTAATTTTGTTCTATGCAAAATCTCACAAGGATGATAAAAATTAAAATAAGGCTACCGAGGAAAGTTGCGTTTTAAGGAGAAAATTTTTAAAATGAAAAGCGTTAGATCTACAAATTTTATTTTGTGATTATTTTGATTTTTTTTAATTTTCAGATTTTCGGTGAACTCTTCTCCCTCTATACATAAATATATTTTCAATCACCGCTGATTTAATTCTTCAGAATTTTTCAGTAAAATTTTTTCAAATTTTATTTGACCGTATCTGGTTTTTTCTCTCCAATTACGGTATCAACAACAAAACATCAAAAAACGTTCTCCTTTTGTCAACAACAAAACATCCCCAATTATCAAAACAAAAATTATCAGTCGGCGGCTAGCGAGCAAAAGTCGACTGAATGCCGTATGAGCGGCGTCTTTAAAACTTCATCCCCAGCGGACAACAACAACAAAAAACAGCAACACAAATTACAGGAAATACAAAGTAGAATAAGGTTTGAGAAACTTTTGATTTTAATGAGGGAATTTCTTTGGGGGGTTTTCTTTCTGTCAGTTTTTATTTGTTTAATTATTGGGGTTATCAACTAAAATTCAGTAATTTAACCGCACATATAGAGGGTAACAAGGGCGTATCCGGGGGGCTAGAGCCTTCTTCCAAAACGACCCCCTGGTACGGCCTTGATGGGTAACCGAAGCCTTCTTAATATTAACATAAGCTTCAAATCTAGCCTAAATTTTCTCTTAATTTTGAATTAGATTTTAGTTTGTTGTCCTAATTAGCTAAATTTCCAATTTAATTCTTCTTTATTTTTTCTAAATTTTTTTTTTAATTTAAAGAGTGCAGCAATCTCAACAACAACAAAATAATCGTATTCCCTCTCCACCATTTTATTCTTCTGCCCCCTCTTTCTCAAACAACAATTGCATTCAAAAACAACGAATTGAGTTCAATCACGTTGATAATATTCAAAATATTGTAAAGACTTCTGAAGATAAAAATAGCAGCAACAATAAAAATTGGGCTGCAAAAACATCCCTTCTTAATAGATTGAGATTAAAGTCTGCTTCTTTTGAAGGAAGAAAGTGTAATAATGGTGGAAACGATAAAGAGAAAATTGAAATAAATGGAACCAAAGAGGTTAATTTTTGATAATGTTTTAAACTTTATTATTTTTATCCCTATATTTTTTATATCAATGAGTACACGAATCAAATGTTCTGTTTTTAATTTAAAAAATTAAATTCAGCTATAATTAACCATAAATCAAATCCCAAATATAGAGCATTTTGATTTTTTAGTAACCTTTATTGGAAAAGGTCAAGAATACGTACCACTCACCAATATGGACAAATCATATGTCATTTGAAAGAGCTTGACGAGAGGAGTCGAATGACACTAAAATCAATGGGCGGTCTCAACTCTAAGCTGAGATACAGGGGTTTAAAACGGTCAAAAATATCTATCAAATACTTGTAAAAATGATATTATACAAATGATAGCTCATTTGAAAGAGCTCCTCGAGCTGAGTCGAATGACGCCAAAATCAGCTCGAAATCTTAATTTTGAGACGAGATAAACAAGCTCAAAATGGTCAACATAAACCTATGGGGCGTCGGCGAGGCGCTTGTGCAAAACCCCGCGCTTCGCGCGGGGTTTTGCGGCACGCGCCTCGCGGGGAGTCTACGGGCGCTGGGTCTGGGCTCGTAACATAAACCTATTCCTATCTCCCTTGCTCTGGACATATTTGGGGCCTCCGTGGCAGCAAAAATCTCCACAGATGACATAGGTAAGGAGCTAAAAGAAAAGATTATAACTTTGTCCAATCAAGTCGGATTTCGTTGATTTTGGTGTCATTCGACTCAGCTCGACGAGCTCTTTCGAATGAGCTATTATTTGCATATTCGAAATTTTCACTCCAAAATTGAGCTTACTCCCCCTATGGTTTTTCGATTTTCAGGGGCCTATATCTCAGCTCAGAGTTGAGACCGCCAGTTGATTTTGATGTCATTCGACTCCTCTTGCCGAGCTCTTTCAAATGACATATAATTCGTCCAGATTGGTGAGTGGTACGTATTCTTGACTTTTACCCCTTTATTTTCCTGTAAAGTAATGCTTGTACCCTCTACAAAAATTTTTTAAAGAATATTTATATTCCTTTAATTCTTTACTTTTCAGCAAACTGAAATAAACAAAAATAATTGTATTTTGCTTGCTGACGAGGCATTTACAAAGGCTTCCTCTTCCATTTCAATCTCAAATCCAGTTGGTGCTATAAGCACTACAAACCAAAACAATTTCAATCATTCATTGTCAGCGTTGAATTCAACTTCTACTTCCGGTGCCTTAAATAAACAACGTTCTCCTTCTCCACCGCCTTCTCTTTTTGCTAATACTGACAACTGTATTAAACAAGAATTCGATCCAGAACTAAGTGCCTCTTTGTTTGAGCAATCTAGAACGCTTTGTGATAATAAAAATACTTCAAATTCTTTAACAAATACATTAACAGGTTAGAAATTTGCATTTTTATAAACTTTTAACTTTTCAATATCTCAATTTTTTTCAGAGCCTAGTCAAAGTATCAATACAGAAACACCCCATTTCTCTTCCTTCCCCAACTCCTTTGTTGACTCAGAAGTAAATACACCTAATACATTAATTGAAAAGAGAGACGATAAATTAGAGCAACAGAATCTCCCCTCTCCGCCATCAACATCTGCTGCCTCCCAACAACAGCAAAAATCACCATCCTTAGAACCGTTTGCTGTACCTGCACTACCAACACCAAAACAGAAGGCCGTTCCTCTTTCGTCTAATCGTCAGGAAGAACCAAAACTTTTGAAAAAAGAACAAGAAGAAATACAAACTGAACAAGAAACTAATTGTTTAAGTGCAGCTTCAACATCTTCTCTTAAAACTGAGCAGGTTTATTTTTTTAATCTCTAGTTAAAAATTAATTTCATTGACAAAAATTAAATTGTTTGTCGAAATTCTTAAATAAAGTAACGTTTAATATTTTCAGACCAACGTTTCTCAAGTTCCTTGTACCTCTATTAATAACGAAAAACAAAACTTAAAACAACAATTACCACCAACTTATTTTCAAAGTACTTCATTTGACGAGACCGAAGCTACAAGTAGCTCTAAACTAGAAAGCTTTGAAGTCTTTCTAGATAAAGAGAAAGGTAAATCGACTGGGACTTCGGAGGTGCTAGCAAAGTCTAAACGTTTGTCTTTGCGTGTAAGTTCAGCAGCTGCTCTTCAATTTAATCGGCTTGCTTTACACCATTCTAAAGCCTTGAATATATTAGGTTGGCCTTTTCTTCATAATTTTTTCTAATTTCCTTTTAAAGGTATTAACTCTATACAATTAAAATCATCTCTCAACTGTTTATCACCAATTATTCAAATTGTTGATAAACGGGCTTCTTTCGATTATCTTTCACAAAGAAGAGCGCGTCTTCATCAATTAAGGAATCAAAAACAAACCCTCATTCAACTTATTCAAAAAGAACAACTTGAGGCAGTTGCGGCCTTACACCAACGGAACTCGCAAAGACATCAAGTTACTTATTTACCTGGAAAGACAGCAACACCAAACGTTGCTGGAGCTTCCATGTCAAGTGTTGCACAGACGTCTAAAAGTATATTTTATTAATATTGTTTCTATCCTATTTGGTGCATTAAAAGGAATTCGAAAAGGGTTTCCTATTGTTTTTTTTTAATAAAATAGGCATTCGACAAGGATTAAATAAAGTTGGGTTTTTAAATTGCCGAATCTGGGTTCAAATTGCCGAATCAAATTGCCGAATCGGATTTTAGAAAAATATTCAGTTTCTGCCTAACAGATCTCAGAATCCGGTCTTGGACTCGGCTCGATTGCGAATTCTAGTATTAATTGATGTTCATTTTACTAATACCACCACTATCAAAATATCTAAATTATAGAGCAATTTTATTTTTAGAGCGTTTAGTGCCAGTTCCTGCTGAATCTTCACCTCATTTAAATTCACAACATCATGTCCAAAGACAACATAACTCCTCCTCATCCTCTTCAAATTCAACAACTCCCCAACAGAGAACTCCACCTTCACATCCTTATTGCCCAGTACAACCTTCTTTTTCGTCTCCTTCATCAACATCTATTCTCCAACAACAAAATGAACATCAACAGCATTCTAATAAAAATAAAAACAACGATGGTTCATATTTAATGCATTCAGCGCCAATTCCACAACAACAACATTCTACTATTAATGCGCAGAATCAAACTTTGGCAAGTGCTGGTGCTGCTGAAAATAGCCCCCTTCTAGTCAATTTATTGAAGTGATTTTTTTATATCCCCTTAACACCAGTTTTTCTATCTTTTTTTTAGCAATAATGCTTCTTCCCCTGCTATTCAACAAACACAGAAGCCACAACAAATTCTACAGCAAAATGTTACACCTTTACCTCAACAGCAGCAAATGATGATGATTAAGCAACAGCAACAAATGGCAGCTCTACAGCAACAACACCCTAATGCTATGGGTCAAGCACATCAAGTGAATTCACATCAATATGGTGTTCCAATGAATCCGCAACAACAGCAGGTTATTTTTGATATAAAAATTATTTTTCGAATTTTTATTAGGATTTATCTCTAATTTTATTACACATTTAATTTTCAGCAAATGTATCAGCAACAACAGCAAAGGTTGGCTCAACAACAATCAATGATGTATAGTGTTGGTCCATCTGGTGTGATAAATAACACTCCACAACAACATTACATGATTGTTGGTTCTCCACCAACAGGCTCTTCACCATCACAATATCATCGTCAAGCTACGCATTACGGTGCTAATGGTCAACCAGCACCAGGTGGAATTGTTGCTTCACCGCCTGGCGCCCCGTCTCCTTATTTTGGAATGCCTACAAATTATGTGCCTCAACAAATGATTATTCCAACTACTGGTGCCGATAAACAAGGGTCATCTGGTCAGATGTTTTCTATCGGTCCTCCGATTAACAACACTCAATTAGCTGTGGAAGAATTACCGAAGAAAAGAAAGCGAATCTCTAAAAAGCAACAACAGAAGGTTGTAAATATTTTGTGTTTAAATATTATTTAATCCAAATTATTTTTTTCTTATTCAGGAGGAACGTGAACGCGAGCAGCGATTGCGTCTCCAAGAGCAACAACAACAGGCAGCAATGGCTGCATTTCGACAACACCAACAAATGGCTTTTATGCAGCAGCAACAACAACAGCAAAGAATGGCTGCCGTGAATGTTGGCATGCCTCAGCAAGTGTGTGGTGGTATGGTGATGCCTTCAAACATGCAAAATTGTCAAGTTCCACCGGGGCAAGTTATTGCTGCTCAACATTATCAGCAGCAACAACAAACGGTTGGGGTTATTAACACAGAAATATTCATTTCACTTTGTTTTAACATTCTATAAATTTTAGTATCAGCAGCATTATCTTGGATTACCTGGACAACCTGCCATACAAAAGCAAGATACAAATGTCATTCAAAATAATATGTCACCTTCTATTTGCCCTTATGGAACGCCTCAGAAAGGTTCGCCGATGCAACCTACTGGTGCTCCTATGTCACAACAACAACAACAGCAGTATGTTGTCGCACTTCAACAACAACAGCATGGGCAACAAACACTGCAGAATCAATGCTATGTATCTCCTCAACAACAAGCACCATGGGCAAATACACCTAACCAAATGTCTCAATGCGGCATGCAACAACAACAAAATGTATGTTTTATAGTAGACTAACAATAGACTAGTGAACATGATTTAAACACTCACTTTGGATCCCCATAACAAATTATATACTACAGGCTTTAAACGATTATCAATCTACTGCTGCTATAACAAATCAATCTCATTGTCAACAACAACATCCGCAACAATTGGTTCAGTCACAGCAAGCTTTCCGAACTCCAGGAACTCCACATTACTTTTCTCAATCACCTGCTAGCGCTACACCTTTCTATTCTCCTCCACCATCTCACAATCAACAAATGGTCGGGACACCAATTGGTAATGGAAGTGGAGGAGGAACTTGTGTTGGTATGCAAGGAAGTGGACCTGGACACTTAACACCTGTTTCTGCTACTGCTGGTGGGCCGACTCCTCCGCATTCTGCTGGAAGTTTTGGAAGTATGATTTTATTCTAATAAATTGTTTATTTATCTCTTTTATATTCAAGATCCACAACATCAACATTCAAGCACACCAGTCTTGGACACAAATGTTGAACCACCAAAACAGCAAAACACAATAGATCAAACAATTTCTTCTCAAAACCGCCACTTAATGCAGCAACAACAAATGATGGCGCATATGCAACAATCATCTCCTCATGCTAATCATGTTGAATTTTATCAACAAAGGTTTCAACATCAGAGACAATCAATGGAAAATATCACTCAACAAACACATCAGAATTCTTTACAACAGCAACCTCGAAATTTCTCACAACTTTCGGATTTTGCTGAAAGTGGTTTTGGTGATGCAAATGATTTGAGTGTTCCGGGAATTTTGGGTGAAGGAATTGATGATTTAGATTCAATTGAACCAATGCGTTATGGAGGTGAACATCAAAATCATAATAATTTAGACCAACGGCAGCAACAGCAACAACAATTAGTTTTGCAACAATCGGATGATTCGAATCAACAACAAAATTTGTCAAATAATTTTTATAGATCCCAACCGTTAGTTCAACAACAAGGACAACAACAACCAAAACAAGTTGTTAAAAGGCAGTTACTTAATTCTGATCAATGCGGGCAGCAATGCAAAAAACAAAAACGAAAATATTCTGTACATCAATTACAAAATGGAGTGGAAGATGAAAGGAAGGTATGATTATTTTTTAAAATTAAATTTAACTTTAAATTTAATTCTAAAATCAGGATATGTTAGAAATGACTCTAGAGCAGAGGAACGTCGCAGAAATGGCTCTCCTTCCTGATCGTTCACCTCAAATTGGCGATACACCTTTAAGTCCATCAAAATTAAGTGAAACTCAAGATCGGAATGTGTCTGATGCAATTGCTACTGTGATGGAAAGAGTGGCAAAAAATGGTCCTGGACAAAATTTTTCTTCCAAAGCTAGTAATTTTTAGAATATTATTTTCAATTCGAATTTATTTTATTCACAAATATGTAAATATTAGTTGAGTCAAATGAATTTAAATTTATTTTTAATATCCAGAGAAATCAATAATTAAGATTTTGAGGTTCCAGAGTTCGACACTCATGCCCTTTTCTGTCAAAATTTAGTAACTTTCGAGAATACCAAGTATAATCCTGTTTAGAGTTTTTAACAAATAAATACTCAACTAATATTTATTTTTTCTCATTATTCTGCCACAAAATTACAAACGAACTCGTTTAATTATATTTTTATAGAAAGCAAGTTCTTTTCTATTCACATTTATTTTTCACAAATTTTTCACAAAATTTTGTAAACCGAAATAAATCGTTATATATATTTTTCTTGTTGTCCGCTAGCCCCTTTTGAAAAACTAAAAAGAAAAAAACCTTATTTTTCCGCGCAATACTTAAATAAAGCTATTTTTTGTTTTTTTTTTGTTTTCTTTTATTTTTCTTCCTTTAAAATTTCACTTTATCTCGTTACTTTAAACCAAATATTTTTAAATAAACGCCAATTGATTTGCATTTATTTTTTTTTAGTCCAAACTTTTTCTTTTACTTAAAAGCTTATTTTGAGTGAAAAATCCTTAAATTTTTTGGGTAAAAGAATTTTCGATTAATTTTTAAAAATAAAACTGAAAAAGGTTTTTCTTCAAAAAATAAGCTTTTTTCAACTTAAATATTTCTTAAAAATGATTCTAGGTCTTTTCTTTAGTTAATTAGGCAGATTAAACCAGACTTGCACACGGATACGGATATGGATACATATAATATCAAAATGCCTGCGGATATCCGTCTGTATCCGCCCGTATCCGCCGTAAATATCCGGATACGGATACCAAGATCAGTATCCGTGTGCAAGTCTGGATTAAACCCTTTCTTCATAAATATATCCTTTATTTTTGTCTGTAAATAATGAACAAATAAAATTAAAAAGAAATCTATAAAAACTACTATTTGTTTCCTACAAACTTTTCACAACTTTTCCTCTTCTAAAAAACAATAAAAAATAAATAAAATAATTTTTAAAGCCTCAATTCTTCCACATTTTTATAATATAAATAAATTGATTTGATGGTTACTATTTTAACTGTGACAAGCGGCATATTACTCCTCTCCTACAATTCTACTTTATACATATATTTTTACCCAAAAAATTAAAATTTGTAAATCATTTAATAAAAGAATTACCACTAAATTTATATAAAAACATTTAAATTTGAAATCTTGTCTTTATTTTTTTATAATTGATAAAATAAATTTAAAAAATATTTTCGTTTTGTTTTTGTGTAATTTTAAATTTCGAAAGGGTCTAAAAATTATTATTAACGGTTTAAATTTTCAAAGAAAGGGAGGAACGTTTTAGATCGTTCATATTTTCTGCTTGAATAACTAAAAAACAGAAAAATCTAAAATGAAGAGCGGTAATATTTGTTGTTGATGTTAATTTAAAAATCCTTGGAAGAAGGGTTTAAAAATTATGAAGCATTATTAATTGTTAAACTGTAATGATTTAAATTGTTGCCTTCAAAATTGTATTCTGTCCTTATGGCATTCTGTATTATTTTTAGAATTTTATAAAAAAATTTATTTTTTTCATTAAAATTTTTAATTAATTAATTAAAGTTATTTATAGAAATCTCTTTTTTAAACAAAACCAAATTATTTTATAATTATGATAAACAACAGTCACGTAATAACTCCGCCTCGATCACCAAAATCTGGACGTAGGAAGCGATATCCGGCCGACATTCCAGACATTGACTTTGATGATGGAGTTGGCGAGCCTCCTTTTCAATTTGACTCGAGCGATTTAGGATCGCCAAAAAAGGTTTTTTTAAATTTATTTTTATACAAATTTTGATTTTTAAAGGTTTGGTCGTTGTTGTGTGAGAAAGACGAAAAATATAAGCGTGACCCGCATCTCTTTCTACGTCAACAAAGGATTAATCCTAAAATGAGGGCAATGCTTATTGACTGGCTAATGGATGTACTTTGAGATTTTAAAGTTTTTACTTAATTTTGGGCCCTTCAGGTCTGTGCAGACAAACATTTGCATCGAGAGACTTTCCACCTGTGTGTTGACTATGTTGACCGTTATTTGGGTTTAGGCTCCAATTTTGACTTTAATCATCAAATTTCTCCTGGGAATCTTCAATTAATTGGATCTACTGCTCTTGTCATTGCTTCTAAAATTGAGGTTTATTTTTAGTGAGGCTGTTTTTAAGACAAAGAAAAGTGAATAAAATTGTTAGGGATTCTATGGTTAAGTTGGGAAAGAAACTGTTTAAAGTTGCTTTTGTAAAGTTGTTTTGGCTGTGATGATTTGTGCAGGGGTCCTGAAATTGGTCAAAGATGTGGGCCAATGGGACTTTTAGTGAAAACGCTTATCGGTTAGCGACACTTTATTTTCTAGAGAACAAGCACATTCTGAGCCAAAAAAATTTGATTAAAAATTTATTTTTTTCAAAATTAAACTTATAATTATTTTTTAAGGAAATTTATCCTCCAAAAGTAGCCGAAATTGCTGATTTCACTGATGGGTTAGTTTTGAGTTTTAATTTATTTAATACAAAGATTTTTTAATTTTTGTTGTTGCGAGGATCAGGATATTCGTGATCTTGAAGAAATTATGCTTCAACGATTAGAGTGGAATTGTTATCCAATTACTGCCGTTCATTGGTTGGCACTTTACATGCAATTAATGAATACTTGTGATGTGTTGCCGGCTCAGCAAGTTATTGTTAGTGCTGGTTAGTTGTGATTCGTTATTACAATTTTCCGAAATTTATTTACCTTGGCACATTTTTTATTGTTGATTCGACAGAGCAAACAATCTATCCTATTTTTAAAACTGCATTTTCTTTTGATGAATTAATTTATTCTAAAATTTAAAGAAAACGAAGCTCGTTGTTCCAACGCATCAGACTGCAGTATGTTAAGCGCTGGTTCTCGTGTTGCTGGTTTGAATGTTAGCATTGTTACAGCTCTGCCTGAAGAAGATGAGAATTTGACAGATGAAGGGGATGATAGTGAGAATCAAACGCCTAATGGTTCAGAAAGTTCTTCAGAAAAGAGGGTTCTTGTGAATATAAAATTTAAAAATATTATTTAAAATTTTTAGACCAAAACATTTCGAACGACTTGTGCCAGACGCGTATTTTCCTTCAATTCTTCATTTCCTCGAATGCAACTTTCTCACATTGGTCTTTCACCTCGAATTCTTCTCCACACCGCGGCAGCTGATATTAGCTATGTTAGTCAACGCGAATATTCCAGCGGCCATATTTATCCTGACCAAAGATGTTCTGTGCCTAAATTAATGCGTGGAGAATTTGTCAGAGTTGCTATGGTTTTTTTGAATTTTTCAATATTATTTTTACTTTTATTTTAAAGATATTAGACTTGGTGATTCTCTCTCATGGAAGTTTACGCTTTCGTTATCGTGAATTGGCTGCAGCTGCACTTTTGTGTAGTTATGAACCTGAATCTCTTATATGCCAAATAACTGGTTTTAAATATTTTGTATTTTCAGTTAATTTACCTCTCCACATTTTTAGGGTTTACTGCTGAAAAATTGCGCGAGGCCCGTAAATTTGTTGACCCATTTGTGCATTTATTTGATCGGTTAGAGCCTAGTGGAAATTCAATTCCTTGCCTTCCCACAATTCAACACGATGATCGTCACAATATTCAGACTTATTTGCCTAAATGCCTTTCATATTTGGTTTATTTTTAATTTTTTAAAAAATATTTAAATAAAATTTTAAAGGAACAAGTCGAGCGAGAACAAATTATGGCTAGTCAACGACACAAAAAGTTGGACAATCGAACGAGTGGAACTCGTTTGCGAAAAAGGAAATTCGGCTCTACATTAAATTCTTCATAGACGGGTCAACGGAATAATTTTCTAAATGCAAAATAAAATTTCAAAAGATTTGTTTTCACCGATTTTTAATTTTGGGGGGTTTTGTATTTGTTTGTGGTAAGGGTATTGGATATCAGTAAAATTACTTGTATAAGTAAAGTTGACTTAAAAAGTAACTTAAAATTAATTTCTGGCTAGGATTTTGGACTAAAAGATTTTGGACATCAAAACTCGACTTAACGAATTTTGGATCAGCCCAGCTCGGTACTCGATATTCATTTGAGTATTTCCTATTAAATTTTGGAAAAAAAAGTCGGTGAAGACGAATCTTTCATTTACCTTATAATAACCACACAAAAATGATTTTGCGTTATTATTATTGTTTTTGACTTTAATCTCTCTTGCTCTCTTTTATATATTTATTATTATATTTCTTTCATCGAGACGAGTGTTTTACTTAATTATTTTCTTTCTTTATATTATTTTACACATTCCTTTTATTTAAATTTTGGAAGGTTAAAATATTAACTTTCAAAGTCAATCGAACAAAACACTGCCTCAAAGTGATCTCTTTTATTTAAGACTTATAAAAACATGGAAAACCATTTAGGGATGGGCAAAGTTTTGTTAAAAAATATTTTTTAATAAGAAGTTTTTTAGGGGTTCTGAACTAAAATTTGAGATTAATTTTTGAACAAACCGAGGTAGAAAATAGGAGAATAATTGCCCTTCCCTGTTTAAACGAACTCTTACCTACTCTAATATCTCTCTTATGTATGATTATAGTTTGTGTTTTTTTGCTTATAAATATTGAAATAAAATGTATTATCTTTTAAAAATCTGTAGAAGACGGTTAATTGTTTAAAATTTTTTTAATATGAAAAATGTTTTGTTAGAATTATGGCAGATGGTGAGACAGAAACTCAAGAAACTAAGACTGACCAGAATGTTGAGGAAACACAAGCGTCTTCAACTTCAGACCCATACAAATGTGTTTGGAATGGTTAGTTTTGAATTTTTAATATTTTGAGGAAAATTTTGATGAGGGGGGATACTCAATTAACGCTAGTTTGTGATATAAAACATTTCTAACCTGATATTTGATATTTTGCTTTGAAAATGACTACGATTACTCATTTTTAGGTGTCCCAATGACTTGGAATGAGACTAGTAAACAATGGTTACCTGATGTCGAAGTAAATGAAGACTTTCTAGCATATTATAATGCAAATTATGGTATTCAATATGATTATGATAGTATGCCAAAACCAGAAGCACCTAAAGTTGTTTTAAAAGAGGAATCAACAGAAGATGGGGAACCGAAGAAAGAAGTAACAAAAGAACAGAAGCAGGTTAGTCTTGACTTTCCCATGTGGTGGCCCCTCTAATTTTTAAATTCTTTTAATTTGTGTAGCTCAAAAAACGTGAGGCAAAAAGGCGCTGGGCTGAAGCAGAAGCTGCCCGTCGACAACAGGGTTGGTTTGAAATGGATGAAGAAAAGAACACAACCGTCTATACGAGTGGATTTCCCCCAACTATAGACGAAGAGGAATATGTTAAATTTATGACAAAATGTGGAGTTGTTCAAAAAGATCCGAGGACGGGAAAACCAAAAATCAAACTTTATCGAATAAAAGAAACTGGAGAACCGAAGGGAGATGGAACTTGTTGTTATGTGAAAATGGAATCGGTAAAATGTATAATTTATTTATATGTAAAGTTTTGACATTAAAACAATGGTGTTATTTACAGAATTTTTTGTTAATTGGGTAATATTTTGGCCTACTTTTTTTGTGGATTTGAACATTTTTTTACTAATTTTTAGTCTGAATTGAGAATTAGTTTAACTTCTTCCGGGTAAACCAAGTATAAGGCCTCACTTTTTTCTTCCCCAATTTTTTTCTTTTATAAGTACAGGATTGTCAGACTTTCATCACATCCCAATTTCACTCTATTTTCCTTTGGCATATTCAATGGGAGATAATAAATAAAAGATTAATTTTTTGCAATGTCTTTAAATATAAAGCAGAAGCCTGATCATTTTGTACTTATAAAGGGAAAAACTTGGGGAAGGAAAATGGGGGGCCTAATCCTTGGTTTACCCCCTTTTCCTTCTTAATTTTTTAAATTTTCAAAGGTTGAATTAGCTTTACAAATACTTGATGGTTGGCAATGGGATACTGCCCATAAAATTCATGTTGAACGTGCCAAGTTTGAATTGAAAGGCGAATTTGACCCCTCAAAGAAGCGACAACGTTTAAGTGGAGCTCAAAAGAAGAAATTTTTAGAAAAACAAGAAAAGTTGGGTTTAAATTTATTTTTAAAGTTTTTTTCAATTTTCAGAATTTTCCAATGGAAACCGGACAAGCCTCGCAATTTCAGAAATCGTTGTGAATGTACTGTTGTTTTGAAAGGAATGTTTTCTTTGGAAGAAATTGATCAAAAACCTGAGAAAATTTTTAGTCTTAAAGAGGTAAACAGCTTGAAAATAAATTTTTTTTAGATTTTTTTTAATTTTTAGGACACACAAAAATTGTGTGAACAACGTTTTGGAACAGTAAAGAAAATTGTTTTGTATGAGGTAAAGGGAATGTTTTTGGGTTTTTTTGTCTTTTTTAAATTTTCCTTTTTTAACAGTCAAATCCCGAAGGAGTAATAACAATTACTTTTGATAATGTTGAACAAGCAGATTTAACTGTAGCAGCACTTAATGGACGTATAGTTGCTGCACGGACAGTAAAAGTATTTTTTAGAAAGAAAATTTAATTTAATTAAAAATAAATTAATTAAAAGGCTTTTAATTGGGACGGAAAAGAAAAATTTAAAAGACAAGAAACTGAAGAAGAAAGGAAACGGCGAGAGAATGCTTGGACAGAATTTTTAGAAGAAAGTGATGATAGCGAGGATGATAATGATGGAAAAGAGAAAAATATTGAAAAAGAAAAAAATAATGGAGAGAAAAATAATTCTGATGACGATAATTTAGATAAATAAATTTATTGAAAAATATTTATTTTTTTATTTTTTATTAATTTTTGTATTTAATAAATACTCTATTTAAAAATAAAATAATAATTTTTTAATTTAAAAATAAAGGATGTCATCATCTCCTAAAAATTCTTCAAATAATCAGAATTCACTTTCTCAACGACTAAACGAAGTTAATTATATTATTAAAAAGGTATGAGGGAGGGAATTTTAAAAGAATAATTTTGGAAATAATTTAAAAAAAATTAAGGGTAATGTCAGAAATATTTTTAAAATTTTTGTTTAGGAACGTCCAGAATGTCGAGTTCTTTCTATTCAAAGCCATGTTGTTCATGGCTATGTTGGGAATAAATGTGCAGTTTTTCCTTTACAAGTATTTAAAAATTAAATTTTAAAATTATTTCCTTTTTAAGTTATTTGGTTTTGAAGTAGATTCAATTAATTCTGTCCATTTTTCCAATCATACACGTTAATTTTATTTTTTTTTAAATAAAATTTTTAGAATATGAAAAAGGAGCTCGTGGACAGCGTTTGAATGCGACAGATTTAGAAGAAATATTTGAAGGACTTTGTGATAATAAATTGGAAAGAGAATATTCTCATATTTTGACTGGTATGTAGCACTTTAATTAAAAATTAGAAAAAATTTAATGAGAAAAATTATTTTTAATTTTATTTTATCGGGGGGGGGGGGGGGGGGGGAGTTTCCACATTTAAATTCTAATTAATTTAAAAGGTTATTGTGGAGAGCCTACTTTTCTTCAAAAAGTGGCTGGAATTGTGAAGCATTGTAAACAATACAAACCTGATTTATTATATGGTTATTTTCTTTTGTTTTTATTTTACAAAAAAAATAATTTTTTTTTTCAGTTTGTGATCCTGTTTTAGGAGATAATGGGAATTATGTAAAAAAATTTAAAAAATATTTTTTTAACTTTTAAATTTAGTATGTTCCAAAAGAATTATGTACAATTTATAAAAAAGAAATACTTCCCTTAGCTAATATAATTACACCAAATGCTTTTGAATTAAGGTAAAGATTTTAAAAAAATAATTTTTTTAAATTTAAATTTTTAGCGAATTAAGTGGTGGATTGCCTGTAAAAACCGAAGAAGAATGTTTAAAGGCCATTAAAAAACTTCATTTAAATTTCCCAAATCTTAATTCAATTATTTGTACTTCTTTGCTTGTTAATTCTGAAGGAAAAGATTTTTTGGCTTGTTTTGCTTCTGAAAGAATTTTTTCTGGCAAAGGTACAAAAGATAAATATTTTTTTAATTCTCACTCAAAGAGAATTTAAATAGTGAAGGGGAATTTTGAAAAAACCGGGTTCAGAAAACGGGTTCTGAACGTTCATCGGGAGGGACTTCCCGTTTGCTTCAAAAAAACCGGGAAAAGGGACCCGAAAATCAGCAAACGGGCCCTGGACACGTTCCGATCTCTATTAAATAGTGAAGAATTTTTTAAAGAGTATATTAGTCAATATTTTTTACACAAGTAACTGACCGATAATCCTTAAGAAAACCCATGTCTAGCTGATACCGCTTTAACTAGACTTTATCTTTTAATTTTTCTCTTTCAAAAAATTTATTTCTTTTTTTAAGATCAATCCAATTTTCTTCACTTTTATCGTTTTGAAATGTCTTATATTGACTCGTTATTTACTGGTACTGGGGATTTATTTTCTGCACTTTTCCTTGCCTGGTGGGAGGAAACAGAAGGGAATCTTTGTGATACTTTAAAAGCAACAATTTCTTCAATGCAAGCAGTTTTGAGGAGAACAGCAGAATATTCAAAATTAAAAGGTTTTTAATTAATTTAATTGTTTTTTGAAGTCTTAATTTTTTAAAAAATCTTAGAGGCAAAAACTATATCAAAAAGAGAATTGAGACTTTTGGATAGTCGGATGGATTTATTACAACCTCCTAATATTGACCAAATTATTTTTAAAGGAATTGAATAATTTTTCAAATTTTTTATAGAAAAATAAATTGTTAAGGTTATAAATACCAAAATAAAAAAAATCATAATTTTCCTCACTTAACTCGATAAAGTAATTTTCTTTGCATTCTATATTGGAAATCCCCACGACGCACACAAAAGTCAATTGCCTTAAAAAAAATAAATTATATAAAATTAAAAATAAAATGAGAAGTTTACTCGTCGAACTAAAGCCTCTGGATAGCTTTGTTTACTAAATTCGTCAATAATTAAATGTTCAGATACATAAGTCCCCACCTTTAAAAAAATAATTTTAAATAAATTTTAAATTTAAATTAAACTTGAAAACGACGTTTTAATTGTTTCTCAACTCGATCAAAGGATTCTTGATCCTCTCTAGAAGTAAACCCTTCAACACCTGAAAATTTTAAAATAATTTAAAATTTTAAATTAAAAATTTTTTTTAAAGGTGTGGGCACCTTAAAATACCAATTTTATTTTTGAGTCTAAAAATTAGCCGCTCCTGGGTGGATTCTAAAAAATTTTTCAATATAAGAAAAATAAATTTACCGCTTAAACTTCCACTTTGTGCCGCAGCAATTGTACTAACTTTAAATAAACGAATTGCTTCCTCTACATGTCTTTTTTCAGTAAAAGGAAGTAATTCCATTTTAGCTAATGATTCACTTAAACGAATGATCGCTTCTAATTGTCTCACAGTTACGGGTATTGTTGATTGCCCATGTTCTTTAAAAATTAAATTTTAAATTTAAACAAAATTTTAACAACTTTTTCCTTTCCAATTTTGTTGTTGAGAATTTTGGTCAATTTGTGGATTTCTTAATTTTACATATTGATTAAGTAACAATTCACTAGCAGTTTCAGAAATACGAGGTCCACAAACAGCTCTAGCATAAGCAATATAACGTTTTAAAAAATCCAAAGAAAGTTCCTTTAAAAAAGAAAGAAAATTTATTCCCTCTTAAAATTTAAAAAAACTTTATTTCCATCATTCGAATCAATTAACATATTTTCATCTCCATCGTCATCCATATTTTCATCTACGGGTGCGGCAATTCCATTAATATTTCCATCAATTCCCCCAAAAGAATTTAATGCTGATGGTTGTGTTGCTTGTGTGTGTACTTTCACAATATGTTTAGCTAATTGCTTTAAATTGATGGAAAAATAATTATTTTTAAAAAATTAAAAAAAAATTTACAGCATCTCTGTTTCTGTCATATTGGTCTTTAACAACAAAAATACAATCAAAACGTGAAAGTATTGTTGGCATGAAATCAATGTTTTCGTCTCCGCGAGTGTCATCCCAACGTCCAAAAACTGAATTGGCAGCAGCCAAAACAGAGCAACGAGAATTTAAAGTTGTGGTTATGCCTGCCTAGAAAAAACAGATAAATTTATTTTAATTAATTTATTTAAATATAAGAATTTTGAAACTTTTTGTTTAAAATCATTTTTTGGGTTTTTAAAATTAATTTTATATTTTTTAGGCAAAAACCTAATTAACGATAAATTAATTTAAAAATTAAACACTTTTCTATACACAAAAACTTAAATATAAAAATTAAATTACTTTAGCAATACTAATTGTTTGCTGTTCCATAGCCTCGTGTATGGCTACACGGTCATCTTCACGCATTTTATCAAATTCATCAATACAAACAACACCTCCATCAGCTAAAACCATTGCCCCTCCTTCCATAATAAATGAACGCTAAATGAATAGTTAAATTTAGAAAAAAATTCTAAAAAAAACCGAAGCTGGATCTCTTATAACAGAAGCAGTAAGTCCAGCAGCACTACTTCCCTTGCCTGAAGTGTAAACAGCAATTGGTGCAACTCTTTCCACAAATTTGAGTAATTGAGACTTTGCAGTACCAGGATCCCCCAAAAGTAAAACGTTAATATCTCCACGGCGAGTAAGACCATCAGGTAAACTATAAAAATTTCAAAAAAAAAATTTAAATATTATTTTATAAAAATTCATACATTTTTCTAGATCCACTAAACAACAAACAAGCAATTGCCCTTTTAATGTCATCTGCTCCATAAATAGAAGGAGCAATACTTTTCGTAATAATTTCATAAACTTTTGGATTTTTAGCTAATTCCTTTAAAAAATTTTAAATGGAATATTTTAATTTATTAAAAACCCTAAATTGACGTTCTTCCTTAGGTGTAAAATGCATTTGATCAGTGTGTCCTAATCCAGTCATTTGCACTTCAATTCCAATAGCACGAATATAAGGGACACGAATACCAGCCATTCCAGCTGTTTTCTCTTCTCGACCAGACTTTTTTGAAAAATTAAAATAAATATTTTAGTTTAAAAAACCTTTGATTTCCCTCCTTGTAATCGTTTAATCGAATAAATCCCAGTAACTGTAATTCGATTTCCTGGAGTCACTCTATCCGTCAAATATCTTTAAAAGATTAGTTTATAAAAAATATTTATAGTTAAAAACCTGTCAACATAAATTAATAAATGTCGAGGAATTTCGCTATGAGGAACATCTTCTGGTAATTCTTGCAGTTTAAGCTGTTGAAAGTCAACACATCGACATTTGTCTGGTAAAATTGCATATGGATCCATTGGACATCGTTGTAATTGACCAACTTGGTTACTTTTAAAAAATTATTTTTCAGAATTAATTAGAGAAAATTTAACAGAAAGAGACATACGCTAAACAACGACGAGGCATTTGAAATTGCTCAAAACCAGGCTTCACTTCCTGATCACTAATAGTATGTCGGCAAGTGCGACATTGTAGAGTTAAACGAGTTGAACGAAAGCGGACTTGAGAAGCAGCAACAATTATACCAGAAATTTTTACAAGTTGAGATACTTCAGAACTCTATTATGAAAAATTTTTTGATACATCAATTAAAAAAATCTTTAAAAAAATTACCTTAATATGGCGAATACTCTGCGGTTTATCATCCAAATTCAGCATAATTTGAATATCTCGAACTTCTTCTTGACCAGCTGGACGAGGATTAGTAATGTCGTTGGTAACCTTTTTAGCAGCTGATTCAAGCTAAAAAAGTCTTACTATTAATTATTTAAAAAATAAATTTACAGCTGGAAGAAGTGTAGCTGGATATCGTCTTAATTTATTGGCAACATCTTCCTCAAAATTGCGCAAGTCGTTAAATTGTATGGTCAAATAATATTGCCCAAGTGTATAATTTTTCTTTAATTGTTCTCTAAATAAATATTTTGTCTTTATATAAAAACTCTCTTAAAAACCTGTAAATCCAAACCATTCCCTTCTCGCTAAATTCTTTAATAAAACGTTGAAATTGTTCATCCATTTGTTTGTATTCAGCAACCAATTCTCGGCCGCCATCAACTCCACCTCCTGTATCAGTAAAAGTTCGACCCTTAAGAAAATATATCCCATATAAAAATTAAATTAAAAAGTTATAAACCTGATAAAATATTCCTGGATTGTCTAAATTTGACATTGAAAAATAAATATTGTGAGAGTATTTGTTAGTAAAAATTATCTGAAAAACAAAAAAATAATAAAATAACAAGCTGAGAAATAAAAACAAAAACTGCTGGATTTATTTTGTAAAGTTAAAAATTTAAATTAATTAAGCCGCGCATTTAAATATTTCGTTGCGAACGGTTAAGGACGATTCAGTATCGCCGATTCAGTATAGCCGATTCAGTATCGCCGATTCAGTATCCGCCGATTCAGTATATGGCCATAACTTTCCCTATATTCGACTGATTCGAATAATTCTCATATCATTCGAAAGGTCTCGAGATTTGACATCTTTTTCATAATTGGCCCGATCTAATCGGATGATCACAAAAAAAGTTACAGCGTGAAAACCGATTTTTTATGCCTGTGACGTCGTTTATCAGTGATAACTTTTTGTAGAGTGATAAGATCAGGTCAGTCCAATTATGAAAAAGATGCAGCACCCTGAGACCTATCAAATCATATATAATAATTCCCAAAATATTGATCGAGCAAAAAGTTATGGCCAAAAAGCCCAAATACTGAATCGGCCAATACTGAATCGGCGATACTGAATTGGCGATACTGAATCGGCGATACTGAATCGTCCCCTACCCCGTTGCGAAAGTTCAGATTTATGTCATTATGTCGAAATAATTTTGCCATAAATTCAATTTGCCAAGGAGTAATAAATTTTAATTTGCCTACAGGGCAGGATTAATATGAATTTTCTCTTTCATTGACTAATTTAAAAAGATTTATTTTTAGAGCTTTGCTTTTATTTTTTAAATTATCTGCATAATATTAAAAATGACTGATAAAATTATATATACGGCCAATGATGTTCGTCAAGCATTTATAGACTTTTTTGTTGACAAACAACATTCGTATCATCATTCATCTTCTGTGGTAAGTATTTTATTTTTAATTTAAAAAAATTTTTTTACTTCCAAGATTCCTTATGATGATCCAACACTTTTATTTACAAATGCTGGAATGAATCAATTTAAGCCTGTATTTCAAGAGACTGTAGATCCAAATAGTGATTTGGGTAAATTGAAGAGAGCAGTTAATACACAAAAATGTATTCGTGCTGGAGGGAAACATAATGATTTGGATGATGTTGGGAAAGATGTTTATCATCATACTTTCTTTGAAATGCTCGGAAATTGGTCTTTTGGTGATTATTTTAAGGTCATTCTTTTATTTATTTTGGTGCTATTTCTTTAGCCCTACGGACTTTTTCCGGGAATAATAGTATATTTTAAGCTGCTGCGCCCTAATTTTATACGATTTTCGCTAGGGTTTTAGTTCAGAATATCCTTTTATACAAGTTATTTATGATATTTTCGTTATTTAGAAAGAGATTTGTACGTGGGCATGGGAGTTTCTCACAAATTGGTTACAAATTCCTCCAGAACGTTTATATGTTTCGTATTTTGGTGGCGATTCCTCTGCTGGACTTGAACCCGACGAGGAATGCAAGTATTCTAAAATTATTTTTAGTCTTATTTACTAATTTATCAATTTTAGAAAAATTTGGCTTTCTCTTGGTGTAAATCCAAATCATCTCCTCCCTTTTGGAATGAAGGACAATTTTTGGGAAATGGGTGATACAGGCCCTTGTGGTCCTTGTTCTGAAATTCATTACGATCGTATCGGAAATAGAGATGCTTCTTCTCTTGTAAATGCTGACGATCCAATGGTTGTAGAAATTTGGAATTTAGTTTTTATTCAATTTAATAGGTTTTTTTATTTTATTTTAATTATAAAAAATTGTTTTTAAGAGAAGAAGGGTGTGTGTTGAAATCTCTTCCTAATAAACATATTGATTGTGGACTTGGACTCGAACGATTAGTGGCTGTTGTACAGAATAAAATATCAAATTATGATACTGAATTGTTTACACCTTTATTTATAGCGATTAAAGAGGTTTTTTGGGGCAGGGTTTAAACTAGAGTACGTTGAGTACCGAGTAATTGGGAAAAAACCGAGCTCGAGTAATCCGAGTTTGAAAAACCTGAGTTCGAGGCGAAAATTTTGAGAATTTTGGAAGATCATTAAGTTAAAATCTCCCTTTTTGCGCCGCAGATAGGGGCATAAAAATACTCTGTTTTAACCTAGTCTGTCGAGTAGGAAGTTTCCTAGCTCGAGTAATACGAGTATTATGATCCCGAGTTCCGAGTCGAGTAATTACGCAAAAACCCGAGCGGTCGAGTCGAGAGCTCGACTCGGACGTACTCTAGTTTAAACTAAAAGCCTTCCCTTCTCTTTTAGTCAACAGGTATTCGCAAATATGAAGGAAAAGTTGGAGAAGAAGATACTGATGGAATTGATATTGCTTATCGTGTTGTAGCTGACCATATTAGAACTTTAACTGTTGCTTTAGCTGATGGAGGGGTTCCTGACTCGACTGGAAGAGGGTTTGTCTTTCTTTAATTTTTGTTTTAAGTCTAAAATTTTGCTCGTCACTATAAACGTTGGTGGTTTAGTGGTTAGTGTTTCGGTTTGTGGGGGGAACATGTTGCTCGAATCCATTATCTTGCTAATGAAGATAAGCACGACGGTCTTCTGAAATAAATTAATGTTGTTAAAAATGTTTTTTCGAAGCAAGAAAATTTTTGTCAAAAAAATTTTTTTAATATTTTTTATTAAAAAATTTTTTAAATTCGTTTAGTTATGTTCTCCGTCGAATTTTACGTCGTGGGGTTCGTTATGCAACAGAAAAATTAAATGCAAAACCCGGATTTTTTGCTTCCCTTGTTCCTGTTGTTATTGAAATTTTGGTAAAAATTTATTTTTATTTTTTCAATAAATTTTTTTATTTTCTTTAGGGTAATACATTTCCGGAACTAAAAAAAGATCCTTTATCAATTATTAAAATTATAAATGAGGAAGAAAGACAATTTCTTAAAACTTTACGTCGTGGGCAAATTCTTTTCAAAAAAGCAGTTAAAACTTTGCCTGGAAATTCTAAAATAATTTCTGGTATTTTTAAAAAATTAAAAAAAATTTTATTTAAAATTTAGGACAAATTGCTTGGCGTCTCTATGATACCTATGGATTTCCAATTGATTTAACTTCATTGTTGGCAGAGGAGAAGGGTTTAAGTGTTGATTATATGGAGTATGAGGAATGTCGAAAAATGAGTAAATTAAAAAAGAATTTGGAGAAGGTAGATAATTGTGGGGAGGAGAAGAAAGAATTAAATAAAGGGGAGGAAATTAAAAATAAAATTAAAAAACTTTTTTTGAAAATGAGTTTAGTTTAATTATATTAGAAATTTTTTTGTTTTTAATAATTTATTAAAAATTTGTGAAAAGAAAAAAATATTAAGCTAACGAAGATCAATTCTTCATCGTATATAGACAGAGGTGGGTGGAATTCCGATTTTTTCCTTCCGATTTCCGAAAAAAATTTTTTCGATTTCCAACTTTTGAGCCAGTTCCGATTTCCAACTTTTGAGCCAGTTCCGATTTCCGACTCTTCCGATTTCCGAAACCTCTGACTGTTCCGACCCACCCCTGTATATAGGGAAGAGCTCTTACAATACTCGTATTTCCTATACACTCTGTGGACTTCACTCATGGTAACAACATGCGCGAGACTGCTCAAAACATCAAATCCCACTGGGAACGGGACTAACTGTATTCATGTATGTAACGCCAAAGAAAGCTCACCAATCTCTTTGACATCCGAAAGAAAAAACTTATAAGGCTAAAATGAGGTGAATAATCTTGCAAAAATTGAAAACCCAAATCCAAAATAATTTTAAAATAATTAAGCCGCGCATTTAAATATTTCGTTGCGAAAGTTCAGATTTATGTCATTATGTCGAAATAATTTTGCCATAAATTCAAATAGCCAAGGAGTAATGAACTTTAATTTGCCTACACACAGCAGATCAAAATAGGCAAAGGCTGTTACTCGCCTTTCAGTGCGGTACTTGTGGCTTAGTCGGATAGTGCGCTTTTTTATGTCATTATGTCGAAATAATTTTGCCATAAATTCAATTTGCCAAGGAGTAATAAATTTTAATTTGCCTACAGGGCAGGATTAATATGAATTTTCTCTTTCATTGACTAATTTAAAAAGATTTATTTTTAGAGCTTTGCTTTTATTTTTTAAATTATCTGCATAATATTAAAAATGACTGATAAAATTATATATACGGCCAATGATGTTCGTCAAGCATTTATAGACTTTTTTGTTGACAAACAACATTCGTATCATCATTCATCTTCTGTGGTAAGTATTTTATTTTTAATTTAAAAAAATTTTTTTACTTCCAAGATTCCTTATGATGATCCAACACTTTTATTTACAAATGCTGGAATGAATCAATTTAAGCCTGTATTTCAAGAGACTGTAGATCCAAATAGTGATTTGGGTAAATTGAAGAGAGCAGTTAATACACAAAAATGTATTCGCGCTGGAGGAAAACATAATGATTTGGATGATGTTGGAAAAGATGTTTACCATCATACTTTCTTTGAAATGCTTGGAAATTGGTCTTTTGGTGATTATTTTAAGGTTATTCTTTAATATATTTTGGTGGACTTTTTTGGGAATAACACTGTCTATTTTAAGTTCTGCGCTTGAATTTCTTCATCTTAACGATTTCGAGTGGGGTTTTAGTTCGGTTTTAGCTGGGCACGAATATGATTTTATACAAAATTATTTTATAATATTTATCATTATTCAGAAAGAGATTTGTACGTGGGCATGGGAGTTTCTCACAAATTGGTTACAAATTCCTCCAGAACGTTTATATGTTTCGTATTTTGGTGGCGATTCCTCTGCTGGACTTGAACCCGACGAGGAATGCAAGTATTCTAAAATTATTTTTAGTCTTATTTACTAATTTATCAATTTTAGAAAAATTTGGCTTTCTCTTGGTGTAAATCCAAATCATCTCCTCCCTTTTGGAATGAAGGACAATTTTTGGGAAATGGGTGATACAGGCCCTTGTGGTCCTTGTTCTGAAATTCATTATGACCGTATCGGAAATAGAGATGCTTCTTCTCTTGTAAATGCTGACGATCCAATGGTTGTAGAAATTTGGAATTTAGTTTTCATTCAATTTAATAGGTTATTTTGAATTTTATTTTAATTATAAAAAAATTGTTTTTAAGAGAAGAAGGGGGTTTGTTAAAATCTCTTCCAAATAAACATATTGATTGTGGACTTGGACTTGAACGATTAGTGGCTGTTGTACAAAATAAAATATCAAATTATGATACAGATTTGTTTACACCTTTATTTCAAGCAATACATGAGGTTTTTTTGGGATTTTTTAAAAATTTTATTTAAACTCCCTTTTAGTCTACTGGTATTCGCGAATATGAAGGCAAAGTTGGGACTGAAGATATTGATGGTATTGATATTGCTTATCGTGTTGTAGCTGATCATATTAGAACTTTAACTGTTGCTTTAGCTGATGGAGGAGTTCCTGACTCGACTGGAAGAGGGTTGGTTTTTTGATAATTTTTTTAAAATCTTGTCTTCATAAGTTTTAAAATTTTTGTTTTTCAAAACCATTTATTGGTTAATTGGTTAGTGCTTTGGGGTGTGAGTAGGATCTTTCATGGTTCGAAGGATATTTCTTGCTAATGATGATAAACACGACGGTCTTCTGAATTAAATAAATTGTTGTAAAAAACGTTTTTTCTGAAGCAAGAAATTTTATTTTAATTTGTATTTTTGTCTTTTATTCGTATTTTTTAAATTTTCTTTAGTTATGTTCTTCGCCGAATTTTACGTCGTGGAGTTCGTTTTGCAACTGAAAAATTGAATGCAAAACCCGGATTCTTTGCTTCTCTTGTTCCTGTTGTTATTGAAATTTTGGTAAATTTATTTTAATTTTTTTAAATAAAAATCTTAATTAAGGGCATCACATTTCCAGAATTAAAAAAAGATCCTTCTTCAATTACTGAACTTATAAACGAAGAAGAGGCTCAATTTCTCAAAACTTTACGTCGTGGGCAAATTCTTTTCGAAAAAGCGGTTAAAACATTGCCTCCTGATTCTAAAACAATTTCTGGTTTTTTTATAAATATTTAAAATTGAAAAATTATTTTAAATTTAGGACAAATTGCTTGGCGTCTCTATGATACCTATGGATTTCCAATTGATTTAACTTCATTGATGGCTGAGGAGAAGGGTCTTAGCATTGATTATGTTGATTATGAGGAGTGTCGGAAAAAGGCTATTGTTAGTTTTTTTTAGATTTTTCATTCTCTTATTATTTTTGTTTTTAGGAACTTTCTTCTTCTGGCGCCACTTTTAAACTTCAAGAAACATTAAATCTTGATGTACATACATTAGAAGCACTTAAACGTGAAGGGGTTCCCCCAACAGATGATTCTCCAAAATATATTTATGATTTTGATGGACAATTAAATTGGAAAGCTGCTTATAGTTTAGAAATTTTAAAATCAATTTTTAAAAAAATAATTTTTAGATTACCAAATGTGTAATGGCAAAATATTGAAAATACGAGTCGGAAGTGAATTTGTTGATAAAATAGAGTCTGGGCAGGAAGGGGCATTATTACTTGACAAAACTTGTTTTTATGCAGAACAGGGTGGTCAAATTTATGACACAGGATTATTTACAAAAATTGGAGATGAGGTTGGAGATTTTTTTAAAAATTAGAAAAGAATTGTTTTTAAAGGATGTTGGCTTTTCTGTTACGAATACACAAATTCGTGCAGGTTATATTTTCTTTTTTGGAGTAGCTGATGGTGTTCTTTGTGTTGGAGATGAATTAAAACAACAATTTGATGAAGTATTTTAATTGAAAATTTGTGAAAATAAAAATAAATTTTAAGTCACGACGTTGGCTTATAATGAAAAACCACACTGGCACACACGTACTTAATTATGCATTACAACAAGTATTACAAACTGTGGATCAAAAAGGTTCTTTGGTAGCTCCTGATAGAATGCGTTTTGATTTTTCTTCAAAACAGGCACTTGGTGTTGATCAAGTAAAATTTTTGTTTTTTTAATTAAAATTATTTTGTAGGTTAAAAAAGTTCAAGAACATGCCCAAACATTAATTAACACAAAAGGACAAGTATATACAAAAGAATGTGTGTTGTCTGAAGCTTTAAATATTAATGGATTGCGAGCTGTTTTTGGCGAAGTTTTTTGAATTTTAATTTTTTAAATTTTTTGTATTTGTTTTTAGACATATCCAGATCCTGTTCGTGTTGTTTCTGTTGGTATTCCAATTGAACAACTCTTGGAAAATCCTAGCGGTGATTTGGCCAATAAAACATCTGTTGAATTTTGTGGAGGAACGTAAGTTTATTTTTTCTGTGACTTTTTTCCCATTTTTTAAAAATTTCAGTCATTTACGCAATGTTTCACACATTGGTTCATTAGTAATTACAACAGAAGAAGCAATCGCTAAAGGAATTCGTCGAATTGTTGCAATTACTGGGCCAGAAGGAGAAAAGTCTTTACAAAATGCTGAGAAATTGACCAAAAATTTAAATGAATTAACTGAAATGGCAGAAAAAGAATATGAAGAGATTGGAAAAGAATGGAATGAAGAAAGATTGAAAAAACTTGGGAAATGTATTACTGACTTTGAAGAGGTATTAAAATATTTAATAAATATTTAAAAATTAAAAAATTAATTTTTTAAAGAAAATAAATAATCAACAATTGCCATATATCCAAAAAGATGCTCTTCGTGAAAATATTAAAAAAATTAGGATGAATATGAAAAAATTAAAAAAGAATTCAAAGAAAGTAGAAGATAATGCAGAAATTAATGAAAATAATAAAAAAGGGAATAAGAAGAATAATAAAAAGGAAGAGAAAAAAGAATTAAATAATGGGGAGGAAAAAATTAAAGAACCTTTCTTGAAAATAAGTCTTGTTTAATTATTTGTTTTTTATTATTGGAGAATTTTTTTTTGTTTTTAATGATTTGTTGAGCCTTTTTGTGCCTTTTTTTGTTTGTAAAAATAAAATTTAAACTAATCGTTCAAATTATAGTAGGTAGTGATAAAAGAGTTTTGCTTTTAAGATGAAAATCAACTTCGCCAAAAATAAAAATATTAAATTCTTTTATTATGATTTGATGTGTTGCTGTTTGGTTAAGTGGTCTAAAATTTGGTTTTGAACTAGTTTTGCTAGTGATGAAAGTTTTCCTTTCACTTCTGATAAATCTGTTGAAAAAAATCTGTCCCTGAAGCAAAACAAACGATCTTTTCGATCAGTCTATACTTGGTTAAGTTGTTAAAATATTTTTTGAATATTTTAACTAAATTTTTTGTAAAAATAAAATTTAAACTAATCGTTCAAATTATAGTAGACGGTGAAAGAAGAGAGTTTTTTTATTTTTTGAATATGTTAACCCCAATTTCCCGTTGATTTTTTGTATTTGAGATCTCAATGAAGTTCAGGCTTCGTTCTTTTTACAATAACACTTTTCGATGGAAATGTCTACAGGAATTTTTGTAGAATTTTTGGAACATTGTAATATAAGATTTTCTTCAATTTTAAAGATGGTGAAAGAGGAATTTTGCTCTATAAGGAAAAGACCAATTTCGCCAAAAATAAAAATATTAAATTATTTATCAAGTTGATGTGTTGTTACTTGGTTAAGTGGTCTAAAGTTTGGTTTAAAACTAGTGTTGTTTTGCTAATGATGAACAAAGCCCTAGTACCTGATAAATCTGTTGAAACTATGGTCCCTGAAGCAAAACCAACATCTTTTCGATTAGTTAATATTTTATTGTTTTAACAATTTTAATAGTATTTTTTAAATTATTTGGTAATAAGAACACATGTTCGATGTGTCTATACTTGGTTAAGTGGTTTACGTTATGAATATAATTTATAATAAGTTATCCTTCGAGTTCAGATCTACGTGTTTTGCTAATGATGAACACAGGTCAGCTCACCTCTGATAAATCTGTTGAAACCGATGTCTCTGAAGCAAAACAAACAAAATTCTTTTCGATGGATTTGTTTTATAAAAAGTTTTATTTTTCTACAATTGTTTACATAGTAAATAAATATACGTATCAATATTTGTGTAGTAGTCATTTCTATGATTTTACAAAAAAAGTAGTTTTGATAAAACTTTTGCTAAATTAATTTTCTCTTAAACTAAATTCTAAAATTTTAAATCTATCTTCTCTTATTTTTGCATCAATTCAATAACAGCTTTAACTATATCTGAACTGTGACAAGTACCCTAAAAAAGAAAATTATTTTTTTATTTAATAATTCCCCCCACCCAATCTAAAGTCTTTTAAAATTACCCCAATATCGGGTGTATGCAATTTCCGTTCAGTCAAAGCAATAAATAAAGCATCTGACATTTTATCTGCATAACCATCCAACTTTAAAAATTATTATTATTTTTTAAATTAATTTTTATTCTCTTACCCCCAAATAACGTAACATATCAATAGCTGCACGTATAAAAGCTGTTGGATTAGCCAAATCTTTACCAGTTAAAGATGTGCCTGTGTTTCTAGTTCCCTGTTTTGAAGAAAAACTGAATTTTTAGATAAAAAGAATTTTAAATATTAAAATTGACAAAAAGGGACTTTTTAGAGAAGAGATTTAGATAAAATCGACTCTTTTCCTTTTATTTATTTTCTAAAATTTCCCCTTCAAAAATCTAACCGTCTCAAAAACAGCATATTCCTCCCCAATATTCATTCCAGAAACAAGTCCTGGCCCTCCAACCAAACCACAAGCAATATTTGAAATTATATTTCCATAAAGATTGGGCATAAGTAAAATTGCCCCGTTAAATTGTTGTGGACGACTAACTAATTGCATACAAGCATTGTCAACTTAAAATTGAATTTCTTTAATTAAAAAATTCTTTTTTAAACCAATTAAAGAGTCAAAACGTAATCCTTTCGATTTATATTCAGTATCCGCAATTTCTTTACAAACCTTTGAATTTTTTTTTGAAAATTTTTTTTAAATTTCAAAACCTTCAAAAATAGCCCATCTCCCAATTTCTGAATATTTGCTTTGTGAATTGCAGTAATATTTGGTCTATTATTCAAAACAGCATAATCAAAAGCATAACGAGCTATTCTTTCAATTCCATGTCGAGTTACAATCTTTTAATTTGAAAAAATTAAAAAAGAGGAGGGAATTTAGTTCGAAAATTTTTAAAAACAAATAAATTTTAAAAATTATTCCTTTTTTTTATTCTAAATATTTTCATTAAAATGCTATAATCTTCCATGTATTCAAGCAGCCCCCCCCCCCCCCTTACCAAAAAAAATTCAATAAAAAACCTTCAAACTTTCAACAATTCCAGGTTTAGGTTCATGTTCTAGCCCACTATATTCTCCTTCAGTATTCTCTCTAATTAATACTAAATCAAGATTGTGATGACGAGTAGGGATTGTTGGGACAGAAACACAATGAAGAACATTTGCAAATCTTTTTTTTTTTTTTGGATTTTTTGATAAAATATTTTTAAAAATTTTTACAAATCAAGTCGACGTCGAAGTTCCATATTTCTTGATTTAAAATCAGGATTGTCAAATTTTGTTTCGATATTTCCCTGAAAAAGAAGCAAATATTATATTAAAATTAAGAAAATTTTTGTATTTTTTTGATAAAATTTAAAATAGACTTGGTAATGAAAACGAATATAGATACAGAGAATGACAAGATCCCTGCGGATATTCGCCGTAAATATCCGGATTTCAATTTTTGTTTTCCAAAAATACCCAAAAATTCCATGTATTTTAATATTTTTAAATTAAAAAATTTAATAATTTACCTTCAAAGCAGCCCCAGTTTTGTGTATAGCATTTATTGCCTTTTCTAATTCTTCATCTGTCGGGTCTTTTGAATTTAATTCGACATCATTAAAATCAACAGGAATATTTAAAGAAGAAAATATTCGTTTAATATGCCCAAGCATCTTTTTTAAAAATAAAAATTAATTAAAATATTTTCCTTTACCTCAGGTCCAATTCCATCCCCAGGCAAAGCAGTTACTGTATAACGATTGTTATTTTTGGAGAGAATAATCTTTAAATTTAATTTTTAAAAATTAAATAAAAATTAACCTTACATCATTTTTTGATTTACTTTTAGGCAAAATATGTGTTCTTAAAGCTGATTTAAAACGATAAAAGTCTAATAAAGTTTTTGTTGGTTTTTGTCGAATTATTGAATTTGTACAGAACATTTCAAAAACTAAAAAATTAAAAAAATATTAAAAATTATTTTACAAAATACAAAAATATTGTAAAAATAATTTTTTCAATTTTCTATAGAAAAAATATTTTGTTTGAAAATATAAAAACTTTTTGTTTGTTAAGAAGAGAAATAAAAAAAACTATTTATTACTTTTGTCGAGAGAAATCAATAAACAACTGATAGATAGTAGGGGGATTTTTAAGTGATTTAAATTGTTATAAAGAAGAAAAAATAAAGAAATAATAATTAATTTAAAAAAATTAAAAGTTATCTTAGTAAATAATAAAATTTCATTAATTATTTATTAATAAATATTTTAATTAAAAAAAATAACAATTTGTGTTTGTCTATAAAAATATTCTATAAAATTTTTAAAAAATATATTAAATTAATTAAACTTTTCTTCCCAAAATTCCTCATTCCTTCCCTTCTTCTCTTCCCTCTTAAATTTTATTTTCAATTAATTTTTCTAATAAAATAGTATCAGCAGCAAAACGTCTAATTCCATCAGATAAACGATCAGAAGCCATAGAATCTTCATTAAGTTCCCAACGAAATTTATTTTCGTCGATATTTTCAATTAATTGGACATTTTTTGCTTGGGCAATTTCTTTTGATAAGATTTTGGAAATTTGTTCATTATCTTCATTTAATTGTTTTAGTAATGTTGGACTGTTTAAAAATTAAAAATATTAAAGAAAAATGGGGAGGAATAGGAAAAAATACGAGAAAAATGGGAAATTTGTTTATCGAAGGAATCTCAACATTTTTTAAAATAAATTTCACATTCCTTAAAGTAAAAAGTCTCGAAAATTTTCCAAAAAAAATACCCCAATATTTCATAAAATTAAAAGAACCCCCACCTACCTAATAGTCAAAAGATCACAACCAGCCAATCCTTTAATTTGTTCAGTATTTCGAAAAGAAGCAGCCATTACTTGTGTTTCATGTCCAAAATATTTATAATAATTATATATTTTTGTCACACTTAAAACCCCCGGATCTGTTTGTCTAGTAAAATTGTGTTCTGTTGTATTTTTTAAATACCAATCCAAAATACGGCCTTTTAAAGGAAAAATTATTAAAAAAAAATAAAATTTAAATTTGTTTACCAACAAAAGGAGAAACAAGAGTAACCTTTAAAAATAAGGGGAAAAATAAAAATTAATTAAAAATTTTTTAAAGAAAAACCTTTGCCTGAGCACAAGCCACAGCTTGATAAAAATTAAATAAAAGAGTCATATTGCAATGAATGCCGTGTTGAGACTCCAAAATTCTTTTAAAAAAATTTAAAAAAATATTATTAAATTCCAAACTTCGCCGCCTGAATTCCTTCCCAAGTCGAAGCAAGTTTAATAAGAATTCTTTCTTTGGAAATTCCTTCTTCCTCATATAAACGAATAAAATTTAAAGCTTTTTCAATTGAAGCATTTACATTAAAAGAAAGTCTAAAAAACTTTTAAGAAAATATTTTTAAAAAAAAACCTCGCATCAACTTCAGTGCTAACCCTTCCAGGGACAATTTTCAAAATTTCTTTTCCAAAAAGAACAAACAATTTATCCATCGCCAAAGACAAAATAATTTCTTTAGAAGCATTTCCAACAGATTTTTCTTTTGCATATTTAATTGCTAGATCAATTAAATGTTTGTATTTTTCGTCTTTTGTTGCTGCCAAAATTAGGGAAGGATTTGTTGTTGAATCGGTTGGTTTAAATATTTCTATTGCTAAAAAAATAAAATTTTTTAAAATAAAAAATTTGTTTTTTACAATGAAAATCTCCTGTATCAGCAACAATAATTGAAATTTGTTTTAATTGCTCTAAAACTGAAGACATTTTTGCTGAATTTGAAAAGAAAACAGCAAAATTTAATTTTTTAATTGAGAGTAAAATATTTGGAAAAATATGAAGAGAAATTATATTTATGTAAATATTGTAAATGGTCTGATTTAAAAGAAAAATCTAAAAAAATGATAAAAACAAAAAAAATTCAAACAAACGTAGTTGAGTCCGACAAGAAAGGGAAGGTAAAGGAAATGAAAACAAAGCAAGACTTTATTGGTAAAGTCGTCTGATTTTTTCTGAACGCAAGGGATAAGTTTTGAAATTTTCTAGTATTTGGATCACACAAGGATAACAAAAATGGAACGACAATCAAAATGTAAAACTCTAAATTTTTAAAATGATTCAAAAAAATCTCAAAGGTTAATAAACCTATCTATGCTTTAAACTTAATGAAAAATGCAAACATTTACATATAAATTTTATTTTACAACACCATATAAACAAACAAACAAAAAAGGCAATACAAATGGAAAAAAAGGAAATAAGTACATACAAACACAACAAAAGAATCGAAAGAACAAAATATCAAGTATGGAAATATCTCAATCTGTCTTCTTCGCAACATCGATTATCCTCCTCCTGTTGTAGATGATGTTCCAGCATCGGTGTCGCCCTTCGTTCCGCCAGCACGTGCAGGTGTCGCTGTTAATGGGCGGCCAAATTCGTCCAAAGCCATTGGTTCCACCACAACTTCCTCCACGTGGTAGACTAAAAATGGGGGAAAATTTTCGCTATTCAAAGACGTACAAAGCAACGAACCATTTGGTCTCGTGTCAGATGACGTTCCACCCCCGTCCTCAGTTTGCTTATCTTCACAGGGTTGCAATTTGTGATTTCGATTCCAAAATCCCTTGTGCTTTTTCATTAAAAAGCGTACATCGAGCGGTAATTCATTCTGACTCTTCCTCTTCACATTGCGGATGATCTTCAGCGTGACCACTGTCCTTTGTTCGATTGCTTCCCGGATGAGCCTTTTTGCTTCGTCGTTGTTTGTAACGACTTTGCCCCCTACTGAAACAAAATAAATTTATTTCCGGTTAATTTTGAGTTATCTTTTACCTTTCTCTAAGATGTCCCCATATTGAAAAAACTGATTTGCAATGCTGCCCGGCTGAACTTGCGTCACGACAATGGTACCATCCTAAAAATCAAAACAAATTTCCTAAAAAAAACTCCTAAAAATTTGTCTTACCCTGTTCTCGATGACCAGCCCAAGAGGCAAATCCGCCCTCCAGCGAGCTTGTACGTAGATGGCCTCTTCCCGTTCGCCTTTTGCACACCTTTTAATGACCTTCATTCTGTAGTAGATGTCGCGTCGGAACTGAACGTTGACACTTCTAGGCAGCCGTCCTTCCGAGCAGCGCGCATTGAACTCGTCACCAGAGTTGATTGCCTGAAATTTAGAGATGCGTTGTTTAAGCCTAAAGCTTATAATCTGTCCATACTTGTCCGTCGACGCTCAAAACGACATCACCAGGCATCAAATGTCCAAGGAAGCAGGAGTCGTACCGGAGACGTTCAACGCGCGGCGGCTTTACTGCATAAAAAGTGACGCCAGGTTTTGCATCGGGCACCAGAACTTGCATGGTCTCTTCCTGGATGTACCTCTGACCTTAAAACAATAAGCAGGTTGTTAATAAGAAAAACAATAATTAAAGCAAACTCACTTTTTTGTGACATACGAGCCCGCGAAAGGTATAGTTGAAGGTCCGAGTAGAGTTGAAGAACGCGTCCAGATTAGTGGTTGTTGAATTGATGGAGTCTGATGGAGTCATTGAATTGCTAGTGTTTATATAGTACTTATCTCACGGCTAATGATAAAGTTAAGAAAATTATTTATTAGTCTTAGAATTAGTCTTTTCGACTAGTTCTTTTTATTTTTAAAAATTTTCATTTTTTGGCATTGTGTTATTGCCAAACTAGTACTAAAATTACATTTAAAATTTATCGATTTTAATTTAAATTCTAACCTTATTTCTTAACTATTTTTTAGCATCTTCCTAATCTTAAAATAATGGATGGCAAAATTAATTCTAAACCTCAGTCGTTTTACGGATTTCCTTCAAATGTTCCAATCCAACTTAAACAAGCATATGCACACCGTGGCATCAAAAAACTTTTTCAATGGCAATCAGAATGTTTATCAGATTCATCACTTTTTGCTCCAGAATATTCAAATTTAATTTATTCAGCACCTACAAGTGCAGGAAAAACTTTAATTGCTGAAGTATTGGCTGCTTGTAATTGCTTGGAAACTGGACGTCGAACAATTTTTGTTCTTCCTTATATTTCTGTGTAATTTTACTTTTATTTTAAATTTAAAAATTAATTTTTAAGTGCTCGTGAAAAACTTCTTTACTTACAAGTACCTTTTAATTATTTATTTTCTTTATTCATTCCTTTTATTAGTCATTATGGCGTTCTATTGGATTAGTTGTTAAACCATTTATTGGCGCCTCTTCCACGAGTGTTAATGGATGGTCTGCTGCTGTTTGCACTATTGAGAAAGCTAATGCTCTTTTAAATGCTCTTATAGAAGTTGATTCTGCACATGAAATTGGTTTGTTTTTCAAAAAATTTAAATTTTTTATTATTAAGGAACTGTTGTTGTCGATGAATTACACATACTTTTTGAAAGTGAACGTGGCGCCGTTGTTGAAAATTTGATTGCAAAATTATTATTCATTTCCAAACAAAATAATTCTAACAGGTTTTTTTAAATTCTTTTTCCTTTATTTTTGCCTTTCAAGGATTCAAATTATTGGATTGAGTGCTACTTTAGGTGATAATGAATTACATAAAATGTTGGCTAATTGGATTGATGCCCGAACTTTTCAAACAGAATTTCGTCCACTAGAATTGCACGAATATTTAGTTCATGAAAATGGTCATATTTTTAATTTACTTGAAAATGGGGAAAAATGTAGAGAATTGAACGAAAATTTTCTGATTAAAGGAGATAATAAATGCATAATTGGGTAAGATTAAATTTTTAGGGTTTTTTTCAAATTTTTTATAGAATTACTTTGGAAGCATTACTTCAGTCACAATCAATTCTTATTTTCTGCCCAACAAAAGCTGAGGCAGAACAAAGCGCTATTTTGTTGGCTAAATATTTAAAATATTGTTTAGACAAGGTTTGTTTCTATATATATTTTGGATTAATATTTTCATTTTAGGGAGATGCCAATCGTTTTTCTGAACTTTCTTCTATCCTTCCTCGTGAAAAAATATCAGAAGCTATTGAATATTTTCGTCAGAAAAATGCCTGTTCTGAACGTGATCTTCTTCAATGTATTGGTCAAGGTGTTGCTTTTCATCACGCGGGATTGACAATTGAAGAGAGGGAAGTAATTGAGGCGTTGTTTCGTTCTGGGCATTTACGTGTTTTAGTTAGGTTAGTTTTTAATACTAATGAGACGGAATATCTAAAAATAATTTTTTAATTATTTTTTACTTTACCTTTGTATCTGTTTGTGTTTTTAATTTACAATAAAAATATTTGTAGCACTTCGACTCTCAGTTCTGGTGTAAATTTACCTGCACATCGAGTTCTTATTCGAACAAGTGCTGGTGGTCCAGTCCCCCTCAGTTTTGTAACTTACAGTCAAATGATTGGACGTGCTGGTAGACAGGGACAAACAATTTCTGCTGGTTTTTAATCTTTATTTTTTTAAATTCAATATTTAGGTGAAAGTTATTTACTCTGTAATGCCACCGATTGGTTAGCTGTTCAACGTCAAATTCAACGGCGTACATTTAACAGACCAAAACGAACATTTGGACGTCTTTTACTCGAGGTTGGTTAGAAAATATTTTTAAATTTTTAAAATTTAAATTTTTAGACAATAAACAGCTCTTTATGTAAAAATCTGGGCGATGTAAATAATTTAATAGAAAATTGTCTTTTTAGTCAACAATCACGTTCATTAGATGAAGAATTAACATATTTAATTCAATTAAAAGTTATAACATTAGGTGGAGATTCTTTGGCAGAATTTGATGAAGAAAAGAGTGATAGTGACAATATTAATTTTAAAAATCAACCTGAAATTGGGCCTGATAATAGTTTTGATAAACAAACTACTACTAAATCTACTTTGGTAAATTTTTGTTTTAAAATTAAATTAACGGACTAGAATAGATTTTAAAAATAAATTTGGATTATTTCGGAATTATTCCATTTTGGGTTTACTTTTAGTTATTCTTTCAATTTTTAGGTTCGTCCAACCCAATTAGGCCGAGCTGTGCTTGCCTCTTCTCTTGATTTAAGAACAGCACTTCAAGTATTTGATGGACTTAAGAAAGCTATGCAATCTATTTGTTTGGATACAGAATTGCATATGCTTTATTTGGTAATAATTTTTGAAAAAATATTTATTTTTAAAATTAATTTATCTAAAGGTCACTCCTGTAAATAATTTGGCAATAAATGAGAATTCAATAAATTGGAATTTTTTTCATAAGCAATGGACTAGATTGTCAGAGGAACGACGCCGCGTAGCTTATAGAATTGGAATTTCTGAAGAATTTTTTATGCAAAAACTAGGTGGACGGTCATTTCCGAGGGATCATCCTTTATTAAATGTAAATTTTTTAAAATTCTTCTTTTAACCTTGATAAAATTATAAATATTTTTCTTTTTTTAGTTACATGTACGTTTTCTGGCTTCTCTTATTCTATACGAGCTTATTAATGAAAAGGCACTTCAGGATGGTAAATAAATTAATTTTTATTTTACAAAATGATCTTTTAAAATTAAAGTTGCTAAAATTTGGGGTATTAATCGAGGGTTATGTTGTGTCTCTGCACAACAAGAAATAAGCAATACAATAATGTGTTTATCGCACACAAAGAAATACAATAATATTGAAGTAATAGAATAAGGTTGGGGTAATATTTAGGAGACAATTAGGAGACACGGACTGACAATTGTGTGAGGCTTTTATAGTAGCCACCACACCACAACACCTCCCCCTTTGCAAGGCTGGGGTTACAACACTGCAATACAAAACATACAAACAATAACAAAAGTCCGGTCAACAAATACATACAAAAAAATTTGAGGGAATAAGGGAACAAACAAAATTTTACAAATCAAAAGAACATTTTATATATCTTATTTATCGTCGATCCTTCAGAGATATTTGAACCCTCAGAATTTATCAAACCCTCAGAACAGCTCTGCATCCTATCTTCAGATCCCTCAGAATTTAATGATCCCTCAGAACAGCTTTCCATCTTATCTTCAGACTTTTCGGACCAGATCTTTGTTTTCTTCTTCGGTGTTGCGCCTTCATTGTACAGCCTCGCATTGGAGCGTTTGACAGCATAGCCATTCTTTGATTCAATTCTTGGTTGTTGGTAATCTTCTTTAATGTCTTCAATCTTCCGCAAGATTACACTCTTCAGGCAATGAACTTGAACTCTAAACAATTGACCAACTTCCTGTCGACCGCGCCAATTTGTTGTGTCTCTGCACAACAAGAAATACACAATACAATAATGTGTTTATCACACAATAGAAATAACAATAGTATTGAAGCAATAGAATAAGGTTGGGATAATATTGGAGACAATTAGGAGACACGGACTGACAATTGTGTGAGGCTTTTATAGTAGCCACCACACCACAACAGGTTACTTCAATCTTTACAACAACAGGCAGCTACTTATGCTTGTAATGTTTATTTTCAAATTTAAATTTGTTAAAATTTTTTAGATATGATTGTCTCTTTCTGTGATCGTCTTGGCTGGGTCCATTTAAAAACACTTTTGGATGATTTTGCTGAACGTTTACAATTTGGAATAAGAAGAGATTTAACTGAACTTGTTCGAATACAAGGTCTTTTGTTTTTTTAAATTTTTTCTATAAATCTTTTAAGGAATTGATGCAATTCGTGCTAGAGCTTTTCATAGAATGGGAATAGAATCTCTAGTTTCACTTGCTAATTGTCCTTTAATTCGTGTTTGTACTGTATTGAGAAAAGCTGTTCCGTTCAAAATGTATTTTTTTATTTGAATTTATTAATTATTTTGTGAATTTACAGAAATTCTCACACTGAAGGTTTAAATTTAGAAGATGGGGAGGAAGAGAAGAATACATGGCTCCATGATGAACCTCCTACTTTTGAACGTGTAGCAGCAAAAACACTAATTGAACGTGCAAAAATTGCCATTAAGGAAAAGATCAAGTTGATTTTTTATTTTTTTGGTTCAAATTTAAATTTTTCAGAGCTTTCAAAATTGTCAATTTCCCTACTTGTATTTCTAAAAGCAATGTCAATTTATCTCTTCGATTTGATACGTCAGTATTGAGTGTTTTGGACAATGATGATGGAGAAGATAAATTGGCAGAGTCTACAGCTGTTGCTGATCTTTCTAAAAGCATTTTGGAAGAAGCTTGGCTTTCTGAAGATGAAAGTAATAATAACTCTTCAAATGCTTTACTTGGCGGTGTTTCTTTGTTGGCAACTACAGATGAGGAAAGTGCTGTTGATTCGCTTTGTGATTCTTTCTCTCCGTTGCGTTTAGAGAAGGCAATGATTGTAAATTTTTAAAAATAAATTTATTTTAAAATTATATTTTTAAGTCTAATGAACGTCAAAATAACAATACTAAAGAAAAGAAGATTCCTCCAATATTTAACATTGAAGATTTTAAAGAAAATATTCCCCCAGAATTTTTAGAAAATGGAAAAAAGAAAACTTTGGAAAAGGAAAATAACAAAGATTTGACTCGTACTGCAATGAAAAATAGTTGGGCATCGAAGGTAAAATAATTATTTTTTTTTAAAGGCTTCTGTTTCTTCTATTAATACAAAGGAAGTTCCAAATGTCACAACAATGCCTTCTTCCCCCTTTCACTCTCCTCGGGCAAAGAAATTTGCAACAACAAAAGAAATAAATTGTGAATTAAAGAATATTAATTCTAATAATAAAAATTGTAATAAAATTAAAACAAAAATTGAAAAAACAAAAATGGCTGTAATAAATCCAATTTGCAGGTAAAATAAATTAAAAAATTATTTTTTAAATTTATTTTTAAAAATTTGTAGTTGTACAACAATTAAACAAATATTGGCAATATTTACGGAATGTTGGTTATTAATTTTGGATGGTAATGTCTTATTAGCTTATGATGATGATTTCGATCAAACACTAGTATTTCATTCTTTCCCACTTTCTACACTTCCAGAGAATTTTTGTAAGAATTTTTTAAAATTATTTTTAGAAATGATTTTAAATTTTAGGCAAAATTTGTAAAAATTCTTCAACTCTTCTTTTTTCAATTTTGGAGCATCCACGTATTCGTAAATGGGTTTTTTGTGGATTAGAATTTTTGAGAAAATTGAGGGTATTTTTGCCTGAATGTAACGAAAATAATCAACAAAAATTAATTGAGGTAGTTAATTAAATTTTTAAATTTTATTTTAATATTTTAGACTAAAAATTTGTGGTGTTTACAAACATTGGATGTTTTAACAAATGGAAATGGCCCTTCTGAATTACTAGAATCAAATTCAAACATTAAATTATTAACATCTACAAAGCTCTTAAATATTCTTGAAAGGTAAATATTTTTAACATTGAACATTCTTGGCATTTTTTCATTAATTTTAAGTTTTTTCCTATCCTTCTACTTTTTCCCTATATACATCTTCGGGTGAATTAGCTGACTTCGGATGACTTCTCTTCGTTCAAATTTCGCATTTTATTATCCTTGAATCTGCTGTCTTCGGATGACTTCTCTTCGTTCAAATTTCGCATTTTATTATGCCGAAATTAGCTGTCTTCGGATGACTTCTCTTCGTTCAAATTTCGCATTTTATTATGCTGGAATCTGCTGTCTTCGGATGACTTCTCTTCGTTCAAATTTCGCATTTTATTATGCCGGAATTAGCTGTCTTCGGATGACTTCTCTTCGTTCAAATTTCGCATTTTATTATGCCGGAATCTGCTGTCTTCGGATGACTTCTCTTCGTTCAAATTTCGCATTTTATTATCCTTGAATCTGCTGACTTCGGATGACTTCTCTTCGTTCAAATTTCGCATTTTATTATCCTTGAATCTGCTGTCTTCGGATGACTTCTCTTCGTTCAAATTTCGCATTTTATTATGCCGGAATTAGCTGTCTTCGGATGACTTCTCTTCGTTCAAATTTCGCATTTTATTATGCCGGAATCTGCTGTCTTCGGATGACTTCTCTTCGTTCAAATTTCGCATTTTATTATCCTTGAATCTGCTGTCTTCGGATGACTTCTCTTCGTTCAAATTTCGCATTTTATTATCCTTGAATCTGCTGTCTTCGGATGACTTCTCTTCGTTCAAATTTCGCATTTTATTATGCCGGAATTAGCTGTCTTCGGATGACTTCTCTTCGTTCAAATTTCGCATTTTATTATGCCGGAATTAGCTGTCTTCGGATGACTTCTCTTCGTTCAAATTTCGCATTTTATTATGCCGGAATTAGCTGTCTTCGGATGACTTCTCTTCGTTCAAATTTCGCATTTTATTATGCTGGAATCTGCTGTCTTCGGATGACTTCTCTTCGTTCAAATTTCGCATTTTATTATGCCGGAATTAGCTGTCTTCGGATGACTTCTCTTCGTTCAAATTTCGCATTTTATTATGCTGGAATCTGCTGTCTTCGGATGACTTCTCTTCGTTCAAATTTCGCATTTTATTATGCCGGAATTAGCTGTCTTCGGATGACTTCTCTTCGTTCAAATTTCGCATTTTATTATGCCGGAATTAGCTGTCTTCGGATGACTTCTCTTCGTTCAAATTTCGCATTTTATTATGCTGGAATCTGCTGTCTTCGGATGACTTCTCTTCGTTCAAATTTCGCATTTTATTATGCCGGAATTAGCTGTCTTCGGATGACTTCTCTTCGTTCAAATTTCGCATTTTATTATGCTGGAATCTGCTGTCTTCGGATGACTTCTCTTCGTTCAAATTTCGCATTTTATTATGCCGGAATTAGCTGTCTTCGGATGACTTCTCTTCGTTCAAATTTCGCATTTTATTATGCCGGAATTAGCTGTCTTCGGATGACTTCTCTTCGTTCAAATTTCGCATTTTATTATGCTGGAATCTGCTGTCTTCGGATGACTTCTCTTCGTTCAAATTTCGCATTTTATTATGCCGGAATTAGCTGTCTTCGGATGACTTCTCTTCGTTCAAATTTCGCATTTTATTATCCTGGAATCTGCTGTCTTCGGATGACTTCTCTTCGTTCAAATTTCGCATTTTATTATGCCGGAATCTGCTGTCTTCGGATGACTTCTCTTCGTTCAAATTTCGCATTTTATTATCCTTGAATCTGCTGTCTTCGGATGACTTCTCTTCGTTCAAATTTCGCATTTTATTATGCTGGAATCTGCTGTCTTCGGATGACTTCTCTTCGTTCAAATTTCGCATTTTATTATGCCGGAATTAGCTGTCTTCGGATGACTTATCATCGTCTTATAGCCCCCTTCATTTTCCATACTATTTTCATCAGAACCTAATAATTTTCTTTTTCAATTTTAGACTTTCCTGCGTTACTTTTTTTATAATTCCTTTAAATTTTTTAAAGATTTACCTCTTCCAACAAATTTGCTTTAAAAATGTACAAAAAACTAAGCAGTTTAAATCAAAAAATATCTCCAACTTTATTACTTCAAACAATTCAATTTTTAAGTCGAACTATTTTTAATAAAATTAAAAATACTAAAGAAAATAAATATTTAATTTTTGATAATAATTTATTGCCTTTGTATATGAAAAGTATGGTTGTAAGTTTTTTTTAAAAAGGGATTAAAAAAATAATTTTTTTAATAAAAGATAACTGCTAAAATGGAGTCTGTTGGAATTAAATTAGATAGAAGAAAAGCAGGCAAAATGGTTTCTTATATTTTGGAGAAAATGGTTTTAATTGAAGGGGAAATATATAAATTGGCTGGGGAACGATTTAATTTAGATTCAGCATCCGAAGTTTCAAAAGTAAAATTTTTCTTTTAATTAAAAATATTTTTTTAAAAATATGTAGATTCTCTTTATAAAATTACAATTAAATTTGCCTGAACATATAATTACAAATAATAATTGTAAAACTCGTAAAAGGCATCGAAAACATTTTCCAACAAACGCTTCTGTATTAAAACAAATAAATCATCCAATTTGTGTAAAAATAGAAAAATGGAGAAGAATGGAAAATGCTCTTTCTGTAAATTATTTTTTTAATTAAAATTTTGAAAAAAAATTTTTAAAAAGTGTTTGCGAAGTCTTCTCGCTTCTGTTTCAAGTGGAGATTCTCGTATACATACTCATTTTGAAAATATTGGAACAATAACTGGAAGAGTTTGTTGTTTTTCTCCAAATTTACAATTTATATCGAAAAAGTCTTTATTTGATGAAAAAACAGCAATTTCTGTTCGTTCAATTTTTGTTGTGCCGAATGGTAAAAAATAAGTTTAAATATATTTTTAATTTTAAAAAAGGTCGAATACTTTTGGCTGTTGATTATTCCCAATTAGAATTGAGAATTCTTTGTGCTCTTTCTGAAGATTTGGTATTAGCAAAAATGTTAAAAGAAGAGGACCCTTTTGAACGTATTTCTATTGAATTTGGGGAGTCTATTAATTCAAGGAATAATGAAAAAGAAAATAATGAAATTGTTGGTATTGGACGTGAAAAGGCAAAACAAGTAAATGTTAAATTATTTTTAATTTTGAAAAAAGCTTGAAAATCAGAGAGAAAAAAATACTAAATAGTTGATGGTCACAAAGAACAATTTAAATAATTTAATTATTAAAAAAATTTCAAAATTAATTTTGAAAGCTTTGTTATGCAATAATTTATGGAATGGGTGCTACAACTTTAGGAAATGAATTAAAAATTCAAATAGAAGAAGCACAATTATTAATTGATGGATTCTTTAAGCTATTTCCAAGTAAATAAAAAATTTACAAAAAAATTAATATTTTTCTTCCTTTAGAAGTAAAATATTGGATAAATAAAAATATAGAAAAAAGTAAAGAGAATGGTTATTCTACAACATTTTTTGGTAATAAACACAATTTTAATTGGGAAAAGGATAAAGAAAAAATAGCTTCACAAAATGCTTTGGAGAGACGTTGTGTTAATTTTGTAATACAGGCAAGTTATTTTAAAAATTATTAAAAAAATTTTTTTAATTTAAGGGAACAGCTTCGGAATTATTTAGACAAGCAATGATTAAAGTTGATGAAAAATTAAAAGGTAAAATTATTTGGATAAAGTAGGGGAGGGAATTGAATATTTTTTAATTTATTAAAATGAAAATAATATTTGGTGGTTAATTGTTTTGACCTTTTTAAAATTAACTTAAAATTGATGTTGGTCAACCTTAATCTTCGGGGATAACCTTTTTTAAACCTCCAAATTTGATCTAAAAATTTATTTTAATTTTAAAATTTTTTTAAAGAAATTCCAAATGCCCATATTGTTATGCAATTACATGATGAATTACTTATTGAAGTAGATGAAAGTTGTTTGGAAAAATGTGCTTTAACAGTTAAGGAATGTATGGAAGAAATTAATTTAAATAAATCAACAACAAAGGAAGTAACAAATAATTTTTTTGTTAATTTTCCTGTAAAATTATCTATTGGGCGGGATTGGGGGTCTTTAACAAAATTAGAGGCGTCTTTAATTTTATAAAACTTTTCCTGGATATTTTTTTAACATTAAATTCCATAATATTTTTGTAAAAAAACAATAAAATATATTTATATCGAAACAAAATTTATCTTTTGTAAATTTTGGCGTGACATCTTTTCATGACCTTTTATTTATTTTTATTTAAAAAATTATCTTTTAAATGAGAGGGTTTTGTTTAACAATCACTAGAATTTGTTATTGTTTTTGACAACAATTAATGCAAATATTTTATTTATACAAAAAAAGCTTTAATAAAACCAAGCATTTCCAAGCTTATAATCTTTTTAAATTTGGACATTTTCTTCGTCATTTTGTTGTTTTGGTTAGCCATTTGCCGGGACAACGGAGGAGCCAAAAGATGACGCTTGAAAGGGAAGGGGTGGTGGGGGTAGTGTGTTTGGGGGGAAAAGGAGGACACAACAACAACAACACCCGGCGACGAACGACTCAATTCAACGACGTACCAATCTGTGGTAGCCCCTACCTAGAGCGGCAGAAAAGGGGATGACAGCGACACAATGAACCTCATTCGCGTCTCATCCTTTTTTTCTTCATTTTTAAAAAGAAGAGGGTCATCTAAAGGAAAGACGCTTGAGTCAGAAATTAAAGTTTTTTAATTTGTTTTTTATTCATTTTCTTTTTTTTATTATTTAAAATCAGAAAAAATTTTTTTTTTAATTTCATTTATTTTTTGAGGGAAAGTTTAAAAAATTTTTTAAATTTAATAAAAATTCTCTCAGACTCAAATATTTAAAAATAACCTTTGCTTGTTCATCATAAACGGAAAAGCCTTTCCCCTCCTCCTTTGACCTTCATTTCGGCCCAATGCCCACCCTCATTCTTCCCCTTTTTTCTTCAATCTCTTACAATCTTTGTGCCTTTTTTTATTTAAAAAATAGCTCGATTGGTTAAAAAGCAAATGAGGGAGAAAAAAAGAACGCCGGAGGTCGTTTGGCTTCATTTTTGTGTTTTTCCCCATTTTTTCTCCTCTTTTCACGCCACAAAAGAGGTTGACCCAGCAGGTATTTTCTTCTTCTTCTTCTCCGCCTTCTTTTTCTTCCCTCTTCATTCATTCACATACACAAAAATGTTGTTGATGATGACCAACACAAAACTATCACTGCTTTTTATATAAAAATTATATATTTTTTGTTTTGTTTTGTATGTTATTATCCAAATAAAACTAACGAGAAAAACGACGAGAGAATGCTCTAAAAATATCCAAAATTTATTTTTGTCCGAAAAAATTAACAAAATTTTTAATTTAAATTTTTGTTAGATTAAAGAAAGTAATTTTCTTTTTGGAAATTTTTTATTTTATTTGATTTTTTGGGCTAATCAAGATTTTAACTTTAATTGACAATTCTCTTTTAAAAAAATTTATTTTGTATTTCATTAAAGTTTAATCCCCATTTTTTCTATTAATTTATTTTTCTACTAAAAATTATTAACTACAAATTATTACAATATTTAAATTTCTAGCCAAAATTATGCCCGTGAATAATTCTTCGGTTACCGTGAATTCTTTTTTCAAAATATGTCGGTCACCGGGAATTTATTCATGAGTATATATTATTGACTAAATAGATAAATACAATTTTTTAATTGCTTGGATATTCTTAAATAAAATTACAAATTAATTAAATTCAGAAATTGTCCACTAAATACTAGGGTTTCGCCGGAACCGAAATTTTGACCGGAACCGGAACCGGATCCAATTTGAGTTCCGGTTCCCGGAACCGGAACCGGAACTTTTCAAAGTTCCGGCCCGGAACCGGAACCGGAACTTTTAAAAAATTTTTTGCTAGAAAATTTTAAAAAATTTGCAGGTTATGTAGGGTTGTCGGTTCAAACAATTCTTCGGTTAACCGAAACAGAACCGACTAACCGAACCGATACCTTTGATTAACCGATCGAGAACAGACAAACCGAACCAAAAAACCGAACCGAACTACCAAAATCCCCTGATATGTCCGATACCCCACCAATTACATTATATCCCCTTTGATACCCGAATTTCTTCGAATTACGATATACCATTAAACTTCCTTTTACAGCGCCGCAGGCGAAAATTTTGACAATTTAGAAGGACAAGAAGCCAGATTTCTTCATTTTCTGGCGCCGCAGGCGAAAATTTTAAGAATTTGTGAGGACAAGGAGCTAGATTTCTTCCTTTTCTGGCGCCGCAGGCGAAAATTTTAAGAATATTGCAAGGCCAACCGGGGAAGGCCAACCCATATTTTTAAAAAAATCAATCCTTAGGGGTGTAAAAAAGTTCCGGTTTGGCCGGAACCGGAACCAATTTGAGTTCCGGTTCCCGGAACCGGAACCGGAACCAAAAAAACACCGGAACTTCCGGAACCCGGAACCGGAACCGGAACTTCCGGCGAAACCCTAATAAATACATAAATAGGTACTTTATGGATATGTCACCCCCCTCCTATTTTGAGTCTCAGAGTTTTCCTTAAACGTAGAAAATGGTCAGAGATTATTTTCTTCTCCATGTCAATCATTTTTTCTTCTACAAGTATTTTGCTTGTTTATTTTGCCTTTTCACATATTTTGTACTTACATTTCACTCATTTCGTTTCTACATTTACCACATTTCACTTATTTTGCTTGAAGAAAGAAAAATGATTGACATGGAAAGGAAAATAATCTCTGACCATTTTCTATGTTTAAGGAAAACTCTGAGACTCAAAATAGGAGGGGGGGTGACATATCCATAAAGTACCCATAAATACAAAACCTTGAAAAACTTTAATTAAAAATAATATTTTATATTTACTACATTTAAAAATTAAAAAAAAATCCAAAAAACTTTGATTATTTAAAGCTAGGTACAACGAGATAAATTTTAATAAGATAATTTCTAATAAAAACCTTTAAAAAAAATAAAAAATTCAAAAAAATTCAAAGAAATATTTTTATAATCTTGATGAAAAAATTAAAATTGAACGTTTATGTAAAGATTGAAGAAATTTATGTCGTATTTGGGTATGGCTGGATTGTAAGAATTTCGCATGTAAAAATAAAGAAGAAATTGGCGATAAGATTTAAAAAATTAAAAGAAGAACAATCTAAGGTTTAAGAGGTTCAAATAAATGTTTCTTTATGTTTTTAAAGCTCCTCTTACGTTAGGAAAATTCGATTCGAGGGCAAGAGATTAATAATAACAAGACATTATTATTTTCAGTTTTTGCCAAAAAAGTAAATGATGAACTCTAATTATGTAAATGAAAATTGGGATGGAAATAATTCTGATTTCAATTTATAAAAAATATAATCACATGTTTCCGGAGTAAAAGATAATGGAAAGTATGTACTTCTCGATAATTTTGATGCATTTATCCAGAAAAAAAAAGTTTAAAAATAAAATTAAAATTTGAAAAATCAGTAAATACTTCCTGTACGTAACGAGAAAGTAAAGGAATGAAACGTCCACATTTTGTTGGAAATGAAATGGCTGGCCTGAATTGTCCGGGACACGCCCGAATAGTCGCTCGGCCATAAGGTCGCCGAACCATAACTTGCTTAAAGATTACCGAATCTTTCCAAATTTACATTTAGTATTAAACGATTCCTCTCATCGAGCTAAATAGATTGGTACAAAAATTGATAAGGGCCAGAAATTTTTTAACAAGTTATGGCTTGGCGACCTTATGGCCGCGCGACTATTCGGGCTGTACCCAATTGTCCAGTTCCAAATTTTTTGTTGTTTCAGGCGAATGATTAAAATATTTCCTAGTTTACATTATTAATTTGTCAAATTTTAGGCAAAAACAACTTTTTTTTTGTTTTATTATAAATAAATGGAACAATGGGAAACCAACAATAATAGAAGTAATTTATTAGTTAATTCTTTTGTTTTTCAAAAATTATTCAATTTATTAAAAATGGAAGAAGTTAAAAATAAAGAAATACAAGAACAAAAACATTGGAGATTGGATATTGGTTTGTTTTTAATTTTTTAGAGACGAAAATAATTAAATTTTTAGGTGAAACTGTTCACGAAGATTTAACTCCAAAAGATTTAAATGTTGGGCTTTTCAAACATTTTATTGCGGGTGGAACTGCTGGGTTCTTTTCTAGAACAACTACAGCACCTTTGGATAGACTAAAAGTTTTTTTACAGGTTTTAAATAATTTTAAATAATTTTTCTTTTTACCTTCTATAAATTAAATATCGAAAATTTTTTTCATATCATAAATGTCGGTCAAAAATTTTGGTAATAGTCTGGAGGTCGCCCCCACCCTGGCCCGTAACCATGAGGTGGGAAGATGCCCCCCCCCCACCTCGAAATGGAGACAAGGAAAAAATTTCGGGAGGGGATTGAGCAAAAAAGTGAATTTTTTAGCCTAATCTTTTTGAGGGTAAAAAGGAGGGAAGTGACCTCCAAACTATTACCAAAATTTTTTAAAGTGTTTCTACACCTTTTGGACCAAAATATTTAAATTATTTTCAAAAATTTCAGGTCAATCCAACTTACACTGTTCCTTCAGCACTTCGATATTTACATAAAGAAGGAGGAATTTTATCATTTTGGCGTGGAAATGGTTAGTTTTTAATTATTAAAAAATTAATTTATTTTTTAATTTTAAAGGTATAAATGTTACAAAAATAGCCCCAGAATCAGCCTTTAAATTTATGGCATATGAACAAATGAAAAGAATTGTTAAATGGGAAACTGGGCATACACAATTAAATATGTCGGAAAGGTTTTTTGCTGGTGGGTGTGCTGGGGCTTTGGCACAAACAATTATTTATCCGATGGAGGTTTTAAAAACACGTTTAGCGTTGAGAAAAACTGGAGAAATTGGAAATGGGTTGGGTGGACTTTTTGAATTTGTGAAGAAAATGAAAGTTAATGAAGGAATTCTGTGTTTTTATAAGGTTGGGAATTTTTTTAGATTTTTTTAAGAGAGTAATTAGGTTTGGGTAAAAGTAAAAATTACAGGCCCTTAGAAAAGAATGAAAAAATTTTTTGATTCCTCTTTTAATCTTTGTTATAGTTGAAGAGAAGAGATATTTATAATCCTCTAGAAGGGAAAAATGTGAACATTTCAGGATATAACGCCGAAGACGAAAATTTTAACAATTCTGGGTGAAAAAAGGAAAAAATTAAGATTTAGAGAAGGGTCCCTCCCCTTCCCCTTGGCTTCCTGCCTGATTTAAATTATATATTTCAGGGTTTCCTTCCAAATCTTATCGGAATTTTTCCCTATGCTGGAATTGATTTGACTGTTTATGAGACAATAAAAAATTGGTGGATATATAGACATCCACAAGTTTCTGAACCTGGTAATTTTTTAAAAAATAATTTTAAAAAATTTATTTTTTATGTTTTTAAAGGTGTTATTGCAGTAATATCATGTGGTATAATAAGCAGTACTTGTGGACAAATATTAACATATCCTTTGGCTTTGGTTCGAACACGTTTACAGGCTTTAAGTAATTTTTTTTTGTTTAAATATTTTTTAAATTTTTCTTTAAAAAAGATTTAATAAATGACCAGCCAACAACGATGAAAGGCCAATTTATTTATATTTACACAAAAGATGGAATAAAAGGTTTATATAGAGGATTTATTCCAAATTTTATGAAAGTGATACCCGCAGTTTCTATTTCATATGTTACTTATGAACAATGTAGAAAAATGTTGGGAGTAAAAATGAGCTAATAAAATTTATTTTATTTTTCTTTTTTTGGGGTACTTTTCTTTTAATTTCTCTCACATCGATGATTGATACTAACAAGGAAAGATTGCGAGGTATCCGACCTAAAAACGGTCGAGACTTTTATCTGGCCACATAAAAAACAGGCAAAAACGTCTCAAAATCCTTGTTAGAAAGGGCACATTCTCTATCGAATGAGCCCGGTCTCGACCGTTTTTAAGTCGGACACCTCGCAACCTTTCCTTGTAAAATTATGTAACAAAAAAATTTTATGAATCGACATTTTGTTACATCTTTACATGGAATCTCTCTAATACTACGCCACCTCAGAATCAGATTAAGCCGTCGCAGTAGAGAGATTCCATTGTAACTTTGTTAATCAGAAAAGTACTTTAAAAATTGTTGTTTTATTATTGTATCTGTGCTCAAAATTATCCTCATGATTTTAATTGTTTCCTTCATGTATTTACTGTTATTTTACATATATATTTAATTTTTTTGTTAATTTTTATTTAAGTTTAAAAAGTTTTTAATTCATTTAAGAGGAATTGAAAAAAAGAGAAATTAAAAATGTTTAGGGAGTATCTTACAATTAAAATTCAAGAAAAAATAACTTGGCCAAATATGCGTATTACCTAATTTTTTAGGTCTAAGGAAATAGTACAAAATTTGAAAGAAGGCCCGGAAGTATAAAGTCTACCCATCTCTCATCAATAAAAATTTTTCCCCATCTTGCCTCTTCTCGCGACTAACAAAAAACATTTTTTAGATTTCACGCTTTATTGACTTTTCACGCTACACTGAAATGGTGATGCTGAAATGACCTTTTTTCCGCATCGCATGTTTGAGTCTCAATTGTTTTTTGCAAAGTTTGAGGAAGTTCGGGTTAAGGCCTAGGCCTAGATGATATACCTAAGTGGAAGTTTTCGTACTTGGGAATGTTCTGATTTCCTTTTGCCCAAAAATGTCTTTCCCGTCGATGCTATGCCCAAGCATATTTCCTTGCGTGTCGGGTGTATTTAAAACCTAACTAGAACATTAGAAGAATTGGTAATATTGAACCGGACAGACCCCTGTTTTTCTTCTCCAATTTTGATTGTGGGCAAAAATTTGGAAAACAATTTGGATGGAAGAAAGGAAAAAGTCTGACCATTTTGCAAAAATATAGGGGAAAATTGGGAAGGAGAAAAGTGGGTCTGCCCGGTTCAATATTACCGAAGAATTTAAAGATGGCCACTATACAACGTCTATTTTCAATTAGAGAGTTACCTAAATACATATATTTAATATCCAATCTAAAATTCTCTAAAATTCATTAATTTACAGAATTTCTAAATAATTGTCTAAATATTTGAGCAATCTTTATTTTAACTATGTCTGCAAAAGCAGAGGCTATTTTGACTGAAGAAGAACAAGAACTTAAGAGATCATTTCAACGACTAAGAGAAATTGTTTGTTTTTTGTAATTATCATTTTTTTTATTTAAAATTTCAGAAAGAAGCCGTTTTTGCGACAAAATCTGTTCGGACTGGTGAAACGTCAAAAACAAATAAAAATGATGTTTCAAAAACACAGAGTTTGTTTTTATAATTTTATTATTTAAAATATTTTTAGCTTTGCAAGAGGCGGAGGCTCGTGCGGAACAAGCTCGTCGCAAAGCTGCTGAGGGTCAACTTGCCTTCAATCCATCATCAGGGAACAGAACTTCGTTTAAGAAACGAAAAAAGGTTTTGAGTATAAATTGGTTAGTAAAATGTTTCTTTCAGGACTCGTCAATCGATGGTAGTACTGAAGACAGGGGAGGTGAACAGGTTAATATTTTTTAATTGAATGGCTTTAATTGGGAAGATTTTTAATAAATAAATTGGTGGAAAAAAAGAAATACCCTATCTAGGAGGGCAAAAAATATTTTATATTTGTTAGAATACAAGTGCCGATGCATCTCTTAACCAGTCTATTGGTGAACAACCAGCTGCAAGAGATGTAATGGATGGTATCGTTTTCCAAAGTATTATTTTTTGAATATAAATTTCTAAATATTTGTTTATTTTCAGATAGAGTTCCATCAATGCGTGATTTTAAAATACCAAAAAAGAAGCCAAGAACTAGCGAATCAAATGAGGCAGATCCATTTAGTAATAAAGGTATTTTTGAGGTTTAAAATTATTCTTATAAAATTTAATTCTAAAGGCGATGATAATAGTGGATTTTCTAGTGGAGGATTCTCGAGTGGATTTTCTAGTGGTGGAGGAGGTTTTAATCGCAAGCCATCCCTCGATAATGCTTTTGGAGGAAAACCTCAACGATGTAAAACATAAAGTTATTTTTAAAATAAATTTTAAATTTAGCTTCGTCTAATCAAAGTATTGAATTAGTTGGGGAATCTGCCAACTCTGCTGATTCTGTTGAATTTGTTGGAGAAACGAGGGAAAATGCTTTTGGAAATTCAGGTAGTTTCTTTTTAAATTTTACTGCTATTTATTTAATTTTAGGGTTTGGGGGCGGAGGTGGTGGCTCTAAAAAGTCTTCCGGTATTTCTTTTTTTATTTTAAGAGAGAAATGAATCTTATCAGAATATTTAAAAATATTAACAGGATTTGGTAGTGGAGGAAATGGTGGATTTTCAAAGAGTAGTAATAGTTGGGGCGGTGGTGGATTCCAAGAAAGCAGTGAACGTAGGAATTCTAACAATGATGAAGGAGGATTTGGAAATGTTGGTTTTGGGAATTCAAGTAATATTTTTTTTATATTTTGAAGTTTTATATTAACTTTTAAAGGTTTTGGTGAGAAAAGTTCTGGCGGCTTTGGTGGGGACAATAATAATAGTGATGGAGGAGGCGGAGGAGGATTCTCTAATTCTGCTTTTGGCAATTCAGGTAGCTTCTTTTTAAATTTTATTTGCTATTTTTTAATCTAGGTTTTGGAGGCGGTGGTGGTGGCTCTAAAAAATCTTCCGGTATTTTTTTAATTTTACCGGAAACTTTAATTTGTTTAGATTTTGGAACTGGTGGCTTTGGAAATACTGGTGATAGTAGTAATAATGAAGGTGGTGGATTTTCTAATTCTGGATTTGGAAACAGTGGTTTTGGAAATTCTAGTTTTGGAGAAAATTCAGGTTTATTAAAAATATTTTAGATTAATTTAAATTTAAAACTCACAGATGATAGGCAACAAAATAATGGCTTTGGAGGTGGTGGAGGAAGAGGTAGAGGAGGAGGTGGTGGTGGAAGAGGTCGTGGCGGTGGTGGAGGTAATAGAGGAGGAGGTGGAAGAGGCGGAGGTATTCGAGTTTCTAATTTTTTCATTCTTGTTTTTAAGGAATTTGTAACTTTTTCGCTCGCACCGGAAATTGCAAATATGGAGATACTTGCAAATTTAAACACGAACAAGGCGAAGGTGGTGGAGACTCGTCAAATAATCGCGGATTTGGTGGAGGAGGTGGTGGCCGCGGTAATGATCGTCGTGGTGGTGGTGGGAGAGGAGGAGGTCGAGGTTTTCAACGTAATCATTTGTTTTGATTATATTTTTAGTTACTTTTTTATTAATTAAGGTGACCGCGGTTCAAGTGAACAAAGTGATGGAGGAAGTGGCGGGTTTGGCGGTGGTAGTAATAATAGTGGCGGGTTCAATAAAGGCGGGTTCCAAAGGTATTTTTTAAATTAATTCGAATTAATTTATTTTGATTCTTCAGCGGAGGAAATGGAGGAGGCGGTTTCAGTTCAGGAGGATTTGAGACGGGTGGATTTTCAAATAGGTAGTTTACATATTACTCAAAAGTTTTTTAAAAACAAAATTATTTAATGAAGAGAAAGTTTTTAAATTCTAAAATAAATTTAAACTTTCAGCGGGTTTGGAGGAGGTTCGGGTGGTGGATTTGGAAATTCTGGGGGTAGCGGATTTGGTAATAATTCTGGTGGTGGAAATCGTAACGGAAAGGGACGTCGAGAATCAGATGAGGGTGCTGGTGGGGGCGGAGGATTTGGAAATGAAGGTTTTGGGAATGGCGGTTTTTAGCTTAATAAGCTTTGTAAGAACATATTGATGAATAAAATAATTTTAAGACTCTCGACACGTTTAAATTTTATGTTGACAACAAAAAAATTCTTGCACCTTTAAATATTGAAAATTGTTTTGAATGTTTTTTTTTGTTTTTTCATTATATATATGCTAAAATAATGAATTTTATTTTAAATTTAAAAAAGAAAATTTTATTAGAAAATATTTCCAAATTTCGATTAATTGATTTCCTCCTCATTCTTCTTTTCTTAAACAATTGGTGGGCATCCGAGAAGAAAATTTCGAAATAGTCACGGGCTCATTGCTAGGCATTTATTTATAAATTTCGTCACAATTTACCCAACCAATAGCTTTCAAATAATTTTTTTATATTTCATTTTTCCTCCCTCAAGAACTGCTCTAGACTGTGTGGTGAAAATAAATCATTTATTACAACATTTATGATTGTTTTGGGTTTTTGTTATGTTGAAAAAACTTTCTTTTTTACATTTTGAAATATTTGGCTTTCCCTTTGTGAATGAGGAAATTTGGGTAGCGTGCTCCGTCTTTCTTTTGGGGGGTTTTAATGCGACAGCGGGCGGCCGCCGGTCTTTGTGTTTGCATTCTATTGCAGCTATACACAATATATTTCATAATCTCTGTAAATTTATGTAAATACTTTACATCTATTTTTACTCTATAGCTCATTTTATTGTTTCCTCATCTCGATTGTCGGGAACTGGATTGATCAATAAATTTTGAAAATTTATAATTTGATTTCGTAAATGTCTGGGAAATTAAAAATTAATGGGAAAATGGAATTGTTGGGTACTTTTAAGGATTATGGACCGAATATGTTTTGCTTGTACTTAATTATTTAATTATTTAATTAATTATTATTTTTTATTTTAATAATTTTAATTATAGAAATGAAGCAATCAGTGATTTTATTTTGAAAAACCGATTACTCTACTATCAATTAGGAAATACAAAAAGGTATTTTTTTGTAAATTTAATTTTTTGGTTTATTTTTTTTTATTTTCAGGACTAACTAGCAAACGAATATTTAGAAAAGAAGCTCGTTCTTCTAATTCGGGCATAAAATGTATTATACTTATAAAAACTTGCCAATGTGTATTTATTCTTTATTTGCATAATTATGTTAAGAGAAACTCGACAGATGTCTTCTTCAACTGTAGACGTTTTCTCTTATTTCCACAAATTTCAACAAAGACATCAAAATTTTATTTGCAATTATTTTTTACCTCATTTTTATTATACCTCAAATAATGCTTCGCCACAATATAGAGGATACGAAGGTTTCTAGCTGTAGCAGGAGTGTTGTTTGTGCGCGGGGCTCCTCGGGAGAAACAAAAATAAAGTCTGGTTAGTTTATTTTTTATTGTTGATTATGAAATTTCTAAAAATAGTTTTGAGTGGGTGTTAGGCGAATATTCCAAAAAAGTCAAAATTTCGAAAATTCTTTGTCATATGCGTGACGTAAATATTTCCAAATCTTCCCCACCCATTTTTAATTTTTAAACAAAAGAAAATTTTTAATCTCAACAGTTTTTCAGATGCTTTCCGTTGAATCCACTATTAGCAGCACTCGAGAATCGGTGCAGCATTCATTTGTAGATAATAATTTAATTCAAAATAGTGGCAGCTTATCCAATAATTCCCAAGCAAATGAAGCAGTTTCAGTTAACGAAAGCCTTTCAATTCGTAAGAGACGTGCTTGTTTTTCGCTTAAATTCAAAAGGCTTAATTATGCTTCATTCTGTGACAAAACAACGACTCCAGAGAGTGGAGATGAGAGAGCAGTAAATAATGAAGAAATTGAACGTTTAGTTTCCTCGTCATCGTCGGCATATAACAGTGGAAATGAAACGTATTTTTGTTTTTTTTCTTATTTTACTCCTCGGGACTTTCTAAATAGGCAAGGTTGTATCTATAATCTCATATTTTGCGATATACTGGGGCCTTAAGATACACACCTAGATACATATAGTAATTCGTTTGATAATAAACAGATATATCCACGTTTTAGAGGTAAACACTGAATTAAAAATTTTAGTTCAAGTGCAGCAGAAAATACGGATGATTCCTCTGGGGAAGAAGAACAACAAATACATTTAAAACGTTTACGTTTTGATTCAGTAAATAGCCAAAATATTTTTGAAACTATAAATGATGTAAATGAACAACAAAATGAAGAAGAACAGCAACAATCTGTCGAGGAAGAGAAGGAAAATTTACAAAAAGGCAATTTACTTGAGGAGGAGCGGGCTTTGAATGTGAATTTTTATTATTTTGAAAATTTTTTAAAGAAAATATTTTTTGAAAATAATTATTGGATTTGGAAGAAAAAATTGAAATTAATAAATAAAAAAGGAAAAGTTAAAAGAAAATTATTATCACCAATTAAAAAGGTCATATTATTTTAGTGATACATAAATTAAAGATGAATTTTTAATTAAATTAAATATCCCCTTAAAGCAGAACACATTGATCATAAACTGTAACATTATTCGAAATATTTTTAATTATATAATACCAAAACATTTCTCAAAAGCGGTCAACAATACATCCTAGTACTTTGTCAACTTTCCGGGAAAATACATATCTGATTTATGGAGTGTCTGCCCAAGACCAAAAATTTTCCCAGAATCGAGACCACTACACCCTAAGACCAAATTAAAAAACCCCAAGAAAAGTCGGATCAAGTCTCAAGACCAAGAGTCTTGGACAGCTCTAAGTTCATTCCTTCTTTTTAGGCTTCTCATTTTAATTTTTTTAGTCTTCACCACAGACAGATACACAACTCTACGATTCTGATTTAATTTTGGAAGATTCAATAACCGGAAAATGTTATGAATTGACTGGATCTGGACGAAATTGCAAAGCTATAGATTTGTCTACACAAGAAATGTGGCATTGCCAAATGTTGAAACAAAATGAATTTAATAATTTAATGGAGATTGTTTCACGAATGAAAAGTGTTTCGAATTGTTACACTGAAGAAGGGTTTGCAGAAAGGAGGTAATTAAATACCGTATTTATTCTAATAGAATGGCCCCTCCATTAGAATGGCCCCTCCAATAGAATGGCCCCTTTTTGGGGGTATCGAAAAATAGAGTGGCCACCTCTATTTGAATGGCCCCTCCAATAGAATGGCCCTTTTAACTACAAAACATATACATAATACATTTCTTTATTTTCTTATTACCTGTTAAATAGTACTCTTTAGTTAGGATAATCATAATATTTTTGAGCAAATCTGGAGTAATAAAAGGGAGATTAAGAGGGATATTAGGGGATTTGAGAGGATTAGGAGGGATATCAAGAAATTACAACGTTTTAATGAAGACGCGAGGTATTAGGAGAATTAATAGATATTTATGAATTTGGACTATATAAGGAAGTTGGATATAAGGTTGTCGGATCCGGTTCGGATATCGGATCCGGATATCCGAAGATTTCCATTGGTAGTACTACTATCAAGGAATTAAGAGACTTAAGGTTAGATATTCATGGATTGGATAGATTAGATTTATCAGAGAATTTGCTGGGATACATAGGATTTACAGAAATACAGGGTGCGAACTTTTGCCCCACCCTGTAATGATGGATTTGGTGACATCCAAATTCATCAATATCCCTCCAAATCTCTCCCAATTTCAATAAATTACGTCCAAATTCCAAGATCCCGCGGGCTTTTAAGAGCCAATGTACTGGAAATTTTGATTGTGTGGCACCGAATTAAATCAAAAGTTGCCTTTTTAGCCAGCCGGCAAAAGGCTTTTATATTTTATAGTGATACGATTAGGAAAATTCACTAACCAAAATCGAAAATTAAGAATTTTACAAGAAAAATTGATTGAATTTCGATGTCGAAAAATATTCGATTGGACATTAGATTCATCCAATCTCAGATTCTAACCTATGAAAAATAGAATGGCCACCTCCATTAGAATGGCCCCTCCAATTGAATGGCCCCCTTTTGGGGGTATCGAAAAATAGAGTGGCGGCCATTCTATTAGAATAAATACGGTATTTTTGTTTTTCTTTGGATAGTTCTTAACCTAGGATGAAGGGTTATTATTCTTATACGTGGGAAAATTCCGTATTTGATAGAAAATCTAAACAAACGACAGATCGCTTGACCCTTATCGAATCAGAAAATTAATTTCACTCGTTTTATGTTTGCCCATTTTATTTTAAATATATGTATTTTTTTAGCAATCTTCTGTTACCATTTGACCAACTTCAAACATTAAAAAGCAGCAAACACCCTAACATAATTTATGTAAAAATAATTTTACTTCGATTGTCCTAAATTAAAAATCTTTTAAAGATTCTTCTTCCTAATCATTATGATAGTTTAAGTAAATTAATTGAAGAAGAATGTGGTGAGGAAGCAGCTTCTTTTCCGTATTGGTGTCGTCCTGTTTGTTTAAGTGAAAGACTTGTACAACAAATCCTTAAACAAATAACTGTTTTACTTGAATTTTGCCACCGAATCGGTTTATTTTTTCGGGATTTTCGTTTTTGCAAATTTGTCTTCACTGACCAAGCAAAGTTTGTTTGTCCATATTTAAATTAAATAAATTATAATATTTTAGAACAAAATTACGACTGAATAATGTACTTGATTTGTATATTTCACCGAGCGTTGATTGCGATTTGATAAATTCTCGAGAGTTTATTCCTGCTTATATATCACCTGAAGTTCTTGATAAGAAGGTTTTTTCGGTCTAATAAAGTCAAGACTAACATTTTGTAGAATCAGGTTTATGGAGGGCGCGCAGCAGATATATGGGCATTTGGTGTTATGATGTTAGTGATTTTTATTATTGGGGAGATATTTGTATATTTATTTAGAAATTGACCTTTTTCTTCGGTACTTGATCGATTTTTTAACATTTTTTATTTTATAATTTTATTTTTTTCTCAATTTAAGGTTTACTCTTTTAAATGGCCGCTTACCCTTCTATGAACAAAGTAATAATCCGATTGAGTTATTCCGACGTATTCGTTCTCATTGTTTTTCTTCTCGAATGCGGTCATCAGTTTCGGAGCCTGCACGTTGGTTAATACATTCTTTATTGAAACCCTGTCCCGATGAGCGGCCATCTGCCGCACAGATTTTGCAGGTTTTTTTTGAATATAATTTTTAAATTCTTAATACCTATTTTAGGCCCATTGGTTTCGTAATACTTCAACAATGGGTTTAGGTTCTCTTTGGTCATCATGTTCCTCATATGCCTGTAAACAAATTGAAAAATTACAACAAACGAATAATTGTAAAGTTTTTCCATTACGGGATTGCCCATTTTTGTATTCGACAAGAGTTGTACCAAATGGAACGGAATGGCACAAATGTCGACGAAAATTAACAGTTAATAAAAATAATAATAAAGTAAAAAATTAGGGTTTTGATAAAAGTTTCGAATAATTTTAAATATTTTTAAAGACTCATTTATTGAATCCTGTGCGTTCATTATTTCAAGAACAAAATGAATCTGATGCGGGCCGTTCAGAAGTTATTCACCCTCTTCGATACCAAGCAGGGCTGAATTCGAATGGATCTGCATTGGTGAATATGCCTTCAGTCCGTGGATCTGCTCCATCTTTTGTATCGGTAATTTAATAATGAATATTCAGAACATTTTTCAATTAATTTTAGATTCACCGACGAGAATTACCTTTTATTTCGTTGAAAATTGAAAGAGAAAAGGTAAGGAAATTTAACAGATTTTTAAAATTAAAAACTTTTTTCCTAAGGTAACAGAAGATCAAGTTGTCCCCGATTTTTTGGGTTAACTAGTTTAATTGTTCTTCACTGTTGAAACAAACTTCTTTTTCTTCTCCCTTGCCATGATGGTTCTCCTTTACCTCAAATGTAGGTATTTATTTATAAATAGATGAATTTTACTTTAAATAAATTTTAGATTAATGATCGGCCTAATTTACCTACGTTGAATCATTATATACTTAATTGAGGATTTTTGGTACTTTATGGATATGTCACCCCCCTCCTATTTTGAGTCTCAGAGTTTTCCTTAAACGTAGAAAATGGTCAGAGTTTATTTTCTTCTCCATGTCAATCATTTTTCTTTCTTCAAGCAAAATAAGTAAAATGTGGTAAATGTAGAAACGAAATGAGTGAAGTGTAAGTACAAAATATGTGAAAAGGCAAAATAAACAAGCAAAAACTTGAAGAAGAAAAAAATGATTGACATGGAGAAGAAAATAATCTCTGACCATTTTCTACGTTTAAGGAAAACTCTGAGACTCAAAATAGGAGGGGGGGTGACATATCCATAAAGTACCGGATTTTTATTTACCTTCAATTGTCTAAAATTACATTAGTTTTTACGTGTTTTTTAAATTTGGACCGATTTCCCCTTCCCTTTTAACCTAAAAATTTTTTATATTTCCAATCACAGCATTGGAATTTCCTTTAGAAAAGGCCGTCTCTCTCCATTATCTCCCTCCCACATTTTGCTGCCACTCTCCTTATCTTCTCCATCCTTCATCAAGACAAAAATCCGATTTTTATATTTTTGTTCCTGCCGATTGCCCCGCGTTCAACTTCCTCGGTTTCCAATTTTGCCTCTACAAAAATGTACACTCGATCTTTTAAAAAAAATTTTTGACTCCAAAACATTGTTCAAAATTATATTAAAATTCTTTAAAAGTTTATTTTATTTTTGTCATAAATTAAAATATATTGCTTCTCTAGAAAAGAATCAACCCCCACCAAGTTCAATTTTCTCTTTTGGGATTACCAAAAAAACTCGAATTTTCTCATCGTTTCGAAAATGATTTTTTAAAGAATTAAAATTTTCAAGTTTTGGTTTGGGAATATCTCTCTGTAGAGTGCAATATATCCATCCATTCCCTTCTATAAACAATCATCTACTATGTACAAAAATTTGTCCATATATTTATATCTTTATTTACATACTTCACAATGTAAATAAACAATTTGTACTTTTTTTTTCTCCCATTTCTTCATTTTATCTGTTTGCCCTTTTATCAAAAAATATATAGCTTCATTTATGTCAAAAGTACAGCTCCGCGTATTGTAGCTCGTATAGATTTATTCAATACATTTATTAGATAAATATGTATTATCCTCTCCAAAATTTATTTACATTTAGCTGCCGACGCACTAAAATCACCGCCCTTATATTTTAATTGATTTGAATAAATTTTTTATGGAATATTTTTGATTGATTTGATAGTATGTTTCTATGTTTACTTGAATTTACTGTTGGAAGATAACTGAAATTTATTGTTAATCCACATAAATTTATTTCGAAATTAGAGAGGATATTTTTTTATTTTTAATAAAAACGGGGATTGAGTAAAGTAAAGCTTTCTTTGCGAAAATAACTGACAGATCATCACCGATGAATATTAAACAAGGGTTCTCCCATTTTTTAATAATGACGAATTCAAAAAAATTAATTTCTTTAGGGGGGTAATGTGTTTAGAACACATTAATATTCTCTAAAACAATTTCTTGAGTTGTAAATTGTTTAATTTATTTCTGTCGTGTGCAAAATTCGATTACAATTCCCCATCTTTAACATTGTGTCCCAAGTAAGATGAAAAGATTAGAAAGAGAGAAAAGAGGAAAAAGTAGAGTATTTTCTTTTATTTTCTCCTTTGAAAAAGAAAAAGAAAAACTATTTTCATCTCATTTACAGTCACGGAAAAAAAGATAGACTCAAGCCTTTGTAAAATAAAAATTTAAAATTTTCTCAACAATTAAAAATAGTTAATGCCTAAATCAAAAAGTAAATTATAGAGCTTTAAATTGTGAATAAAATAGCATATTCACTTTAACAAAATATTAATTTATTTTTGCTCAACATTGATTTAAACATAATATGCCCATTTTGTGCGCGGAAAAAAAGATAGACTCAAGATAAATTTATCAACTTTTGTCCGGCCAAAAATTCTACAAAAATTTCTGCCAACATTTTCATCAATACTGAGTTGAAAAATAAAAAGAACAAAGTTTCTACCTACTTTCTTCATCGAGATCTAGTAACTCAAAAATCAACGGAAAATCGGGGTACAGTACTTCAAAAAATATTTTAACACCCTAGGGCTTGTATTAAAAATTTTGTTTTAGGCCTATCTGAAAGCCCATAAAATTTGCTACAAAAATAATTCATGTTTAAATTTTCCGTTAAAAATTCATGGAGATAGAGACCGAGAAAATGAAGAAGTCATCATTTTTGGGGTATTTTGGGAGGTTTTGAGCATTTTAATGTAAAGTGGTCTTGCGTCAGCCGGATATTTTTTTATGAAAATTAGGTTCCGGAATATTTTGTAGCAAATTTTATGGGCTTTCAGATAGGCCTAAAACAAAATTTTTAATACAAGCCCTAGGGTGTTAAAATATTTTTTGAAGTACTGTACCCCGATTTTCCGTTGATTTTTGAGTTACTAGATCTCGATGAAGAAAGTAGGTAGAAACTTTGTTCTTTTTATTTTTCAACTCAGTATTGATGAAAATGTTGGCAGAAATTTTTGTAGAATTTTTGGCCGGACAAAAGTTGATAAATTTATCTTGAGTCTATCTTTTTTTCCGCGCACAAAATGGGCATATTATGTTTAAATCAATGTTGAGCAAAAATAAATTAATATTTTGTTAAAGTGAATATGCTATTTTATTCACAATTTAAAGCTCTATAATTTACTTTTTGATTTAGGCATTAACTATTTTTAATTGTTGAGAAAATTTTAAATTTTTATTTTACAAAGGCTTGAGTCTATCTTTTTTTCCGTGACTGTATATTTATTGCTTTTTTTGTGTCACGCGAGAACCAGCTGTGTCTAGAGGACTTATTTTTGGGATATGAAGAATTTTTTTTTCATTTTTGATGCTGTTGTTCCTAGAAAATTGCTCTTTATTAATATATGGATGGATGGAGGGATTTTCCAACAGGAATGTTGCCATTACTTTTAATAATTTTGTGTGATTTTATAATTACTTTGGGGAATTTTTTGATGAGAAAAAAATATCGAATAAAACTAGAAAAAGGAATTGTCCTTTTAAGGACAATTTTATGAAATTTTATATTTTTTTTGGACATTTTTGGATCGATAAAAAGTAGCTGATTTAACACTATTTCACTGTTAAAAATCATTAATATTTTTTTGAAATTAAAAAAAAAGTTTTTTTCAGCAATACAGGTTAAAAACCATTTACTTAAATAAAAATTATTGTTGTTTATTATCTCTAAATATATTTGTATTCCACGTGCGTGGACGTTGAGCGGGAAGAAAAATTACGACCACACGCATAACATCAGCCGAAGAAGCTTCATCAGCAGCAGCTGAGAGCAGCACTGGCATTAGCGGCAATACAAACAGACAATTATTGGTAACTGATCAAATTTCATCATCTACTTCGTCTTCTCAACCAGGGGAAGGTTTCTTTTTGTTTTTTGTTATCATTTTAGAATAATTAAATATTTGTAGGTCTACCTCATTGTTCTTCACCTCCAAGAAAAATCAGGTCTTTATTTGATATATTTTTGAATTTCATTGGTGTTAGCTGAATAACTTGAGTTTTATACATGTTGTAAAATTCAATTTTGGACCCTAATTTCAGAAAGTAAAAACCAAAAATTCTCTGAGATTTTAATTTACATAAGCATCTAATTTTGATAATTAAATTGTTAATAATGTAAATCTTAATTAGAATATATTTGCCAATAAATAGGCGAATGCAAATCGGGTTTGGCGGAATTGGTTACGGCAGTGGTTCAGAAGCCGCTGCAACTTTTGGCTCTTCACTTTCCTCAATTAAATCTGTTGGCCAACGCTTAAAAGACGCCTCTTCTAGAGGAAATAAAGATGTTAGTATTGGAGGAACGGCAGTAGCACTTAATGGGACTTGTGTGACAGCAAAAGGAATTTTGCCACAAAAAGAACAACGAAATTTACGTTTTCCGTTGGTCTTGACCGAATTGCAAAAAAATACTGTCAGAGTTATTGGTCAATATTTACGTGAACTTGGAATGCAGTTTTGTTTTTTTAACTAAAATTTTTAAATAAAATTTGTAGTGATACTGTTGATTCTTTGGTAGAAGAGACTGGTTGTCGTATTGAAAATCCTCTTTCTATGAAATTACGAGTAAATTTTTGGAAAATTTTTTAAATTTAATTTTTATTTTAAAGGAATCTATACAAAATGCACAATGGCAAAAGGCTTTAGAATTAATTGAAAAGATTCGTTTTCATTTAACCGAGAAACAATATTTTGCTGTACGGGTAATTCTTTTGGAAGAGAAGTTCAAGGAATTGGTTGCTCGTGGAGAGGTTATGATTTATAATTTTTATTATTATTTTAAAAAGTTAACTAAAATATAATCATAACTTTTTAAAACGCCCGTTAGTAATTTTAAAATGTTAAACCGAGTGTGTTTACTTCGAAACAGCCACAAATGAATATCCAGACATTTAATCCCTACCTTTAACTTAAATTTTCTAATTAACATAAGAATAAAAAAATATTTTTTAAGAATTTAACTGCCCTTCGTGTACTTCAAATCGAATACCCAAAATGTCAGGAACTTCGTTCTCGACTAGAACTTCTTTCAACACAATTATGTTCTAGTGCAGCTTCACAAATCTTTCAAAGGGAATGTGCTGACAGTGAAACAGTTAGCATTCATATATTAAATGTCCTTAGAAGGTTATTACCTCCAAGCATTATGTTGCCTCCAAATCGCCTTCAAGAACTTTTAAAGCAATGTTTGTATTCGTTAAAAGAAATTTTCTTATAATTTTATAGCCTGGTTATACCAAACAAAACAATGCGATCTACACGTGCTTTCGCGAGAACAAAATGTTCTCGATGATAGAGCGATTCTAGTCGATCACCAATGCTCTAGCCGAGAATTTCCTTCAAAAAATACTTGTGTAAGTTAAAGTATATATTTATTAGACGTAGGATAATTCTAAGGGTTTGGGTTACTCGTTCTGCTTTTGGATCTAATACTTGTTATTATATATTTTTTATTTGTTCTCATAAAGTTAAAATATTTTTTTAAATTATAGACTCTTTATATGCACAATGCAGAAGTCTGGTGTGTTAAATTCTCCCCTTGTGGTCATTTTATCGCTTCTGGTGCTAAAGGAAATCAAGTTTTGGTTTGGAAAGTAGAAAGTCCAACCAAAGTTAATGTATTCCAAAGTATGCAAATTTTACAGGTTTTGAAATATTTTTTGAATAAAATTTTTATTTTCAAACAGGATGTCCATGCAATTGGGAGTATTTCTTGGAGTTATGATAGTCGATATCTTGCTGTTTGTGCAGCAGAACAGCCAAACGTGACTGGCTGTTTTATTGTAAATTTTTGAAAATTAATTTTTTGAACTTATTTCTTTTTAAGTATTATGTGCCTAGTGGTCGTTTAGTTAAAGAATATACTCGTTTTACTGGAGATTCTTTTGCTTCTGTTTCATTTTTTAAAGACAAAAGCCACAAATTGGCATGTGCTGGCCAGAAAGGACATTTCCATGTTTATGTGAGTTTTTAGGGGGTGTCAACTAAAATTTAAAAGTGCTAGAGGTATCGAGATCCTAGTTTAGTTTTGGATGCTGATGATCTCAATATAACCCTGCTAGTTTTCAAAAACTATCTTTTCGAATTCAAGAAATCATTTTAAACTGTTTGGGCATCATTTAACAATTTTAATTCTTACTGATAGTTTATTAAAATCTCATTAGGACATTCATCGGCCTGAAGACAATGCAAAAATGTTTGAAGGCTTTCGAATTCGATGCCTTTATGCTTGTAGTGATGGAAAAACAGTTTTGGCTGCAGATACTCACAACAGGCTATTTTACTTTAAAAATTAAAATAATTATTGAGAGAGAGAGGGGGAGGGAGGGAAGGGTTGGGGGGTTTTAGATGTCATGGGCGTAAAATTTTTTTTCAATTTGATTGTGGTGTTATCAAATTTCAAATTTAGAATTCGAAAATATGATTTCGAAACTCAAAGAGAGCACACAATAATACAAGAATCTTCACAAATAATGCATTTTACTGTTGGACGTAATGAAAGTTGTTGCCTTATTACAACAAAAACGGAGGGGATTCGCCTTTGGTGCTTAAAGACGAATACACTTATCCGAACGTTTTTTGGAGCGAATCATAATGATTATGTAAGTAAAAATAAAATTAATTTTTTTTAAATTGGAGAATTATTTTCAGATAATAACAAGTACATTTGGTGGTCCCGACGACTCATTTTGTGCTTCTGGATCTGAAGGTATAAAATTTTTAAATTAATTTTTATTTTTATAATATTATTTAGACAACACTGTCACAATTTGGAATTTACGTCGTTCAAATCCTGTATGGAAATTACATGGACATTTAAGTAAGACAATGTTTGGAAATATTTAAAGAAATTTATTTTTTAATTGCAGGCACAGTTAATTCAGTTAGTTGGAATCCTGCAGATTCGCAAATGTTGGCTTCCGGCAGTGATGATGGTTGGTGATTTTTGTTAATTTTTTTGATGATTTAATCTTAATTTGGAAGGATTTTTTAAACATTTTAGTCTTTTTTAAAACATTTCCTTTTTAAGGAACTATAAGAATCTGGTCAACAGCTATAGCCAAATGATTTAAAAATAAGTGCATGTTTAAAGACTTGAATCAACTTAAAAATGATTAAAAACAGATTTACATATACCCCCGTCTATATATACAAACATTCATTTTTCATATTAAATTTTGGAAAGAAAAATTTTAATTTTTAAAATGAGGTACATATCAGGGATGTCACGGGTCGACGATTGCGGGTTTGCGGGTTGCGATTTTTCACATTTTCTTATATATGGAATTAATTTGAAAAAGTGTATATGGAGTAGGTTAAAAAGAATCCTGAGACTTTATTTTTGGTCCAATTTTCAAATAATTCTCTATTTGTATAGCTTTATGGTTGACAGACAAACTGCCAAGAATTGGTCAAAAAATTTTAACTTCTGTTCAAAAAGCACGCAAAAAAATTATAAAAATTTGACAAAAATTACTCCGTATACACTTTTTCAATTAATTTCAGATATAAGAAAATGGGCAAAATTACAAACCCGCAAACCCGCAATTTCGACCCGTGACATCCCTGGTACATATATTATGAGGTTAGATATGTATATTTTATTTTTCGAGTTTATTAACTACATTCCTAGTTGATTTATAATACCCCCGTCTATACTATATATGCTATTTCGACTTGATTTTTCGCTGTTCAAGGCATTTAGAAATATACATAGAAAAAAAGGTAAAAATTGTTTTTCAATTTAAAATTTAATTGTGTTGTATCATTTTTTATAAACACAATTTATTAACAATATCATAAAAATAGATGGGAATATTCCTAAAAAAGCAAAATTAAATCTTTATGACTTTTCTGGCTGTTGTATTTTGTATCCACCAAATGGGCTTGCACTCAGAATTGTTGGCTTTAATTCCGACGTATTTTGGTATTTCGACTTGATTTTTTGAACCTTGAAAAAAATCTTAAAAAGAACAAATCGCTTTGGCGTTATCAATTATTTCCCTACATGGTTTCATGATTATGTGAATGAGATTATTAAAATGACATCAAAATCTTGGGATTGGATAAGTTTTGACAAAGTTATGACATAGAAATAGTACTTGTGCTGCTTTTTTAAAACTAATTCTCTTAACTACTAAAAGGTTGGTTTCAAGAGTTTGAGTCAAAACTCTTGAAGCAATAGATTAGGTATATATGTATCGCAAAATGTACTGTTCATTAATTACTAATCATCCTTTGTTATTACTAAAGAGAGATAGATGAAATTGATATTGCAAAGCGATCCTACAAATAGTTTGGTCGATGTGTGGGAAAAGAATCATGGTTTAGGTTTTTGATAGTAAGACTGGTTTATAGAGTAAAGTGATTATCATTAGCCGTGAGATAAGTACTATATAAAGACGAGCAATTCAATGACTCCAACAGACTCCATCAATTCAACAACCACTAATCTGGGCGCGTTCTTCAACTCTACTCGGACCTTCAACTATACCTTTGCGGGCTCGTATGTCACAAAAAAGTGAGTTTGCTTTAATTATTGTTTTTCTCATTAACAACCTGCTTATTGTTTTAAGGTCAGAGGTACATCCAGGAGGAAACCATGCAAGTTCTGGTGCCCGATGCAAAACCTGGCGTCACTTTTTATGCTGTAAACCCGCCGCGTGTTGAACGTCTCCGGTACGACTCCTGCTTCCTTGGACATTTGATGCCTGGTGATGTCGTTTTGAGCGTCGACGGACAAGTATGGACAGATTTTAAGCTTTAGGCTTAATTAACGCATCTCTAATTTCAGGCAATCAACTCTGGTGACGAGTTCAATGCGCGCTGCTCAGAAGGACGGCTGCCTAGAAGTGTCAACGTTCAGTTCCGACGCGACATCTTCTACAAGATGAAGGTCATTAAAAGGACAGCAAAAGGCGAACAGCAAGAGGCCTTCTACGTACAAGCTCGCTGGAGGGCGGATTTGCCTCTTGGGCTGGTCATCGAGAACAGGGTAAGACAAATTTTTTAGGTTTTTTTTGGGAAATTTGTTTTGATTTTTAGAATGGTACCATTGTCGTGACGCAAGTTCAGCCGGGCAGCATTGCAAATCAGTTTTTTCAGTATGGGGACGTCTTAGAGAAAGGTAAAAGATAACTCAAAATTAACCGGAAATAAATTTATTTTGTTTCAGTAGGGGGCAAAGTCGTTTCAAACAACGACGAAGCAAAAAGGCTCATCCGGGAGGCAATCGAACAAAGGACATTGGTCGTGCTGAAGATCATCCGCAATGTGAAGAGGAAGAGTCAGAATGAATTACCGCTCGATGTACGCTTTTTAATGAAAAAGCACAAGGGATTTTGGAATCGAAATCACAAATTGCAACCCTGTGAAGATAAGCAAACTGAGGACGGGGGTGGAACGTCATCTGACACGAGACCAAATGGTTCGTTGCGTCATCCGTCTTTGAATAACGAAAATTTTTCCCCATTTTTAGTCTACCACGTGGAGGAAGTTGTGGTGGAACCAATGGCTTTGGACGAATTTGGCCGCCCATTAACAGCGACACCTGCACGTGCTGGCGGAACGAAGGGCGACACCGATGCTGGAACATCATCTACTACAACAGGAGGAGGATAATCGATGTTGCGAAGAAGACAGATTGAGATATTTCCATACTTGATATTTTGTTCCTTCGATTCTTTTGTTGTGTTTGTATGTACTTATTTCCTTTTTTTTCCATTTGCATTGCCTTTTTTGTTTGTATGTATGGTGTTGTAAAATAAAATTTATATGTAAATGTTTGCATTTTTTATTAAGCTTAAAGCATAGATAGGTTTATCAACCTTTGAGATTTTTTTGAATCATTTGAAAAATTTAAAGTTTTACATTTTGATTGTCGTTCCATTTTTGTTGTTTCCTCCTCCTTGTTGTCTCAACTTTGTCCAACTTTGATTTTAATTTAGTTAAAGGATTTCTTTTTCGATGCCCAATATGAATATGTTGGGATTGTTGTATTGTTGAATGATTATTGCTTGAAATATCTTTTAAATCAATTTCATATTCAGAAAATTCTTAAAAAAATAAATTTTCTATTTTTAAAATTTAGAAGGAAAACCTTTAAGTATTTCCCTTTCTTTTTCATCATTTATTCTCTTTAATTCTTTTATTTTCTCCATAATATCCTCCTTTTTTGTTTTAATTTTATTATTAGATAATATTATTTTTTGATTATTTATTTGTGAAAAACAATCAAATTTTCGAATTTCTGCGATATATAAAACACTGAAATAATTTAATTTTAATAGGGGGGAGGGGGGGGGGGTTTACTTGAAATCCTTATAGTTAGAGTTGAGCGGTATCCTGATACCGATTTTTTTGATACCGATACCGAAAGACAGATCCCGATACCTGTACCGACGGTTATCAATACCGAGCCGGTATAGGGATTGGTATCATCATTCCAAAATACCGATACCGATTTTTTTTTCGGATTACCAATACCGCTCAACTCTACTTATAATTTAACAAAATAATTTACCCTTTTTTATCAAAAATTCTCCAAATATTAGAAATATATTCAAAACCAATTTGTTGTCCATTTCTATTAAAAACTTCACCTCCCAAAATCATTTGTCCAGCCCTTATTTGTGGATTACCCGACAAAACAGAATTATTTAATTTATTGTTAGAACAACAAATTAATTTAATTCTAAAAAAATTAAAATTAAATTAATTGAAAATTAAAAAAAATTCGAACGGATAATTTGGTGTAATAATTGCAGATGGAGCTATTCCACCTACCCAAGTTCCTTTACTACAATGATTTCGAGTAAATGATTTGTCACATTTCTATAAATTTTTTAAAAATTAAGAAATGATTTTATACAAAAAATTTTAATCAGCTAAATAAAAGCTAGATTAAATTTAAAAGCTAAAAATATTTCTATAATAATTAAAATAAGCATAAAATTATTTTAAGGAGGCACTTTCTTTTGGTGATATTCAGTGACTACAATTAACCAGCTACAATCTGCCTCATGAGCCGAACCCTTATTTCCCATTTCTGTTATTCTCATTAAACCATGATGGGCAAAGCCCAAAACGGCTCGCGGCCATAATTTTCTGGAAAATTTCTGGCCCTTATTAATCAACCTCATTAGTTTAATGAGTGGAATCGTTTAATAATAAATCTGGTAAGATTCGGAAATCCTGAAGCAAGTTACGGCTTTGCGCCGTTATGGCAGCACGCGTCGTCCATCTATGATATGTAATAGATTGCTAATATGTACTTTTTGTTAAATTATTTTTTCTTGATTAACTAGTAAAATTTTAATAATAATTGATTTTGCAAGACATTTTTAAATTAAAATAAATTACCGAAATTTCATTAAAAGAAGTTTTTTTAACTTCATTAATTGAAGAAACTGATTTAATAAACCCATCTGGGTGTCCCCAAATTTTAAAAAACTGTGCTGGATTGGAATCTAATTTTTGTTTATTTGAAGACAATCCAAAACAAGAGGGCCTTGCACAGCCCAAAATTGGCTGGGAATTTTCTTTAATCTTTTAATTTAAAGAGATAAAATATTTAAAAACACATTAAGAATTACTTCAAGACTAAAAGGAATTGCTGATTGACCACAATAAGATGCTTGATTTATTGAAGGAGTAAAAATTAGAAAAAGAAAAAATGATAAAAGAAATATTTTAATGGACATACTACTAAATAATTTAAATTTAATATTAAATTTCTTGAAAAAAAATTTTAAAGGAAATATACACTGAAAATATTTAATTACAATTTTGTAATTAAATTCCGATTAAATAACTACCCAATTCATTACTGTAACAAATTAAACTTCAAGGATGTTATTATTTTTTAAATGCTTTTAAAATAAAAATTAAATAAAAATGAGAATAATTAACAACAATAAACACGTGTTTCTTTAATTAGCTTGTTTTCTTCTTGTTCTCTTTCATGCTGTTTAATATTTAAAAATCTAGTTTTAAATAGATGCCCTATATTTATTTAATCTTGATTTTTAATTTAAAAAATTTATTGAGATAAATAAATAAAACTAGATTTGATATTTAAATTAAATTATTTTAAAGAATAATTAAAGAATCTTTAATTAGCTATAACAATTAAACAGGGGGTGAGGGGACACATCTAAGAATTTAAAGAATATTAAAAAATTAATTTGAATATTTTATTTATTTATTTATTTATTCACGTAAAATCAAAGGGCACAAATTCAGTAAAAAATATATATGTGCCACTTACATGCAGTGAATGTAACCCATTTAATATATATGTATGTATGAGGAAATTAAGACAATTTTTTAGTAGTATATAAATGTATTATTTATTTCCTTGGCTTTTAATAAGTGATTTTTAAGTAATATCCAAAATTGTTTTGGAGTTTTCGAGTTAATTATGTTTTCTGGGAGAGAATTCCAAGTATTTGTACACCTATTTATAATGAATATTTTATTTATTAAATTTAAAATATAATTTTTATTAATCAAGAGAAAATTTTTGAAAAATTTTTTGTCAAAAAATCAAAATCTTTGGCGGCATTTTCTTCTTTTTCTTTTTATTATGTGATTGTTGAGTAATTAAAGTAATTTACTTAACTAATATTTACAAACAAACAAAATATATTTATTTAATACGCATGAATATTTTGCCTTTTTTTCTAATCTTATTACATAATTAAATAGATGAATTTTTGTTTTTTGAAGAAATTTGCCGCTTCTTTGTTAGTTAAAATAGTCAAGAAAATTTTGAAGATAAAAGCAAATAAATCTAAAAAAATATTTTTAAATAAATTGTTGAATATATTTATTTTGGTTGGGTATTTTTACAAAATAATAACTGACTGATAAAGTCTTTAGTAGGACAATTTCCTACAACGACAATTCACTGAAAGACAAAATAATTCCAAAATCCATAGATATTTTATTTAAAAATTTTTTAAAATTATTTTTAAAAAAATAATTGATTTATTTTCCCCTCAATTCCAATTTTCTTTTCCAAATTCTTTAATTTTCCCAATTTATTTGAAAATCACACGCGCAAGTAATTTATATATAAACTCTCAAAATCTCAGCGCCGTGCCTTTCGGTATTTTTTTCTTTTTGAGGTAAAAATAAAATAAAAAGAAAAACCGCAAAATAAAAATTAAAACGGCTGGTTTATTAGATAGACGGCTTTTTCAATCAAAAAAAATTTTTTCCCTTTATACAACTTCTTTCTATGAATGCAACAAATTGTGACAGTTATAAGAATAATAAAAATAGTTTTGAAAGGAGGGAAAATTATTTTTATATTTAAATTAAAAAATAAAAAAACTCCCGCAGGTTTAGAAAACTTTTTTAAAAATATTAGGTATATAGTAGACTTTATTCTCTTATTTTGGTAACTTCTCTATTACAAAAAAATTATAAAAATAATTTTGTGATTAAATTGATTTAGAAAATTTAAAAATGTAAAGAAAAATATTTTTAAAAAATTTTGTAGATCCAATACAAAAAAAATTAAAGTTTTCCAAATTTTAAAATTAATTTTAAGCAATTCAATTCAATTTATTTAAAATTAATTATTCTCTATTGTTTTTCTTTGTCAATCAAATTAATAAAAAGAAATGGCACGCTTTAAATAATAAGAGAACATTATTTTTGGTTGTTTTTCTGAAAATAAAAAAAGTACGTCAAGGTCGAAATCAAAAAAATATTTTGGGTAAATATTTTTTGTGTTTGCTTTACTAGTACATTTATTTTAACTAAAATAAATAAATACAGTTAAAAAAGTGCCATCTTATTTTTCATTGTTTTTCTATGTTTGTTCATTCTATTTTGTTTTAACTTTTTTTTCCAAAAATTGAAAAAGTAAAAATAAAAAAAGTTTGTTTTGTTGGCTTCTCAATTTCCAAAATAATTTTAAAATAAATTTAAAAAAATGTATTTTAGGAAATTAATTATTAAATTAAATTTTTAGATGAATAAGTGATCGGACTATGATGGTATTTCACGGTATCTATTGGTATTCCGTGCCGATCACTAGAATTCCGATCACTAGAATAAATACTCAAAAATATTATTTAGTATAACTAATTTTTAATTAAAATTATTTTAAAATAATTCAAAATAATTGTTTCAAATTTTTATTCAAAATTTAAAAATAAATTTATTTACTAATTAATTTATTCTCCTATACAAGTAATTGAACATTACGCAATATATTTATTATTATTTGTTTGCTAAAAATACAAAACAAAAAAAAGTTTAGAGGAAATTGGGGTTATTGTAATGGGGTTACTATTATTTTAAGTATATTTTTTTGGCAAATTTTTTGGTTTAAATATTTTACAAAAATTTTTTGTTAAATTTAAAACAGAAATAACAATTAAACTAATATAAAATTAAAAAAAGAGAACAATATCTTCTAATCGAATTTTAAGGTTATTAATTTAATAAACAATTTACTGTATTTATTTTAATAGAATGGCCTCTCCAACAGAATGGCCCCTTTTTTGGGGTATCGAAAAATAGAATGGCGGCCATCCTATTAGAATAAATACGGTAGATATTGACAGAAAAATATTAAATTTAATTTAGATTTTTAAAGATTAATTAATTAAAAAGTAAATAATGTAAAAGGAGTATTTGAAGTTGTTAAAAATTGTTGTTGTGAATGTTGTTGTTGTTGGATTAATTGAAATTGTTGTTGTTGTTCTTGTATTAAATAATTATTTTGTTGTTGTTTTCTCCAAAATTGTTGTTGTTGATTTAATGGGGAGGTTGTTGTTATTAATGAATTTGTTGTCCCCAAACCAGAATCATCATCTTCGTCTGTATCTTCATCATCCACCTCCCCAACACTCTTCTCTTGTTGATAAGAATAGAGGGATGTTGAGGGCATTAATTTGCCGTGGACTGCCTGAAATTGTTTTTAAAAAATTTAATTTCTTTTTAATTTTAAAATTGTCTAATCAGTGTCTTCATCAATAAATTAATTCTTAAAAACACACATGAAGGGAATTCTTAAATAATGAGAAGAGTCTTAAAAGGGTTATTGTCCACAATTTCTTTAAATATTTAATTATTTCCAATTAATTTCCCAAATAAAATTTTTTAAACTAAGTTTTTCTTAGAAAGCTATTCTCTCCCTCTCTTTTTCCTCTTATCTAAAATAGGCAGAAAATAAAAATTGAGAAGATGGTACAAATTAATTTGCCGATTTAAGTGTTATCTTCTTCCTTCTCTCCCTCTCTTTACCTCAATATATTCAAGTATGACAGGCTGAAATTGAGTATGTAATATATACAAAAATTTGAGTAAATCTAAAGGAGGATTAAGAAACAAATCAACAAGCAGAAAATATCTCTAGAAAAAAAATTAAAAGAAAAGCAGATGGAATCGAAAAGCAAGGCGGAATATACCGAGGTCAATTGAGAGAAAGAAGAGGAAGAATATATTTATTTTATTGAGTAAATACTTAAAAAGTGAGAAAATAATGTTGCGCAACACGATCTCTAAAGCAAGGCCACTCATTCAAATTATTTTTTAAAAAAAGAAATTGAAAAATTTTTTAAAGTTTCTAATTTCCAAATAAAAAGTTGTAAAAACATTTTTTAGATCAGGTAATATTTTTTAATTTTATCTTTTATATTTTAGAGTTGTAAGGTAAAGATGCCCTTAAAACAAAAACCCATTTTTAAACTTGTCTATATTAGAGATTTTTCTTTTAATAAAGAGTGTTTTCAGATAGTGCTATTATATGTATTTATATTCGAATTTCAATTTATTTTTAAAAACTCTATCTAAGCTTTATTTTTAACTAACTCTATTTATTTAATTACTTCCCCCTCTCTTCCTTTATTTAAATATTTAATAAATACCCTTAAATGTTTTCGTAGACTAGAAGGATGTGTATATTTTTTGTCACAACCATCTTGATCACATCTATAAGGCTTTCTTTGTTGGTGTACATGTTGATGTTTTTTACGATCAGAGCTATTTGCAAACACTTTGGGGCAGTCTGGATGTTTACAGGGAAAGGGCTTTTCTCCTAAAAAAAGTAAAAATAAAATTTATTTTTTAAATTTTAAATTTTCTTTTAATAATTTATTCCAACAAATTTTAAAAATATTTCTTTTAAGGAAAGGGCAGATGCGCAACTATTTATTAAATAACTGTATATATTCCTTTTTCCCTTATAAGAAAATAACCGCAAGTAAAAACCCTAATTTAATATAAAATTCCTTTAATTTTTTAACCTTAAGAGACAGATTTTCTCTAACATTTCTTTCAATCAAATTCAAAAACAAAAAAAGAAATAAATTCCTTTTTTAATTTAAATGCGCGCGCCTACAATAAAAATAAAAGAAAAAATAAAATAACCAATTAGAAGAATTTAAATTTATGTGAATAACCTAATAAATTTAACAACTTTTTTTATGATTCTTTTAAAGTAATTTTTAAATTTTTTGAAATTTCTAGAAAAGTTAAAGAGAAGAAAATAATTTAAAGGAATTTATGCATAATTTAAGAATAAATTATTACCTATTAATAATTAAAAAGAGCAAAATATTTTAATGTAGCACCAGAAAAAAGCACTGGTCTTAACAAGGGTTTAAGAGTCTTTTAAGTTTTTCTAAAATTTTTTAAAATATTCTTTATTTAAATATAAAAATATTTATTTTTATATTTAAATATCCACCCCTCTCCCAAGCAAAACATTTAAATAATTTTTTCAAAAAATTTCCGGAAGTAATAATTGTCCCCCAAAACCAAATGTTTGGAATAAAAAGGAAAAAGCCAATTAAATAAATATATTTTTGGAAAGGTGGATTTGGCCAATTTAAATATATAACAATTGTTTGCTTTTCTCTTTTTCTTACCTTTCCTTACAAAAATTATTTTTCTTCCAAAAAATAATAAGGGCAATTAATTGAAGTAAAGGAGGTGGAGAGGAAAGGAAGGACCATGTTTTAGTGTTAAAAAGAAATTTGGAAAGTTTAAAATAAAATTTAAAAAATAAAAAATTTTTTTTAGGCATTCTGTAATATTTATTTTTAATTTCCCTTCTAAATAATTGTCCTCAATTAATTGCCAAAAATTTTATTTAAAAAACAATTAAAATTTCCCTTTTTTTATTTAAAAGGCAGCAATTTGTTTATATAATCACCTGCATGGTATTCCCCTAGAAAAATGAGAAGTATTAAAGGTGTGAAGGAAAAAAACATTCTTTCCCTTTCCCCCCTTTCCCCTCCCAAAAACAGTTTTGTAATATGCCATTTTATTAGAAGAATACTTTTTTAATTCGAGGTTTTGGAAGGGGAATAATTGAGAGTTTTTGGTAAAAAAAGGAGGGAGAGGAAGGGGGAGGGAGAGAAGAGGAGAGGTGATTTTTAAACAATTTAAATAAAAATGATTGAGTAATAAATTAAGGGGAAAACAAAAAAATGTTTTTATGATTACTAAAACATTTAGTGAATATGTAGAAGAGAGAGATTAAAAATAAAAAAAAAGAATTGAGCGAGAACGGAAGGAAATGATCTAGGTAATCCATTAATCTTTTGACACTTTATTCATACAAAGCTGTCCAAAAGTTTATTGGAATAAATACAATATTCACTCCTTTCTTGACTCTTCTTCAATTAATTAATAACCCTAGATTAAAGATAAAAAGAAAAGAAAAGAACGGGAAAATATTTGTTGGGACAGAAATTGCCCTCTTTCCAAAAAAATAAATAAATATACCTAACCTTGATAAACACCTTTTTAACTTAAGACACCGCTAAAAAAGAAAACAAAAAAGGAAAGAAAACTCGCACATAATAATAGAAAATATTAAATAAAAATATTTTTTTTTCATTTATTATTAATTGCCTTTCGCGGATTTTTGTTTTTGTTTTTATTTTCATAACAATTGTTTTTTTTATTAAATTTATATAAATTAATATATTGTTGTTTTTTAGAAGCCGACTCTTGCCTTTAGTTAAATTCCCAGAAAAAAAAGAAATATTTTTACTGTAAAAATATTTTTTTATCCCCAAATAAAAAATCCCTTTTTTTATTTTCACCCACCTGTATGAATACGGTGATGAATTTTTAGGTTTTCGGAACGCGCAAAAGTCTTTCCACAAATTCTACATTCAAAAGGGCGCTCTCCTGTATGGACACGTAAATGGTTCGAAAAAATATTTATTTTTTTAATTAAAAGAATTAATATTTTAAAAAATTACTTTTAATTTATATTTTGCTTTAAATTCTTTCCCCGAACGTTGACATCCCTGCCATAAACAAATATGTATTGTTGTTGATGTTGAAGAATATTCAGAATTTAATTCAGAAATTACTTCTGAATGTTGACCTAAATGTTCGGTGTCCAAATGCTCGACTAGCAACTTTTTAAAAGAAAATTAAATTTTTAAAGTAAATTTTCAAATATTGAGGGGAGGAGGCCAATGTACTGCAGAGCTACAACTTCGTTCAAAATTATCGAATCCGGAACGCCTTGGTATGGTTCGATTCAGCTCGGAGTGGTGCATCGAACGATACCAAGTTGTTCCGGATTCGACAATCGCCGAGTTGTAGCTCGGCGATACATTGGGCTCATGGTACATCAAGGGTACCCATTGAGGGTATAATTTTGATTTTTTTGAAGGATGCCCAAATAATTAATTAATTACCTGCATTGAATCAAATAACCGACCACAAAGTTTTCTTTGATTATTATTTAAATTATTATTTTTATTAATAAAAGAATTAATCATCCATTTACAACAAATTGGGCCAGAACGGGAAATTGATGGGGGATTTACTTGTGGGGGTAATTCTTTTGGAATAATTAATTGTTGTTGTTTTGTTCTCTTAAATGTATTTCTAAAAAATGAAATATTTTTTAAAAATAATTATTTTAAGAACCTTCCAGTTTTGGAAAGACGTTTTTGTTTTTCAATTTTAGGCCCTTTAATTTCTGATAAATTTTTGTAATCATTATTTGTTGAATTATAATAAGGGGAATAATTATTATTAACAATTGAAGAAGAATGCCCCAAATTATTTAAAGAAGTATTTTGATGATGAGGATATTGACTGTTGCTAGTGATGATATTTTGTCCAATACATGTATAGGTCGAGGAAGGGAAGGAAGGAGGAGAAAAATCTTTTGGAAAAAATTTTTTAATTTAAAAATATTTTTATTTTTCTAACCAAGTTTATTGTTGTTAATAACCGTCCCTTTTTCATTAGGAAAGTGTTGATTTCCCGCATTCTCAGACAAAAAATTGGGTGTTACACATCCATTAGAATTATCCTGAGAATAAATTTGTGTAGATTTTTCTTTCTCTTCAGATTTAATTAATAAATTATTTGAAGAGGAAGAATATGGAGAGGAATTTAAAGAAGTTGTTGTTGTTGTTGGGTAATTAAATTGGTTATTATTTAAATAAAGAAAATTAGAAGAGGAGGAGGAAGGATGTTGGTGATGATGGGATTGTTCAAGAAAAAAATGGGGATGATGATGATGAAGTTGTTGATGATGATGGTGAGGATGTGAGGGAGGAGGGGGAAGTTGGGAGGGAATGCCAGACTAAAAAAATAAATATAGAAAAAATTGTGAGGGGAAGAAAAGTTTTTTAAGAACTTTAAAGTAAAATTTAAGTATATATAAAATTTCAAAAATATTTTATCATCAATTTTGAATAAAAATTAAAAATTTTAAAATGAGTATTCCTACAAAACTTCCAATAAATTAAAAAAATTTACAATAAAATTGTGTTGTTGCTGTATTGTATTATTATTTAAATTATTATTGTTGGTTGTTGGCGCCGGAATATAAAAATGGCCATGAAGATGAACAACCGGTGTATATTGGGGATAAGCTGATGCCATAGGAGGGGGTGCCGCACATTCGGGAGGGAAAGAAAGTAATTGTCCTGTAGAGGCAAAAGGGTGATTTTGGGAAGGATTATTCATTTAATTTTTACTAAAAAAAGATAATTTTTATTATTAAAAAAATATACGGCTAACAAGTTTTGAATAAAAGTGTGTGAAGGAGAAGAAAAAGAAATACAGTATATAAAATATTTAAGAGATTTTTACGTAAATATTTCTTTAAAAAGAGAGAAGAGAATAGAGAAACGCCTTTTTCTTTTAAATTTATTTTTCGTTAAAAGCTCCGCCTTTCATTTTAACCAATAACAAAAATATTTAAATATTTTTTTGAAATAAATTTTTATTTAAAAATAATTTCTAGGAGTAACCATCGAATACATACTTCAAGTCTTTATCTGTCAATATAACTAGATTAAAGCTTAAATTAAGTTATTTTAAAGAAATATTTTAAGGAATTGTTCTGACTTTAGAACATTTTTTTGAAAATTTTTCCGAGTGAACTCGTTCAATAGATTCACGTACTCAACTCTAAAAAGTTTTTCCAAAATAATTATTTTAAAGAAAAACCCCTTCACAAAAATTTAATTAAATAAAATACTAAAATACCAATCCAAAAACCAAAAAATAATCTAAAAACAAAATCTCTCTTAAATAAATAAAACCTATAATTCACACATCTTCTTCATGTTTCACTTTCCCGCAACTTACCCTTATATTCTCGCGTAAATTTTTCTTATATGTGAGAATTCTAAATAAATGACAAAAACCTTTTTTGAGGTATTTGTGCGCGAATCATCTTTCTTTCTCTCAAAATAATTTATATATGTTGCGATTTTTATATCAAATATATAATAATTTTATTTAGAATATTACTTTTTATATTTAAATAAAAAAAGAATTTTATAAAGTCGATTTAAAAAGTTAAATTAAAGAAAATTTATTCTAATAATTTTTAAAATATAATTAAAAAAATATTTATAATAATCACAAGAACTGTTAATGTGATGATCAGAGCATTTAAAACACCTAGACGAGGTTTAAATGATCTAAATGGATAAAAGAGTAGGCATTAGTCGAGCCCCTGTAGTCGCTGGTAGAGTTGCATGTTCTCATCCTGTCCGGTGGCTAAACTTTTGTTAAACTCTTTCTTTAATATTGTCAGATATTTTTTTGTTGAAATATTTAATTTTTATTCCAAAATCTATAAAATTTTTTTAAATTTAATAATTTATTTAATTTAATTCAAAATTCAATTCTCCATTAAAATAACTATTTAATAACAATTCAATCTTATTTTTAATATTTTCGTAATTTTTACCGCTTTGTGTCCTTCAAAGTGTTGACAGCACATAATTAAGCGATTATCCCCTCTTTCTAACTGATCCAAGTAACTAAAAACATTTATTTGAACGTTCTCTAAAAGCAAGAAGAGGGGAATTATTTTTGAATAAAAAGAAAATCTTTTTAGATAATCTTTTTATCCTTCTATTAGTTTTTGTTAAAAATAATAAAGAAAATGTTTTTCTTTTAAATTTTTGAAAAACAAAAAAAATATTAAATAAAATTAATGTTTAGTATCTTTATAACCGAGGAGCTGTTTATAAATTTTGATTTGCGATTTTTGAAAATTTTTTGTTTTGAAACAGCTCTAGTAAGAGTATATCCATATTTAGGGACGAGGAACGTTAGAAGTATAACAGAAAATAATTTTAATTTCAAATTATGCCTCGGGGGAATAAATAAATAAAAAATACTAATAGGATTATATATATTTTATTCAATTAAGCGTGCTGATTGGATTAAATCAGAAACTTTATGAAAAGATTTTTAAATAAGAAGAATAAAAGATTTAATAAATAGGTAAATAATTCTCTCCGTTCTCTCATGGATAATCCTCGAATGAATAAAAATTTAAAGAAAATGAGAAAAGTTTTGAGATGCGGTAAAATATCGAAATAAATTTAAGTTTTGATGTGAAAATTAAATTGTATTTTTTTCCAAATTTATTTGGAAAATACTTTAAAATATCAAACGTTTTTATTTTAGTTACTCAATAATTTAATTACAAATAAATAGGGTTGCCGTCGAGGTCGGTCCGGTTTAAGTCACTTTTGGACCATAAACATATCTTAGGTCTGATTCGATCTTTCGGTCCGAGTCGGACCATTTTAATAATCCTACAAATAAATGTTGACTGAAAATTGAAATTCTAAAAAATCAATTTTTAATTATAAATTATCAAAAATAATCCCTGATACTTTTTTTATCCAACCTTAATATTTAAATAATTTTTCTAGAGTTTGAAGGTCCATGATCTACTCAAATTTTACCAAAATATTGTGGATGAAATAAAGTGGAGAATAGTTAATTATTTATCTGTAAATACTTCAATATTTAGTTAAACAATCAAAAAAGTCAATAAACTTTAATAATATTTAATTATAATCTAAATTAATCTCTAAAAAACAAATTTATTAGCTATAACAATAAATATTTGCCGCAAAAGAATATTTATAAAGTCCCTCAAGGCGCCCCAAATATTTTTGTTTGTAACAAATTATTGTCCAAATATTTTTTGTCTTTCTTTTAATTTCTTTTTTTTTGATTTGTTGCCGACAAAAAAAGAAAAGATTTACAATGTAAGAATTAATTGATAGAAATGCTACTGAATTTTGCCTGACGGCCAATTTTGTTATAAGCAAAATATATAAACTAAAAATTTTCAAAATTTTTATTTAAATAATTTTTTAATTAAAATATTTTGTTACATATCCAAGTTCTTTGTTCGAAGCACAAAACTGAAAGTTATCTGTATGTATCAATATTAATGGATAATCTCATTATCCAAAAGAATGAGCGTTTGAGATCTAATGAGTTTAGTGTATATGTTACATTTTTGTGACTTTTTTTGGTGGGAGGAGGGGTGGTTGAGTGATTTTTATGACCTGAAAATTAATCCCATTATGTCTTAAATCTGAATTTTTTCTGGATAACGAGATAAACAATAACTTGTCAAAGTCTAGTTTCATCACTGGAAAAGGAAGAAATCTAGTAGCCTAGTCTTCCAAAATTTTCAAAATTTTCGCCTGGGCGTTGGAGAAGGAAGTCACTCACACCACTTAATCACAATCACTCAATCACCCAAGTCCCCCAAATCGCTAATATTCCTGTTGATCCCTTTTAATCCACCCAAATTCCCCTTATAACTCGACATCCTCCTTAATCCCTATAATCTTCTATCCCCCGACATCCCTCATAATTTACTAAATCTCCCAGTTATCCCTCTCAATCCTTTGTATCACTTGATATCTCCTTATAATCCATACAAATCCTCTGAAATAATATATTCCATTGATTTTCCACCCGGATTAACACTTCAAAATTCTTTGAATTTCGGATAAATTCTTTGATCCACGCATTTATTGACCTAGAGGCTCTGTTAATCCTAAATTCCCTCGATAACTCTGTTAATCCCCAAATCCATTCATAATTGCCCCTAATCTCTCTATATCCTTCCGTGGGACTCAACTTTTTAGCGCCACAGGCGAAAATTTTTAAAATAAAAATTTCGGTTCCTGTTCCGGATATCCGAAATCGTCGGTTCGGATATCAGTTCCCAGGAATCGCCATCCCTAGTTTGAATCAAAATTAATCTGTCACATCAAAACTGAATAATTAAGGGGGCCTCACGAAAACCCCCCGATCCAAAAATTATGCTTAATTTTAGATTTTATTCTGAAAACTCATAGTTGCAAGAAGATAATGAAATTTAAGTAAATTAATAAATATAGTTTTATATATTAAGTAGAATTTTCTTTTTTTATTAATAAATTTGACAAAATGCCAATTTATAAATTGAGAAAAAATTTTTGTTTTTCTTTTAATTTTTTCGATTTGTTGCCGACAAAAAAAAGAAGATATTTACAATGTAAGAATTAATTGATAGTCCGTAAGATCCACAAAAAATCCCAACAAAACAACACTTAGAATATTAAAAGATTTTTAATTACTTTTTTTTAAATTTAATTATTTTTTTAAAACAAAACATAAATTTTACTAAATAAACGAAAAAAATCTTCAATTGATTATTAAACAAAATATTTAAAAATGTAATTTTACATACATACTAAATAGCAGAGGTGGGTCGGAATTCCGATTTCCGACGTTTTTTTCCTTTCGATTTCCGAAAAAAATTTGGTTTCCGATTTCCGACAGTTCCGATTTCCGACACCTCTGACTGTTCCGACCCACCTCTACTAAATATGTAGGTATATGTATTTATATCTGCCAAATTTAAAAGAAATATACAGGTAAAAATTGTAAATTAAATATTTTTAAAATTTTTTCTTTTCTCATCTTGCTAAATTCCTCCCTTGATTAAAATTTACCATATTTCTCACCGCTATTCGAGATCATCCTTTATTTTTTTATAAACAATTATTTTATTTTTAAATTTAATTAATTATAATATCTTCTTTTTTCTTTTTTAATCATTATTATCATTTTCTTCTTCGTCAACAAAAACAAATTTTGGTGAAATTGTAGCAGTTCCATTTAACATTGCCGATTTTGCAGACGAAGAATTTGTACTAGAATTTGCACAGGAAGATTTTGCTGATAAAGGGGCATCTGCTGAAGATGAAAATTCTCTAAAATTAAATTTTTTAAAATTATTTTTGATAAGTTGTTGGGTAAATGACGGTGTAAATTTTATTTTGTAAATATACTTTTAATAGGTGAAGGGAGGGGTAGGGGTGAGGAACTCTTGCTACTTACTTCCCTACAGTTTTCGATCTTCAACTTCCCAATAAAGTTTTCAAAAAATTCCTTAACCTTTTAATAGAAGAATTTCCATCAATATTAACTAGAGGTATAGATGGAGGTAAATGTCTAGAAGATGTTGATGTTGTTGTTGAGGAATCCCCACAACAACTACTAGTTATTGTATTGTTTGTTTGTCTGTTTGTTGTTTTAATATCATCATTAATATTTTTATTTGAAGAAAGTAATAAGCGTTGATTATCAACTGTTCCACCGGTATTAGAAACACCACGACGGCGACGTCCACGTCGAACAGTTATTTGACTTTAAAATTAAAATAAAATTATAGAAAAATATTATAGTATATTAGGTGCTAATTCGATATAAAAATAAGATTTTAGATTTATGAAATTTAAATACAATTTAAGGCAAATACATATACCGTATTTGCTCTATTAATCCCCCAGTCCTTTATTAATCCCCCAGGCTCTATTAATCCCCCACCCTGGAGATGGGTTGAAACACTAATCCCCCTGGGGGATTACTAGAGCAAATACGGTATCTATCTTAATTTAGAAAAGTAGATATTCTGAAAATATTTATAAATAAAACTAATATTTATCTAACTAAAAAAATTATTTTTTAAATAGTATTTACCTATTTTCTGTATTAGCATCCCTTGTATAAGCACTATATTGAAGTCTATTACCACGTGGAATGTGTAACAATAATCTCTTTAAATGTAAACGATAGGGAGCATAAATAAGTGTTGTAATTAATGGATTTACTATCTAAATTGATTAAAATACATAATTATTTTTAAATTTGAAATTTGGAAAAGCATATTTTTCTAAATATTTTTTAAAGGTTAATTTTTTGAAAATTTAATTAATAAATTTAGAATTATTATAAAAAATATTCAAAATCTCCCTTTTAAATTAAAATAAAATTTAAGAATTTACAGGATTTAAAGTCAATAAATATAGCAATATCCAAGCAATCCAATTCATAATAACCCTTTGTTCACACCCAATATTTGGCCAATCAAATAAGTGAATTCTACAAATATTAAATATTCTATATGGCAATAAAGAGAATGAAGTCCAAGCTGTTGTTGCAAAAATAAATACGAGGGATTTTAACTAAAAGAAAAGTAAATTTTTAGAAATAGTTGATAATGAATGGATGTTCTTATAATAAGGAATATATTTAATGGAAAAGTAGAATAATTCTGAATTAGGGATATATATTTTTATTTTTTAACATTAAAAATTCATTCTCTCTCTTTTAATTACTTTGCTTTTAAAAGTAGGCATATCAACATTAGCAGCTTGACTTGTTGGGCCAATAGGTGAATTTAATTTTTGTCTTGTTAGTCTAAATAAATAAGTACTAACAACTAAAGAAGAACTGACAGGTAAAACACAAAATAAAATCCTTTAAAAATAAATTTTATTTTTAATTTTTAAAAACACAAAAAACAGACATAAATATTTCATAAAAATATTTGGAATTATCAGCCATCTAAAAAAGAAAACTTAAAAAATAAATTAAAAATCCAAAAATACTTGTAGCATACAATCAGTTGTAACAAAAACAATATTTTCCAACCAAACATAGGAAACAAAACCTAAAGAAACACCCCAAACACCGACACACAAACAAACAGCCCTCCTTTTAGACATTGCACGTTCGTAGGAAAGTGGCCATCGAAAGTAAATTAATTTATCGACATTTAATAATGTTAGTGATAATCCAGATACTGCTAGCCCTAACCAGTTACAATACTAAAAATAGTAATAAATTTTTGGAAAAATTAAATTAAAGAAATTAATTTTATTTTGTCTAAAAATTAAAAGAAGTAAAAGTGGTTTTTAATTAAATTTATTATTTTTATTTTAGGGATTAAAAAGCTAAAAATTAATTTATTTGATCAAAGGCATTAAACATTAATAATTTAGATTTCGATTTAATAACAAAATAGTTTCAATTCCTTTTAGAATTTTTGAATAATAAATTATACGTGTATTATGGCACAAAGGTGAACATGCCGAAGAAATGCATGTTTTCTTATTAAAAATTCATTTGGATGACAAAAAACTTAAAAATATTTAAAATATTTTTAAAAGAAAACACTCCCTCACTAACCAGTTAATAAAAGATCTCCAAAAGTCATATCTAAAAATAATTATTTTTCTAAATTTCAAGAAAAAACAAACTAATAATGAATACATGCATTGTATCCCCACTTCTTTTAAATAAACGGAAAGCACAAAATATCACTAATAAATTAAATAAAGTAGATCCTGTTGATGCAGCCAAAAGAAGATCGTCCATCTAAAAAAATTTTTTTATTTGAAAATAAAAATTTTTTAAAAGCTTTTCAGGGGATATTTTGGGTGCAAACTCAAAAATTCCCAATAAAATTCTAAAAAAAGTTTCTTTACCAAAGCCATCCATTCATGTTGTAAAGTACAATTTTGAATTTTCATTTTAATTTATTTGACAATACAAAATTGAATAGAATATTTGAATAATTATTTTAAATAGATAGATTTTATAGATAGATCTATATTTTTAAATAGATAGATCTATACAGTGTGCGGCAAATTAAGCGCGCGTTTGTTTTTTACCATAACTTTCTTCAATTTTAATGAAAATTGATAATTCTTTTTTTGTTTTATTCCCAACACTTTAGGAAACTTGCTGATACCAAAATTGTTTTTTAATTTTAAGTTTACTCTGAGTAAACTTCCCTCAAAGTTTGAGCAGAATTTTTTGGATAAAAATTGGCCTAGATAAAAGGCTGAGATTCTAATATTGGAAATGTTTATATCATTCGAATCAGCTCTTCATTCTGATTTGAATGACATAAAAATCATGGGGCTACGACAAAAATCGAATGAGATACGGTCCTCTGAATGATAAATAAAAATAATTTTGATAAAAATAAAATTTTTGTGTAAAATTTTCAAAAATGAGATTATAAGTTATTTTGATGCTCCTCGACGAGATGAGTCGTTTAGTACCAAAATCATTTGTATTGAACGATTTTGAACGAAGTTATGATCAATTAAACTTTGGCATAAAAAATGTTTTTAAATTTTCCAGACGTCCGAACTCGATTATCTTTGCCAACAGTGAACCAAATTTTTAATATTTGGTATCAGCAAGTTTCCTAACGTGTTGGGAATAAAACAAAAAAAGAATTATCAATTTTCATTAAAATTGAAGAAAGTTATGGCAAAAAACAAACGCGCGCTTAATTTGCCGCACCCTGTATTTTAAATAGATATGTATATACCCAAAAAATAATTAAAAAATCTTCATCCCTCCTTCCCTCCCCCTCCTCTTTATTTCTTTCAATCTTAATTTAAAAGATAAAGGACCAATTTTCATTAAATTGCTTCCGCCAGCCAATTTTTGGTCTTTTTTAAGAAATTTTTTTGAGAAAAATTAAAAATTAATCTTTTAAATTAACGCCAGGAAATTGAAAAAAAATTATAGGAAATCGTAAAAAAATATAATTTAAAAAAATTTCTGTTTTGAGAGAAACCTTAAATACAGAGAAGATTAGAAAATATTATTTCCAAATTAGGAAAAAATATTTTTAACTTTTGGACGAAAAAATAAAGAAATTTTTAAAAATTCTGATTCTAAATTTGCAAAAATAGCTATGGAATTTCTTTATCGGCTGAATCCCTGGTTGTTATTTACCATAAAACTTTTATAACTACCCTGGGTAATTATTGTTTAGATCTTCCGCTGGAGGGAGTAAGTAATCGAAGGAAAGGTAATTAATTATACGAGGTTTGAAATTTGAAAAAAATTTTAGGGCATCTGATGGGAGGGATTATTGTTCTAATTTATCGCTTGATGTAATTAATTAATTAATTAATTGAAGTGGGTAATTACGAGGGAGGGCAAATAAACAGTTTTACGGCATTTTATTTAACTATAGGTAGAATAATTCATTTCAGATTCCAAAGAACACTTATTTAGTATGATCATTATATTTATTTGTCCATTTTTCTGTCCCCAATATTTAATAAAAAATATTTAACAAAAAAAAATTCTGAAAAGTTTAAAGAACAAAAAAGATTTTTTAAAATTTTTCTAATTAATTTTTAATGTAATTAATTAAAATATTGTTAGATCTTAGTTTTACAGGTTTATCAGTAATTTTTTAAAATAAAATTCATCAATCTATGAATTCCTCTTATTTTTATTTAAAAAACAAAAAATTCTTTTCTCTCTTTCAAACTAAATAATTGCAAAATAAATAATTTATTTATAGCAATAAAATTAATTATTATTATTTTTTTATTTCGTGATGAAATATTTTTAAGAAAAAATTGTTATTAAATGGAATTTATTATATTTAATATAAATTTTGTTTTTGTACAGTTTTTTGTTTATTGTGCAAAGAATTATTATTTTTTTAATTTTAAAGTAATTAAATTAATAAGGGAATATTGATATAGTGAAAACAAACGGCTTATAAGTCTTACGATTTCATGAGCTAACAGCCCTGTTTTAAAGATTATATTCACAAATTAGGGGTAATATTCGAAAGGAAGTAGACTCATATGAAACCCAAAAAAATTTCCAAAAAACCAACTCACCGTATATTGAAACTGCACAAAACGGTCAGATTCAAAACAATTTTGTAGAAGAATTTCTTTTTCCTCAATTTCAACTGAAGAAGGAAATTCTACAGGTGGATGTAAATGATGTTTAAATTGTTCATCATTATCATTATTAATATTCTTTGTTAATTCTCCAATCACATTTAGAGTTGTTGAAGTAATTAATTGGGGTAATGAATTGTTTGACATTTTGTTGAGGAATGTTTGTGAAGAGGAGGCTATTGATAATTTTATTAAAAAAATTTTTAGAAATGAGGAAACATTCCTTAGTTAATAAATTTCATAGATGATAGCTTTTAATTGATAATTAAGCAAATAAGGGGGGTTAACAAAATACTTAAACTATTTAAACTATTTTTTGTTATTTCATTATTTAATTTATAGAAGAAATATTTTTTTATTTAAAAAAACTTTAAAAAAGTATTACTAGATTCTGTATTTGAAGTTGATGCCTCTGAAGAAAATAATGAAAGTGGTTGTTTCATGGAAGGGAGAAAATATATAAAAAATACTTTTTGTTATTATTGTCAAAATAATATTTAACAAAATTAGCTAAAATTTTATTTAAAAATTCAAAAAAAAATTTTAAAATAAAATAAAAAGATAAGGGTAATATAAAAAAGATTTATTTAAGAAAATTATTGCCAATTATAGCTATGTAATTTTATTTTCAAAAAAATATTTTTTAGATTAAATTAAATGAATAAATAGTTTTTGAGGGAAAAGAGTTTTTAATGGATATATTGGTTAATCTTGTTTATGTTTGGATGTAAATAATATTTAGAGATCGGGGTTTTAGTTAGAAAATATTTATTAAAACCCACAAGTCTAATTAAATATTGTGAATATTTGGATAAATCTTAATAATTTTTATTGGGGATATTTTTAAAATTTTTTTTTGTTAAAATTCGTTTCAAATTAAAATAAATATATTTAGTAAATAAATAAATATTATAAAAATGAGAGAGGAAAAAAATAATAATTTTTTAGTTCAAAAAAAGTAAATATGTAAATAACTTTAAAAAACTAAAAATAAACAAAAAAGGCTTATCATTTAACAAGGTATATAAATAAATGCCCAAATTTTGATTGAAAGAAATATTACAGGAAAAAGAAAAATTGGAATGTGTTGTTGTTGATTAAATAATTTATTTTAGAAAAAGGGGGAAGTAAATAAAAATAAATAAATTTATTTTTAACAAAATTAATTAATTAAATTTTGGAAATTAAATTTTGTAAATAATTTTTTAGAGAAATTTGACAGTTTCTTTAACAGAATATTTAGATGGATGGATGGGTGTACTTAAAGTTTAAAATATTTTGAAAAAAAGCAGACAAACAAGAAGTTATTTAAATTAAATTTAAAAAATAATAATTTGCAGAGAATTATTTTTTTGTATGAAGTGGAGGGGGGAGGGTACTAATTAAAAATTACTATTTAAAATTAAAAATTAAATTAATAAAATTTATCAACCCGAACCTAGAAGGCTCTACCCCTCGGGTTTCTACCCTAGTTTTAAATTTAAGGTAGATCAAAATTAAATGTTATTAAATTAATAAATCTCTAATTTTTTAAAAAATGTCTAATGGTAGTAGACTTTAAATTTATATAAAAATATTTAAAAATTTCATGTCGGGAAAAAGTTAAAAAATATTTTAAATCAGACTGGATGTTGTAGGAATATAGAAATAAAAAATAAAAATACCTATATTATCTTTCTTTTTTAATTTTTAATTTTCATGTCTCTGTTCTATTTTGAGGACAAGAAAAAGAATGATTTCATTTAAAATTAAACAAAAAATCTATTTTTATAATAAAATTAAAAATCAAAAAAAATTTTTTTAAAAGAAAAAATAATTTGATACTTTTTAATTTCTTAAATAAAAAAATATTTAATTTCAGAAACAGATGTAAAATAAAAAAAAAATAAAAATATTATTTTATATTAATTTCTTTCTCCTTTTCCCTAAAAATCTTCCTCTCTTTCTTGTAATAAACAAAAATGGGAAGCAAAAACGGAAGGGTTAAAAATGAGAGAAAATCGAGAAAAAAAGATTGATTACATTAAAAATCATTAATTTAATAAAAAAATTTTTTTATTGATTTTTGATTGGATTTGCATTTTGGTGGATTAAAAAATAAATTATGAGCCCTTTTTCAAAATAAAATTTATACAGAGAAACGTTCACTTTTATCCAAGTCATAACTGCTTGATTTTTTTCACGTACTCATACACCTACACAAGTATAAATACGAATTTTGGGACTTATACTGCCAGAGGTATCGAATTTTCGGTAGATTTAATCAGGGTAGTAGCCCGACAACAGAAACCCCAACCCTGTTCCCGACCAGAACCTCGAAGGCTTTACCCCTCGGGTTTCTCCCTAGTTTTAAATTTAAGGAATAAATATTTGAAATCAATATGATCAAGTTCTGATAATAAAATAAAAGGAATAATTCGAAAATTATTTTTAATTATAACAAAATAATAATTAAATACATTGATGACATTCAAACGATTTTTAAGAACAAAAATGAAAGAGAAAATGAAAGAGCGGGAAATCAAGAAGGGGGAATATATTAAATAATTATCAATTAATTAATTAATATTTCCTTATTATGTGTTTAGTAGACACTCGTGATGATTTCTTATGAGCGCGCGCCATTGACTCTTTCTCCTTTTTGCTTTTCTATTTTTTCCTCGAGAAAAAATTAAAAAGAAATATAAATATATATTTATTTAAAATATTTATTTTAGAGAAAATATTTTAGTTAATTTATTAATATACTTTCTTAGTTTCTCTATTTATTTACTAATTTTTCTATTTTTGGTAATAAATTTTGACATTAACCTTTTCACTTTATTTTTTATCAATAAAAATAAATAAATATATTTTTCTCGTCTTTTTCTCGTCTATTCCTTCTAAGCTACCTAAATTTCTTTTAAAGATTATTTTTCATTTAAATTTTTATTAAAGTTTTAGTTTCTATAATTTATCATAATTTTTCCATACTTTTTTCTTTAATTTTTGATTTATTTTTAAAATTCTAAATTTCAACTTTAATTTTAGACATTCAAATTTTGCCTTTGACATTTTGTTTTTTTCAAAGCTTAATTTTTTAAAAACTGTCAAATTATTTCATATTCAGTATCTGTTCTTATAAATAGGGTTGCCGTTTTCGAGTCGGGCCGACGGTCGAGTCATTTTTTTCGGGCTTCATTTTTATCGAGTCGGGTCAAACGAGTCTTTTTCGGGCCTCATTTTTATCGAGTCGGGTCAAACGAGTCTTTTTCGGGCCTCATTTTTATCGAGTCGGGTCAAACGAGTCTTTTTCGGGCATAATTTTTATCGAGTCGGGCATCGAGACTTTTTCGGGCCTTTTTTCAAAAAGATTTATTCAAAAAAACAAAAATAATTTTGCTTATTTGTCATCAAAAATAAATCATATTAACATTGTTTTTCATAATCTTCTTCACTAGGGTTGTTCCCCGACGGGGGGGGGGGGGGGGGGGAGGAGGGCCACGGGGAAAATTTTCGGGGAGGCAGCGCCACGGGGGGGGACGCCTTCTTTTTTTACGCCTTCTTCCATTTTTTGCGCCGCAGGCGAAAATTTTGGGAATTTTGGAGGTCCTTAAGCCAGATTTCTTCCATTTTTTGCGCTAAAGCTGAAAAATCTAGAGTTTTGAATTTCAAAAAATAATATCAAAGGTTTAAAATCGTCTCTTGTATTAAAAAAACTTAAAATAATCTGAAAATAAGTCTCAACCGATGATTAGTACTCGAACCCAACAATCCTTTAAATAAAATCCAGCGCCTTAACCACTCAACTAACCGCTCATTTAATTAGTTCTGAAAGAAAATATATTTCCCTTACTCAGTAAAAGAAATATCAAAGAGGAAGATCCAAAAGGAAATATTTATCGAGGACATTCGAGTCGGGCCAGTTTTTTCCGAGTCATTTTATTCGGGCTTCATTTTTATCGAGTCGGGTCATACGAGTCTTTTTCGGGCCTCATTTTTATCGAGTCGGGTCATACGAGTCTTTTTCGGGCCTCATTTTTATCGAGTCGGGTCAAACGAGTCTTTTTCGGGCCAAATATCCTAGGCCCGACTCGATCTTTCGGTCCGAGTCGGGCCATTTTGGCAACCCTACTTATAAATAAATAAATTAAACAAAAATTAATTATTTATTTATTTTAATATATTAATTATATGTTTATTTTTTCAAAAATAAAATTTATTTAATTGCAATAATTTATTTTCGGCAAAAGATCAGAAGTAAAACTTCAATTAGTTTCTAATACGTAAATACCTATTTTTTCAAATATATAAAAATAAATTTTAATTTATTGTAAATATATATTTACTAAAATAAAAAACCGGAACATTAAAAAAAATAAAAAGTTGTTTAAAGAAAATTATTAAAAATAAAAGTTAAAAATAAATAAAAAAAAAGAATTTAGTGAATTATTCAAATAATTTTAAATTTAAATATCAATGAGGGGCTCCTACAAAAAAGTCAAGTCAAATTATGAAAATTTTTGTAATAAATTAAAATTTTAATTAAATTAAAAATTTTTTTGAATAATTTTAAATTTAATTTTTTCAGTTTAAATAAAGCTGGAAACTCTAACTAATCAGATATAAGATAATTAATTAAGATTTCAAGTAAATTATTCTTGTTGTTTTTTCTCAATAAATTATTTTTTTACCAGATTTAATTTATTTTTATTTTTTTTATTAATTTAACAACAAAAAATCTGTAAATAATTACATAATTATATATTTTTGTATGTTTTTGTACTTCTTTTTCACACATTCAAACTTGTCTTCCTTTTTAATTCATTGTTGCAAACAACCCCTTTTTAATGCTTCCAAAAATATACGCAAATAATAATTTCTAAATAAAAATAGTAGTATGTATTATATTTTTATTTATTTTCCCTTATTTTTCACGTCCTTCCAAAATTCTCTTTTTTAATATGTAAAAAGAATTATATTTGCGCTCTCATTGAATATAATCGAAAATCTAATCGAAAATCCTCTTTTTATCCTAAAAGCGCATAAATTGTGCAAAATAATATTTTTATTTTATTATTTTTTTGTTAAAAAATATTTAATAAAAATATTTTTTTTATTTAAATGATTCCCAACAATAAATATTTAAAAGAAGGAATTATTACAAGAATATTAAGAGTAGGTGTTAAATTTGCTCAACTAATTACTTCTTTATTTTTGGTTTGTTTTAAAATAAATTTAATATTTCCATAAGAAAATTATTTTTACTTAGAACATATGTAAGTAAATATAATAACTATTTATTTATTTTTCACATTTTAAAGCCATATATACTTTCTAATCTCAATTTTCGACAAATTTAGGTCAAACGTTAAGTCAGATAATATCTAAGAGATAAAAAATATTTCTTATTAAATTTAAACAAACGTTTAGACAATTTCTATTTACTATATTGGCCCATATTGGATTTTTGTTGCAGCCTCTTTGGCCATTCCCCTTTATGGTTATTTCTTTAAATTAAAAAAATTAATTTTTAAAAGGTTTATTCCTTGTATTTCGATCACCCGAGCATACTCTACATACTCATCCACTCCCTTTTGTTAGAAATAAAGCTTTAGAAAGATCAAGACGTTGGCTGCGTGTTGATTTATCAATTTGTATAACTATGGTTTAATTAAATATTTTTAAAAATTAATTTTCATTTTTTAAAGGCAATTCTCTGTTTTTTACTTTCAATTATTTTATTTATTGGTTATTTAGTAGAACACACAATAAATATATTTATTTTGAGTGGAGCATCATCATCGTTACTTTTAGCTGTATTATATGGTTTAAATATATTATTAAATGTTCGTAGTCTGCAAATTGGGAAAGTTAATTTTGTGACGGAAAAAGTAAAAAAATAATAATTTTGTTTAAAATTAAAAACAAAATATTTGTCCAAAATAAGGAAGGGGAGGAGGGCTAAAAACAGGGCGGCTGAGGATTTTAAATGATTTTAAAATCATTGCGGCTGAGGATTTTAAAATTAAAATTGCGGGTTTTCTATTGCGTACAGCCCTGGCCGAAAATAAGAAGGAATTAATTAGGAAAAATTAACGTTAAAATACTATTGTGGTTTATAAAAAGTATTTTAAAGAATTTAAATCAGCAATCCTCCCCAAGAATATCAACAACTTGGGCAGAAGCTCAAAGTCCACAACCGGTTGAGAATTTACTAAATAAAATAAATTATTTTTATTCTTAAAGCCATTAACTACTACTATATTACCTCCAATGTCTACCAATAATAATATAATATTTGAAACAACTTCAAGAGAAGAAGAAAATTGGAGGGAAATTCCAATTAAAGTAATTTTTAAAAATTATTAAATTATTTTTTTGTAAAAAAGAAAACATTTCCGATTACTGGAGAACAAATTATTGAAGAAGAAGATTGCCTTAGAGTAGAACAACGCCAACGTACTCCATCTGGCGAAAATGTTGCTATGATTTTTGGAAGGAATAAAAGTTATAGACAAAAAGAGAAGAGTGAAAATGGGTAGTAAATAATTAGTTTAGAAGAATTTTTTTTTAATTTTTAATCTAAAGAGAACAATTAAATAATTATGGAAGAGCTTCAACAACTACAAGTCCAATTTATAATGAAGATATTGAAGCAGAAGAATATTCTCGTTTATATAAAGGATTAAAAAGAGAAAATAATTTTTTGGAAGGAAAATTTCCAAAAAATTATTTAAATGAAGAAAATGAAAATAAAATAAAGCAACTTTCCCCTATTAGACGTAGACGACGATATCAGACATCATCTTCCTCCAAAAATTTTGAAGGTAGAGAAGAAAGTCCAACAGCTTCAATAACTATTGAAAGAGGTGTTTTCCTATTTAAAAATTTTAGATTTATTCTTTCACTAACTAATTATTTTGATTTGCGTGAGAGAGGTTAAGCGGGAGACGAACACAAATTACTTTAGATAATATTTTTATCTCAAAAACATTTTCTTTTAATTTAAGCCAGTAGCTCACCTCCCTACCAACATAAGCATTACCTCGAAGAAAATGAAAGAATTAAAGTATCATCACCAAACGAATCATCTACTACTCCCACAAGTCCTTATTGGAAACATCAAGTTACAGAGCTTTAAATTTTTAAATTTAAATTTATTTTTAATGATCTCTATTTAATTTCTAAAAAATAATTTCTTTAAAAAAATATTATTTTTAATTTGTACATTTTTATATAAAATTTTTCCTTTTTTTTCTTAAAAATTATTTTTTCCAATAATTTATTGGAAGCCTTAACACACAAATAAATATATAATCCCCGCGCACACATTAAAATCCTTTAATGCTTCCTTTTTGGCATTTAATAATTTTTTCTTATTGAAAACATGAGAGATAAAAAATATTTAGTAAATTGTCTGTTGTCACTTGCTATACAAAATTATGATAAATAAGTAATGAATACTCCTTGCTTGAGATTTATTAAAAAACAAATTCATTACCATCTAAATAATTAAAATATTGAATAAATAATTAATTTTTCTGAATCTCGACTATGTGGGAAACATGCCTATTTTTAATTTTATTATATTTTAAAAACTTTAGAACTTAAAAATATATTGACCAATTTAAATCAACCTTTAAATATTTTTTTAAATATTTAATATAATTAATTAAAATTCTTCATTTAAATTTAAAAAAGAAAAATGTCACAAATAAATACAACAGATAAACCTCCACCTTCTTCGCCCCTTATTAAACCTCAACAATCACCTTCACCTACCCCTAGTGGCAAAAATATTAAACGTTTTCGAGCTGCCCATGCAAGTTTTCGTCTTCGAATGGTAATTATTTAAATAATTAAATTAAATAATTAATTAAAAAACAACAAAATAGCTTCATGAACAAAATGCTCCAGTAAGGAAAATAGAACCGGTTTGTTTTGGAAGTTTATATTCTAATTAATAAAAAGCAAAACCAAAGCTATTAAAAATAAAGGTATTTTAATGTAATAAAGTGTTTATTATGGAGTGTTGATTAAATAGAGGGTTTTTAATTAAAAATAAAAAATTTTTTCTTTTCATCAAACTTTTGGTATATAATTAAAGAAAAACAATAATATAAGGATGACCAAGTCTCCAAAAAAATTTTCCCTTTTTAATGTAAACTCACTAAAAGTTAATCCTTTAACGTTAAACCAAAAATATCCTAACCATCGTGATACCAAGGAAACTAAATAAAAAAATATTTTTATATGTCTCCTCCTTCCGGATAATCAAAAGAAGGAAAATATTGTGTTTGTATTAAAGGTGTATTTATTTAATAAATAAATTAATAAATATATTTTATATATGTACAAATTTTGAAAGAAACAATTATTCCTAAAAATATTTAATTGTGCGTTAATTAAAAAATACAAAACAAGAAAAAGGTAAATATTTTAAATTACTTGTTTAGTATAACGTTAAATAGGATGTAAGGATATTCTTGATTAAATGGAGGTTAAACATTATGGAAATTTATTAAATTGTTTAGTGATTATTTTAGACATATTTATCTTTAATTAAAGACTAAATTTTAAACTTGATAAGGTAAATATGGAGGGAGTTATGGTTAAGTTGGTATTTTAATTCGGAGTTATATTTTATTAAATAATTAATTTAACAAAAAAAACTAATCTAACAAAATAAAAATAATTTTTATAATTAATCTTTAAAGAAGCTAAAGGACAAAATTTTTGTTCTCAGCTTCAAATCAACAAAAATTATTTATGTCAATGAATGAAGGACCGTGAATTGCGTTTTGTTGCTGCATCAAAGCACAGTCGTTTACATCCTATAAGAACATTAAAAAGTGTTCCCTCATCTCCCATAGAAAAAGAATTAGATTCAAAATCACCTTTTGATTTACGTCGAGTACTTAGCGGAGGGTAGAAATTAAAAAAAATTATTTTTTTAGAAAATTTTTTTAGTCAAAGAACCTCAAATATACGATTTGCTTCAAATCGTTCCTCTTATCACTACACGGCGCCCTTTCAATACCAACAATATTATCCCCAACAAAATCAGCTAGTACCACCACATACAGCACCACCAGCATTTCATTCATATTCAACACTTGGTGTTGATATTGCTGTTGAGGCTTTACGCCGTAGACAGCGGTTAATTTTGTTTTAATTCCCAAATTAATAAACTTATACTTTAAGAATTTATCGAACAAGTTCAACCGGTGCACCATTCCCAGCAGCTATACCTCTAAATTCTACCCCATTACATCCACTCTCACAAAGAAAACGCTTCCTATCTGCTTCCTGTGTTGATCAACGTTTAATTGAGCGCCCACAAAGAGCTCTAACTATTGCTATGGGACATTGGGATACTTTAAGGGCACATTTAAAAACGCCAAAACATTCAACTGCGTCAAGTCTCGGTCCACCTACAGCAAATACACAACAGTGCTTGGGGGTAAGTTTTTAATGATGATGGAATACATATAAGTATTTACTTATCCCTCTTTAATTACTAAAATATTATTGCTAATCAACAGAATTAGTGTTAGAAAAATTGTTAATCGCTTAAATATATTGTTTCACATTTCATTAAATTTTTTAAATAGTTTGAAACGGTAGTGCCAAAAGGCAGTATTGCTTCAACTTTTTCATGCCCAGCACAAGCAGTTACAATCGCCACAACAGGATTAACTGGCACAATAATAGCTGTTGTTAACTTTTTATATATTTTTATTTAATTTAATATTTTTAGACACAAGGAGGGGGACAATCCGGTGGCCTTTCAGCTACTCCAGCAGTTACTTCAACAGCTTCCCAACAATTACAGCATCCATTCCCTGCACCTAAAAGCAAATTCAAAATGGCACATGAATCCTTTCGGGCCCGAATGCTGCAGGAAATGCAGGATCAGGAGGCCGTGAGTTTGTACGATATGTGGAAACTCTTTAACATTTTAAAAAATCTTTCTATCCATGGAGTAAACAATAATAATTATGTAAATTGTTAAAATAATTATAAAAATTATTTTTATTGGGTGTATGAAATGTGTAGTAGTAAATGAGACGACAATAATCAACTTAACTTTTAAATGTAAATATTATTTCAAAAAATATATTTAAAAAAGAGTAAAGGCTTTGGTTTTGCTTTTTTTGTTTTTAAAAATTATCCATAAAAATTAAAAAAAAATTATTTTTTTTTGTGTAGGTGTTCATGACGAAGAAGAGGACTGCTGATAGCAAATCGAGCGAATTTAAGGGCGGTGAGCTTCATTCTTCTTCTCCTTCTCCTCCTTCCAATTTTCAGCTACCTAACCAACAAACTAATAAAAATACAATTGACTCAGGCGATTTCAACAAGTACACGGCGCAGAGCTACACCATCCGGAATGGAGTGGAAATCTTTGGGGGTAAGTTATTTTCTTTTGTAAATGAATAAAATGAAAATTAGTAGACATGGGTAATCCCTTTTTAACATATTCTATCAACTTTAATAATTTTAATAATGAAAAACTAAATCTTTGTGATTATATAATATAGTGAAGAAAAAATATTTAGTAATTAATTTGTCATGAAAGTTGGACAAATAGGTAGGATAGTGGAGATAATTCTGTAAATTTTTAAAATACTGAAAACAATTCGACAAGAAAAATACTTCACACACTTTTTTATAGCCTCCCGATCTATTTCGTGCTGATTTTTATAACATAATCTCTATTGTTAATTTCTATCAACTATTCACCTATCTAGATTCAGAATTGGGCTTTTAAATATTTTATTTAGTTATTTAATAGTTAATCTTCTTTCCAAATAATATTTTTTTAAAATTATTTTTATATATTTGCTTACCTCAAAATCAATTAATTTTTACTTTTTCTTTTAAAAAAACTATTTTTATGTTCACATTTAAAAAGTAAATTATGTAATTATTAGTGTGGGATTTGGAAAACAAAAAATAAAAATAATTATTATATAGGTGGGAATTGAATGAAAATAAATGTTGGAAGGAAAAAAAATAAAAATACAAGTTGCAATAAAAATAAAAATATTTAAAGTGTACATGTAATTATTTAAATAATTTAAAGCTTTAATAAACAAAAAATTATTTAAATATTTTTTAGTAGTAAATTGTTTTTCTTTTTTGAATATTTATTTTTTAGATATCTTTTTCTTTTTTTTTGTTAAGAAAAGTAGTTTAATGTAACGAAAATTCAATTTTATATACATAAATACCCCTCTTACACTCTTTTTTAAATTTTATTTTTTCCTTTGAGAATAAAAAAACTTAAAAATAGGTAATTTATATATTTTAAATAAATACATATATTGTTTATTTTTGATTTTTAAATTAATTTTTTTTATTTTTTTATTCCTCTTAAAATTATCTAATTATTTTTTATTTTTATTTAAATTAATGGCAATAGAAAGGCCAAGAGTTAGAGTTGAAAATTTTCGTCATTTTTACCCTCGTTTAAAACAACAAAATATTATTAGAAGAGACAACATAAATAAATCGTTCACTTGCAAATATTATAATGTTTACGATAATTATGATGAAGGTAAGGGAAAATAAATATTTTAATTAAAATAGGGAGTCTTTAAGCTGATATTTCTTTTCTTTTTCATACAAATACCTAATTTAAAATTTCTAATAATTTGTGAAAATTCAATGAGAATTTTAACATCGTTTGAATTCTTTTTAATTAATATTTATTTTTATTTTCCAACTTCTCAACAAATCCTCTCAAAATCTCAATTATAAATTAATTTAAAAATCTAAAGAAAATTAAAGAAATTAAATAATATATTTTATTTTATACATTTACTTTATATCCAAAAAGTCCTCCCATCAAAAATATTTTTAGTAAAATAATCCACAAAAAATAGGAAGTGGGGGAACAAAAGGGTTTAAATATTAGAAACATTTTTGACAATTTTTGGAAGAAAAAAAAAAAATTTAAAAAAAAATCTTAAATTGTCTTGCTTGTTTTGACGAAAATTTGACTTGAAAATATTTTTAGAATAAAAAATGGGGATTAAATAAAGATGTGGTTATTTTTAATTTAGATTATAAATTATTTTCTATTTAAAAAACCCATATATTTATTTTTAAAAATTAATTATTTTACACCTTTAGCTTATATTTAAATATTCCAAGTTTTTTTGTAAACGTTCCCTTTTTCACCTTAAATTGTTCTTCTATTGTTTTTTTTGTTTTGTTCTTTTTAAATATTTAACTAGCGATGGGTTTGGCCACTGTTGTTGATATCAGGACACTGTGGCGGTTATATTTTGCTCTGGGTTTTAATTTGGCTCTGCCCGTTCGAAAGCCTAACGGCTTTGGGGGCGCGCTTCGCGCGCCGCTAGCGATTTTTTATGCCTGGAACAAAAGATTAGCCTTCATTGGGACTCATCATTCCACTTAGAGTCACTTCGCCTTCGGCCCTCGTCTTCTCTTTTAGATGGGTGTCAGCTCGGGCCTTCGGCCCTCGTCTTCTCTTTTAGATGGGTGTCAGCTCGGGCCTTCGGCCCTCGTTGTCTCTTTTAGATGGGTGTTAGCTCGGGCCTCCGGCCCTCGCCCTCCCTCTTAGATGGGTGTCAGCTCGGGCCTTCGGCCCTCGCCCTCCCTTTTGGATGGGTGTCAGCTCAGGCCTCCGGCCCTCGCCCTCCCTTTTAGATGGGTGTCAGCTCGGGCCTTCGGCCCTCGCCCTCTCTTTTAGATGGGTGTCAGCTCGGGCCTTCGGCCCTCGCACTCCCTTTTAGATGGGTGTTAGCTCAGGCCTCCGGCCCTCGCCCTCCCTTTTGGATGGGTGTCAGCTCAGGCCTCCGGCCCTCGCCCTCCCTTTTAGATGGGTGTCAGCTCGGGCCTTCGGCCCTCGCCCTCTCTTTTAGATGGGTGTCAGCTCGGGCCTTCGGCCCTCGCACTCCCTTTTAGATGGGTGTTAGCTCAGGCCTCCGGCCCTCGCCCTCCCTTTTAGATGGGTGTCAGCTCGGGCCTTCGGCCCTCGCCCTCCCTTTTAGATGGGTATCAGCTCGGGCCTTCCCTTTTTCACCTTAAATTGTTCTTCTATTGTTTTTTTTGTTTTGTTCTTTTTAAATATTTAAATATAACTTCTTAAAATATTTATTAACTTAAAAACTTATTCCTCCCATATTGCAAAATAAAAATATTAATAAAATAAATTTAAACATCTGTTGCCACAAATATTTTTTGTTAAAAAATATTTTATTTTTAATATTTATATTGACACTTTTCGAATTAAAAAAATTTTTAAAATTATCTTTTAAATAAAAAAAAATAATTATTTATTTATTTAATCCTTTAAATATAATTTATTTTTAACTACCAGTTACTTTTTTTAAGTAAAAGCCACAAAAATAATACCAATAAAATGAATCAATCATTTGCCTAAAATTATTTAAAATAATAATATTCATTGTTTATTTGCTTTATATATTCTCTGAAATAAATTAATTTTTTTAAAATAAAGACTTTGTACAAATTCTTTCTAAAGTTCAAAATTATTTTATTATCGTTTCATTAGCAAGTTCATTAGCAAGCTTATTTATTATATTTTCTAAACAAAAAGCAATCAGAAAAATAATTTCCGTTTTTAACTTATTCCAAAAATTAAAGAAATCTTTTTTTTATAAAATTACTTTTTTGTTTTATATTTTCTAAACTTTTCTTTTATAAAAATAAAAAAAATGCTTTATTCTGCCCCTGGATCGCGAGCAGATTCACCAACACAAGATTTAATTTCAAATGCAGCAGCATCTTGTCTTCTTAGTAGACGTCGATCAGGGTTGGGCGAAAAATTATAAAAAAAAGATTTTTTAATAAAAAAAACTTTCGAGAAAATTTTATAAAAATTATTTCTTTTAAAAAAACATCGCCCAACCTTGGTCGATCGAGTTGGCCACAACATCAATTTTATCATTTACGTCGACCTTCATTACTTCCCCCATCAACATCCACATATTATCCCTCCCCTCATTCTTTGGGACATAGACGTTCAATTAGAGAGGCTTTGGAACAAATAGAATCTGGACAATTAATTCCCCCTTCAAGGCGCCAATCACTTTTAGCAGCATATTCACCAGCAGGAAGTGCAACATTGAGTCCTTTATTAGGTGCTAGAGGTGCTGTTTCTACTACATTGGCTCCTTCTCCAGTTGGAGAAAAATTTTCTTTTGAAAACGAGAATCAAATTGAAATTATTGAAAGCAATAATGTACTTGGAAGGATGTCTATAATAACAGGTATTAAAAGGGGAATTTAAAAAATATTTTTTCTAAAAATTATTTAATTTTTATTTTTTATTAAATTTATTATTTTATTTACCTGTATTTTTTAATTTTTCAATTATTTTAATTTTTTTTTGAGATTTAATCAAGATAATTAATAGGAATTTTATTACTAAATGTCGAATTACCTTTATTATATTTTATTATTTTAGTAAATGTAAGCGAACTAAGGAATTGAATTTTAATCACAACTCTTTCAATATCGATCCTTAATTAAAAATTGAATTTTTTATTTTTAATTACCAACTTTAAATTTAAAAAAAATATTTTTGTTAATAGTTCAAATAACCTTTATTATAATAAAAAATTTAAATAAATATTTCGCAATTCTAAATCCGTCAAAATCAGATGACAACTCATTCATTTAAATAAATCATCACCCCCTTTCTATTTCATAATTTAGAGTTTTCTTTCTCTCTTCTAGAAAAAAAATTTAAAAATATTCATTTTTTTAAATTTTCTAACCTCTCTTTCTCTAAAATAAACTAAACAAAACGCTTACTAATTAAATTATTTTCAAGTAAATTTTTGTAAAAGCTGTTTAAACTTTTATCTTTTTGAGTGAGAATGGCAAGAGAGATATTAATTTTAGAAAGGGTTTTTTTGAAAGAGATGTGGCTTTTTAAAATAAACTGCTAGTTTGGTGAAGCATTTAATTTTTCTAGTCAGTCATTTAAAACCATTTAATATTCCTCTAAAAATCCCCAAATTAATATAAATATTTCTTTAATCAATTTTTCTTCAAAAAATTTAAAGAAGTTTGTAAGACTAATTTATATGCTCAAATAATTACCCTGAGTAATTATTGTTTCAACCTTTAGTTAAAGGAGGTAATTAATCGAGAGGAGGCAATTATTCTCTATAGGGTAATTATTCGAGCATATATTTAATGTAATTCTAAATTAATTCTTAAAATTAAATTTAAGGAGAATGTTTTTACAAAAACAATTGTTTTTGGTTGTTCTTCTATTAGCAATTTCTCTCGTAAAGGGAGTAACCGAGAATAAGAATAAAAGCGAAACAAAAAATGAAACAACCACAAAAGCAATTCAAACAGCAACTGGAGATTATGATGATACTGAGAAAGCAGACTATGGCGATTTGGCTGCAGAATTGGCTAAACTTGTTGAGGAGGAAGATGAGTTAAATAAAAAGAAAAATGCTTTGAGTTCGGAGAATGGAAATAAAAATAGCACAGGAAAGCCTTATATTCAAAAAGATAAAAGTAAAAAATATGAGGAAGAAGATAATGGAAAATATGAGGGAAATCGTAGAAATAAGTATGATGTAGAGTCAGATGAAAGTGAATCAAGTTCAAGTTCGGATGAGGATTTAGATGAGGATAATTTAGAAAGATTACCAGGGCCTTTGCCACACAATGAAGGAATTTCTAGGCGAGGAATTAAAAAGGAAAAAGGTGGAGAAGATGAGGAGGAGGAGGAAGAAGAAGAAGAGGAAAATCCTAAAGATAAAGAAAGCAGAAAGATAAGAAAAAATAAAAAAAATCCAAAAGATGAAAGTGAGGAAGATATTTCTTTTGATGGTCAAATACCTAAAAGTGTACGTAAATTACTCAAACAATTAGCAGCTGGTGGAAAGAATCCTGTAATTATACCTTTAATTATAAATAACAACAATATGCCGAATCGAAGAGCTGAAGATGAGTCTGAGGAATGGAATAAAAGACATGGAAGACCTCATAGATTAAATGATTGGAATAATCCGCCTGGGGTTCCTCCATTCTTTCAATCTTCGATGTTTCAACAGCCAATGTTTCCACCACCGTTTCAACCAGCACAACAGTCACCTATTGGTGTCCCTCCGGCATTTGCTCATCCCTCTAATTTTCTTGGAGGGCCTCTTGGAGGAGGTCTTCCTAACAATCTTCCCAACACAAATCCATTTTTATCACAACTAAATCGTGGTGGAAGTCCTAATCAATTTCCCAATCCTCCCCCTAATCAAGTTCCAACTTTTGGACTCCAAAATCAATTCAATCCTGCTCAACAACAACGACAACCAAATCAAGTCAACCCACAGGGAGAAAATGGCAATGATGTGAAAAAAATGAATTAAACAAAAAAAGAATGAAATTTCAATTAAAATAAAGAAAATCATTAAATAATGTGATTAATATATAAATAATTTAAAAGGATATTCTGTCAAAAAATATTTCAATGTTTTTTTGATTTGGGTTTCTATTAAATAAACGCATTAATTTTTATTAAATAGTTAATAAGAAAATTAATACAATTTAAATTGGTGAATCGAATTTTGATAATAAATTTCGAGTGAATATCAGAAACAATAGCTATAATTTATCCCTATAAACTCTCGAATATATTTAAAAATTATAATTTAAAAAATAATTGTTCAAATTTAAAAATTATTTTTTTATGAAATTTAAAATATTAATTAATACTAAAAAACCAAAATAATTAGGTATACATATTTTAATCAAAAAATCCCGATAAAATTAAAAACTTTTTTCATTCATTTTTCCTCGAATAAATAACTAATTTTAAATAATTAACGCTTCTTTTTGTCTTTCTCCATAGGATCAAAATAATATTTATTGTCGTATAATTTATCATATCCATAATAATATTTAGAGCCTCCAAAATCATAATTGAAAGGTATATAATCATTCATTTCTATAATATTTTAAATAATTTTTTAATATTAATTTTAATAATTCTAATTAAAAGGCTGAAATAAAGGTTTTATTATTCATAACCTCCCTTCCATTCCTAATCTCAGAATTTCTCTTGATTTTAATTTTTATAAATTCCATTAAAATTTAAATTTTAAAATTTTTTGTTTATCATTTTTTTATTTTTTAGCAACCTTTATTGTCCCATTTTTGTTGTTGATATTGTTTGTGTTGATATTTGAATTGATTATAATCATTATTCATTCCATAATATATACTTTCTTGTGTTTCTCCATAATTATTTAAATAATTATTTTTATCAATTGGAAAATTCCAATTTGGTTCTCGAATTATTTCATTTTGTTGGAAAAACCCAAAATCCAAAAAAGAGCTGTCTTTCAATGAAGGATTTTGTTGATTAAATCCGAAGGGTAATGGCCCATTGTTTAATTCTATTTAAAATATATTAAACAAAAATTAATTTAATATAAATTATTGGTTCTTCCTGTATTTCTCCGCTTAATTATAATTTCTTGTCACATATACTTACAATACCCAATTAATAATTCCACTTTTCACTTCTATACAATTTGTAAAAGTATGAACCTAATCCTCACAATCAGTAAAATTCTGTTTCTAATTCAAAATATATTTAATTCCCTTATTTTCAAAATTCAAAGGGAAAACATAATCTCTCATAAATAAATCAAAAAACCTTCATCCGAATTAAATAAATTAAAATAAGAATTATAAGTTAATTGTTGAGGTTGTTGTTTATATTCATTAAATTTTTGTTGAATATTATTTTCTTCTAAATTTTCATTTAATCCAAAAAATTGTTTTTTGTCTATTTGTTGTTTGTTGTAATTATTATTATTATTAAATTCATCACCAAATTTGAAGATTTGTCTTTCCTTTTCTTCAATTCCAATTTTCTTTTCATTTTTATTTTCTTCCTCAATTTCTTCAAGTTTTTCAATTTCTTCTTTATCTTTTACCTATTTTTTAATATTTTTTTCTGAATTTATTTTTTACAAACCTCATCACTTAATTCTTCACTAAAATAACTTTCTTTTATTCTTCCCCAACGTTTATTTTTAATTTCATCATCTTCATTTATTTCAAACAATTCTTCTTTATCTAATTCCAGATTTTCTTTCTTCATTTTATTTTCCTCTACAATTTGCTGGTTTTGTAATTTATTCGCATTATTTCCTCCATTTGCCTTAAATTTCTCCTCAATATTTTCTTGCTCTTCTTCTTCCTCTTCCTCTTTATTCAATTTATTCATCTCGAATTTCTCTTCCATAATTTCTTCCCTTTCACTCTCTTCATTCATTTTATCCATTTCTTTTCTTTTAGTATTTTCACCAATCTTTTCTTGAGTATCTTCTTCTTCCTCTTCATCTATTCTGTTTACATCGCCTTCATTCATCTTAACTTTCTCTTCATTATACCCATCTTCCTTCTCTTCATTCGTTTTCATATTATTTAATTGTTTCTTTTCTTCAACCTTCTTTTTTAACGTTCCTTCTCTATGTAATTCCAAACCTTCTAATTCCCCTTCCTCTTTTAATTTTTTATCATTATCTTCTCCAATCACTACTTTTCTTCCATTTATTTTTCCATCCTTATTTCCTTCATCAACCTTTTTACCAAATCCCTCCAATTCTTGTCTTTTTGTTGAACTTTCCAAATTTTTTTCTTCATCTAATTTAATTTTAATTAATCGCTCTCTATTTATACTTGATCGTTTTTTTCTAATAATATCAGTTTCATTATCAACCGGAGCAATAATATTTATATTATTAATATTTTTACCATTCGTAGTTTTCCTTATTTCTATTGCTGATTTCTGAATTTTGTTGATTTCTAAACATTTACAAACATTTAAGAATATTATTTGTAGAAAGATTAACAAAAATATTTTCATAGAATTACGCTTTCTCTAAAAATTTGTTTTTATTTTTTGAAAAATATGAATGTGAAATTTTATTCAAAAGGAAAAATAAAATAATATTTTTTGGTGAATTGCATGTGTAAAACATTCCATCCAAATTTAGATTTTTTTGTAAACTTCAGTAAAATACAATAAGATACGCTTAAGTATTTTTGCCAAAATTAAAGCAGAAAAAATTGCCAAAATTAAAGCAGAAAACTAAAAAGGGGCATTCCCTCAAAAAGAGAGTGAAGTAATAATAAAAACTGAGGGTATTGAGGGGAGTAATTAAATTTAAATTATTGTCAATTTAATCCATTAACAAGCAAACATAAAGAAGCTCAGTATATTGCTACGTGTATTCATTAACGTAAAAGATATATTGGATAGATTTTTAAAATTGGTAAAATAAGTATTTTTATAAAATTTTGGCTTTTTTTGTGTTTTGTTATTGAGAAAAAGAGAGAAAAATAATTTAAGTTGGATAAATAAAAAATTTTAATAATTATTATTAAAATAAGCTGCAAATTATATTTTTATACCCACTAATTATGATAAGTGCTCCACCCCAAACATAGCATTAAGTCCTTTAATGATTAAGCCCTTTAAAGATTCAATTAAGTCCTTTAAGGATTTTAGAACTAGTATAGTCAATCCCAACTCTTTTTCAGCTTTCTTAACGTTAGACCATTCTTCACAAATTATTTTACTATTTATCCGTACATATTCGAACCTTTTTAAGAATTCTCAAATTAAAATTGATCATTTTTTCTTTAAAATAGCCAACATCCACAACGAGTTCGGCGTCTGCGGTTGGATCCTCACCATTCTCTCCTACATCCTCATATTCTTGACACTGCCTATATCGGCTTGTATGTCAATAAAGGTAGTTCAAGAATATGAGCGTGCTGTCATCTTTCGACTTGTAAATTTATTTAAAATTATTTTAAATTCAAATAATTTAAAGGGGCGACTTCTTCCCGGCGGCGCCAAGGGTCCAGGAATTTTCTTCATTGTTCCCTGCATTGATACTTATAGAAAAGTTGATTTGCGTGTACTTTCTTTTGAGGTTTCTTAGAAAATGTTCTTATAATAAAATAATTCCACTTTAGGTCCCTCCACAAGAAATACTTTCTAAAGATTCTGTAACCGTTGCTGTTGATGCTGTTGTTTATTTCCGGTAGGAAATATAGAAAGAATTTTTTTCTTTATTTTCAAGAATTTCTAATGCAACAATTTCTGTAACAAATGTAGAGGATGCTTCTCGCTCAACAAAACTTTTAGCTCAGACAACTTTACGAAATATATTAGGTACTAAAACGCTAGCTGAAATGTTGAGTGACCGTGAAGCTATTTCCCTTCAAATGCAAGTAGACAAAAATATTTTACTTTAAATTAATTTATTTATAAAAAAAGGCAACATTGGACGAAGCTACTGAACCTTGGGGAGTAAAAGTTGAAAGAGTTGAAGTTAAGGATGTAAGGTTGCCTATTCAATTACAACGTGCGATGGCTGCTGAGGCTGAGGCCGCACGTGAAGCTAGAGCAAAAGTATTTATTTTTGGAAGTATTTCAAACAATAATTAAAATATTTAAAGGTGATTGTTGCTGAAGGAGAACAAAAAGCCTCCCGCGCTCTCAAAGAAGCAGCAGATGTTATAGCAGAATCTCCCCAAGCAATTCAACTTCGTTATTTACAAACATTAAATTCTATTAGCGCCGAGAAAAATTCTACAATTATTTTTCCTTTCCCTGTTGATTTACTTAGTGCTTTACTTCATCAACAGCAACATTCATCTACACAACAACCATCATTATCAACACAAAATCAACAACAAACACAAATACAGCCTATTAATCGTTCACCTGTTCACAAAACTAATGTATTTTCAACTGTTGTTGCACCAGCATCACAACAATATCAAATGTAGGGGGATTTAAAATTATTAATCTAACCTTTAATATATCAAAGTTAAATATATTTGGAAAAAGAGGGCCTCTTAATAAAAAAATTTCTAAATGATTTTTTGTACTTTTTAGGTCGCCTGGTACTACTTATCATTCAACCATTCATTCTTCAGATAATACTTCTTCAAAAGCAAATCTTCTTTAATTTTGAAAATATTAATTAAATAAAATCTCATTAATATTTACAAATATATACACATCAAAATTGTATATTAGAGATTAAATTATATCAGAATTTTAGAGTTTCTGTGTTTTGTATATTAATATATAAATTATAGTAAGATATATTTTGAAGATTTAATCTCTAATCTTTTATTATTTAATTTAATAATAACAATTAAATTAATATTTTATTTTAAAGCAATCGAATAAAATTTATAACAATTTTGCCTAAATTAGTAGTTTTTTTGTAATTTTTATTGTGAACATACTCCTCTATAAAAGCATCAAAGGACACAATTTTCATTACCCCTTCCTTGTTAATTCTCCTTCCATGATCTCTCAACTCTTCTTCAAGTCTTTCAATTATCCAGCTTTGTCCCTCATTTTTGTGTTTGTCTACACCATTTGCTGCTCGACAACGTTTCTAGCAATTTGTAATAAAAAGAAGTCTCTAAAAATCAAAAAGCAGAAAATTGTCAAGAAGTCGGCAAGCAATTCAAAGAAGAAACAAAAGACAACTTATTATGTTGATGGGGCTAGAGCAATTGGAATGCTTCGGGAATGTGAAAAGAGATGTGAAGTAACTATTGAAAGTAATTTTTATGTTGTGAATTTTTTAATGGAATTTTTAAATTTTAGAAGCTAGGCACAATTATGTGAGGGTAATGGACAAAGCTTATGAAGATGCTAGAAGGGAAATTGCTGAGTTCAAAAAGGTGAATTTTATAAGAATTTTCTGTTTAACTTTAATTTTTAGAAGAGAGAGGAGCAACACCAAAAATATGTTATCAGACTTCAGAAAGAAGAACTCGATTATGCAGCGATTTTGGAAAATAAAAATCGGGCAAAACTTCGAGAAATAGACAAAATGGTTACTAAAAACCGTGATAATGTGAGTAAGAATAATTTTAGAAAATAAAAATAAATTTAAAATTTAAAGGTAATTGATGATATAATGAAGGTTGTTTTAAAAATACAGCCAATAATGCATCACAATGTGCCGGATTTGAGAAAGGCGAAGCAAATAAAAAGGTTAAAAATTTGAAGAAATGTGTCTATTAAACAATTAAAATTTATTTTTCAGTTCCTCCACTCAACTAATTTCCAAACAGCCAAGTCAAACTTTTTCGGAAAAAAATCAACAAAGAGCCAAAATTCTTCCTATTGTAAGAAAAATAACTTACAAAGAGCCTAGCATTTCTTCCGAATCCTCCACTTCGAGTTCAACATCAAGTTCAACCTCTTCAGAATTGTCTATAAGAGAGCAAAATAAAAGCCGTCAGAAAAGTCAAAAAGAAAATAATCGAAAGAAACAAAATAATGTTTCGAAGAGAAAAAATAATTAAAGGATTGTATTTATCATTAATCTATTGTAAATGTAATTTTGTATTGGAAATATTTTTGGTTTTGTATTATATAAAATATTAAGTATTAAATATGTAGCACTTGTGTTTTTCTAAATACTAAATTCTCGATATAAATCGAAATATAAATATCTGTTAAGTTTAGTTTTTAAAGATCATATTAAATTTTAAATTTAAATCTTTATATATTAAGTATCAGACATTTAATTATTTACATTTAATCTTTAATTTTTGGTTCACATTTACTAATCACAAATATCGATATATTTTTCCCAGCATTATAAATCATCAAGATGAGCAAGAGATTTTTCAAGTTGTTTTTTAAAAAATTAATATTTAATAAACAGAAAGAGATAACCCAGAAGGTCAAAACTCAGAAGCTGGTACCTTCTGGTTCCTTTGATCTCCTGGGGGTGGCCTTCTGGGTTTTGATCTTCTGGGGCGGACCCAACAGAAAAGAGAAAAAAAGAGATAAAGAGAAAGAATGTTTATACACGTAATTTAATTCTTTCTTTTTAAGTTAAACAATGAAGGGATTTATTATTCAAATAAATTCTTATAAAACTTTATTTCTTTCATTTTATTCACACATAATTAATTTGTCAACAAAGAATTGTGTCGCCAAGAAACCAAAAAATATTTTTAAAGAAATTAAATATTTAAATTATTTTTCAAAAATGTCCTCTAAAATCCATCCAATTTGGAATTTGGAAAGAATAAATGGCCAAAAATTATTTAATCGATTAAAAGAAGAAGAAAGTTTGGTGGAATGTACTGAATGTAAATTAAAATTAAAAATTTTGGATTATTTTGACGTTACAAATTTAATTAAACATTTGTCTTCTTCAACACATTCAGAAGCTAATTATAAAGAAAAATTGAAATTTTTAATTAAACAAAATTGGGGAAATGGAGGAGGTTTTCTTGTTAAAGAATTTTTAATTTAAAAAAGAATTTTTTTAGATAATTTCGATCCCCGTCCATGGGAAAATGCTTATGAAAAATTGGAAGCTTTTCAAATTAATTTTAAATCAAAAGAAATTTCAAATAAATTAAAAGGAGCTTTGGAAACAATTGAGGAAATTTTGGATAAATATAGGTTTGTATTTGGGAATTAAGGGAAATTAAATACGGAAAATTAAATAAAAATCTCGGTACCTCCTCCCCCTTTCTCAAATCTAAAAGTTACTTTTATTTTTCCTCCAATCATTTATTTTTTCCAAGCAATATATTTAAATGAAAATTTTGTGAGGAAGTCTGACCATCATGTAGAAAGAATAACTTAGGAATTCAAACAAGGGGGACGAGATATCCATAAAATACCTAAAAATTAAAAGATTATCGAAATATTTAGCGAAAAAAAAAGAATTTTAAACAAAATTTAAGAGAAAATGTTTCGTGAATTTTCATTCAAAATTACTTATTTTTTCAGTTTGGAACAAATTTCTCTTTCATTTAATGGCGGAAAGGACTGTACTCTTTTATTACATCTTTTTAGAGCTTGTGTAAATAAGTAAAAAATATTTTTTAAATTAAAATTTATTTTTTTTTAATTTTAAAGGAAATATAATAATCAAAAACAAATAAATGGATTTTATATAAAAAGTGATGATGAATTCCCAGAAGTTGTGGAATTTGTTAATTCAATTTCTGAAAAGTGGTTTTTTTAATTTTAAATAAAATTTTGTTTAAATTTTTTAAAGATATAATTTAGAAGTTCTTGAATTGGAAGGGCCGTTAAAAAGTGGATTAATTTGGTTAAAAAATAAAAAACCTGAAATTGTTGCTGCTCCAATGGGTTCTCGTTCTAGTGATCCTAAAGCTGCAAAAATGAAATCTAAATGTGAATGGACTGAAGAAGGATGGCCGTCTTTTTTAAGAGTAAATTTTTATATTTTTTAATAAATTGGCAAAAGTGGGGCGAATCTTTGTTTAGACGTTTATTGGTCTTTTTGCTAGAAATAAATTAGGATTAAATAAAAAATGATTAGGGTTGCCAAAATGGCCCGACTCGGACCGAAAGATCTAGTCAGGCCTAAGATATTTGGTCTGAGAACGACTCGTACCGGCCCGACTCGATAAAATCAAGCCCGAAAAAATGCCTCGGAAGAATTCGGCCCAACTCGAAAACGGCAACTCTAAAAATGATGATCGACCATGTTTGTTAAAGTTAATTTGTTTCCTGGCTAAAATCTCTCCTAAAATAATTTGTAAAATTAAAAGAATTACTTCATTGATTAACTCAACTTTAATTAAAAAATAATATTTCTTTCTTTAGGTCTGTCCATTGTTGGATTTTAGTTATTCTGATATTTGGATTTTATTACGTTATTTATGCATTCCATATTGTTGTTTATATGATCAAGGATATTCTTCTTTGGGTGAAAGGAAAAAAACTGCAAAGAATCCACATTTGAAAATAATTGAAAATGGTGAAGGAGAAAGGTAAATTAGTGGAAGGATATTAATTTACATTTAAAAAATTACCTTAACTTTAAGAAAAAATCTGTGATATTTTTAATTTTCCAAAAAATTTATTTAATTATTTTACAGATATTTCCCTGCATATTTGTTGAAAGATGAAAAATCTGAAAGAATTTTCCGTGAAGATCGGGTCTCTGAAGATGAGTGTGTCTTAAAAAATTAGTTGAATTATCTCATTAATTTAAAGGTGAAATTTAAAAATTGCTCGGTTTTTTATTTTTATTTTGGTGATTTTTAATTATTTAAATGAGAAAAGTTATGAATTTTGCTTGGAATACTAAATTTTATTTTTTTTTGAAAATGAGGCCCGAAATACCGGACTCTCAAAAGCTGCCAGATACCAAACTGAAAATAAAAATGGCCCTCTTTTTTAAGATTAATTTTTTAATCAATATTTTGGGCTGGAGATTCACGAGAAAAGTTGTTTCAACAAAAGGTTGCCCCTTCAACTAGCCATGGTTACTTTATAATTATCGGCATAGGATTTGGGTTGGTACAGGCTTTTAATTTTTGTAAGATTTCTATAAGTAAATTTAGTATTTTCAAGCAATTATCTAAATTTAAGAATATCCTTTTTGTAATTTCTAAAAACATTTTTTGATTTTTTTGTTAAATTTAACGAATTTATTTATTAAAATCATTATGGCAAAGAGGACAATTAATATAAGAATTAATTTCTTTTTGATAAGCCCTATGTTTGCATTTTTTGCATATCCAAAATTGTGCTTCAAGTATTGGACGGCCAGTAGCCACACAAATAGGAGGGCGATTATTACATTTTAGATTGGGGCAAACAATTGAATGTTCTTCAATTTTTGCATCACAATTGGGGCATTCTACATAATTAACACGTTGATCTTTCGGCTCATTTCTTTAAAAAAATATTAAAAAAAATATTTTTTTTTAAAAACTTTAAAAATATTTGCATAGCTAAACTAGCATAAACTTCTTGTTCTTCTTTTGAAATATTCTGCATTGCTTCTAATTTCATAAAAGCTTTGGAACAAACACCATAATATTCAGCAAGATAGGAAGTTAAAGCTTTTAAAATATTGTTAAAAGGAATATTCTTCAATTACCTAATAAAGAATAAACTTCCATAGGATCTAATAAATCTTCATAATTTGTAAGGGTTAAAGCTGTTTTGACTGCCGATACATAATCACTCTTATATAAATGTGAGTGGGCTAACATAAAAAAATGATAAGCTTCCGCTCCCCTCCAAGAAGTATCTATCATTCTAACCTCTTCCATACTTAAATTTTGATCACTAGCTAAAAGACCATCTAAAGCTAATGATGAAGACTTAAAAAATTATTTAATATTTGAATTTTCTTTAAATTTTATTTCATACCCCTCCACTTTCTTCTTTCCTTTTTGCAATTTTTTGACGGTTTTGTTCATAATATTCTTCAACTAAAAGAGCCCCCATTACATAAAGTTTTTTTAAACGAAGAGGGGGTGCTTGTTTTTGATGTTCTGAATTTGCTACCTTTGATTATTTTAAAGAAATTTATTTAAATTCCTTTTCATTTTTCACCTCATAAACAATTTTTGCAGCCTTCAAATATTTCGCCGCTTTTGAATAAAGTTGAGCGATAGCCAAATTTTTTGTTTTATTCCCCACAATTTGATGTGCATATTGATTAAGTAGATTCTCAACATTAGCAAGATGATAACGATCAGAAAGTTCAGCAGCTCGATCCCATTTATTTAATTTAATACAAGTTTCGAAAGCATCGCTTATTCGATTACACTTTAATAAAAATTATTTTTTTGTCATCAAAAGTAGTGTATATTACTTTTAAATAACAATCTACAGCTTGTTCACAAAGTCCATAGCTAGTAAATGTTTCAGCCAATTGCTGTAAATTTGTAAATATTTATTTTTCTTTAAAATATTTATTCTTTTATACATTTAATACTTCATGGCCTTCAGGTAATTCCTGTCCAAGTGTTTCCATTCGAGCGAAATCATCCATCATTAAATAACAACGTGCTAATTCTGAGTAACTTCGAGATTGTTCGTAATAACGAGCGGCACTTTGCCTTTTAATTTAATTATTAAATTTTTGAAGGGTTGTTAATTGGTTGTATAACAGTAGGAAATAAAAGTTAGAGAGTACAGAGTATGTTACTCTTCTCATGTCAACGTTTGACTTTTAGGGATATGTCAGTTGGGTCTATTTGAGTCTTGAAGGGAACATTGATGAGTATCTCTTATTTTTTAAAATTATCCTTTGTAGAACTCAATGTTTGATAACTAAAACTTTAAAAGACCATTTCTGTCTTTCAGCAAAATAGTCCCCAACATGTTGCCATGTTTGTTGTGCCAAGGCATCATCTCCAGGTCCATTTGATGTTTGTAAAATTTGTTGAATTCGGAACCAATCATGCATTTTCTTTAACATATCAATAGCCAAATCTCTTTAAAATTTTAATTTACATAAAATCCTTCTTTAAAAATAATTATTTTTTACCTTCTATCATTTTCAAAATAAATTTTTTCCGCCGTTTCCAAATCACCAAGAAAAACAGAAACTTCAGCTCTTTTTAAAGAATCAGAGTGAATATTTTGTAATCTTTTAAGGAAAAGTATTCCCCCATAATCTTGTAATTTAACAAATGCGTGTTCTGCTGTGTGAAGGTCAAGCCTTTTAAGGGCGTCTTTTGCCAAAATATTCCTTTAAAAATTGTTTTTTATTTGGATTTTTTGTTAAGTTAACCAAAGTTTTGGATGATTTCCTTTCTCAATAAGAGCAATTGCGTCTTGTAATTTGTCAGATTCGAGTGTTGATTTTATTGTTTTAAGTATCTTTATTTTAATTTATTTTTTATTTCAAAAAAATTCTCTTAATTTCTTAACCTTTATTTCAATTTCAACAAAAGAGTGACGACTAACACGATCGGGTTCTTTAAAAATGTCATCAAGCAGAACTAGGCGTACAACCAAATCTTTAAATTGGCAAATACGTCCAATATGAGGAATTGGTTCATCTGTCTTTAATTTTAGAAATTAAATGCCTATATAAAAAGATAATTAAATACTTCAGTTCCTCTAACAATTACAAGTCTTTGTTTTTCCATTAATGCCAATAAATCATTTTTAGCATCATCCCATTCAACACTCCAAACTTCCCTTCTTTCAAAAGTCAAAATTGGTGTAAATATATTTTCTTTGGGTAAATCAATTAAACGTAAAACATTATATTTGCCTATTAAAGCTAATCTAGAACCATCACAATTAATTGTCATTAATTTTGGAGCTGGAATGTTTGACTTAAATGTTGATTGTAATTGGACATTAGGTAGTGAAAAACGATAAAGTATTCCTGATTCGCAGGCCTTTTTTTAATTAAATATTTAAAAGAAAATATATTAATTAAAATTACAATTAAAAAGAAATTAGCTGAAGCAGCTATAGCACAAATGGGATCTGTAGTTACCCCATTAGTTGGTTGTTGCTGCTTTTCTGTACGATGTTCATCTATATAATGAACTCTTAAAAAGAATATTTTTAGAAAAATTTAATTTTCTTTTTTACTTGTCATTCTGGTCTGTGGGAATATTTCTATTTGTATTTCCAGATTTCTGAAATCCTGTAGAGACTGTATTTTCTTGACGTGGAACAGAATAATGCCAAACAATAAAAGATTCTGTAGAGGCAACAATTACCTTTTTAAAATTATTCTAGTTAATTTAAAGTATTTATTCACTAACAACACTAGCATTCATAGCAACAACGTTGCAAGGAACGTTAGTTGTATGGCTATCTACTGGTGTCCCAATACTGTCACAAAGTTGCATTGTAAACTTAAAAAATATGTATTTTTAATGAGATATTCTCAAAAAAATTTTTTATTCTATTAATCTATTAATTTTAATTATTTTATTTTAAAATCAAACTATTAACCGCTCCTCGTAATTCCTCTGTTCTAAAAATTGTCACACAATAATCTCCATAAGATTTAAGTGAACAAAGATTTTGAACATAACGTTTAGTTTTTACTTCCATTTTTGTTTCATAAAATACTAATACCTTAAAAAAATATTTTTTTAAAAATATTTTAAAATAATCAAAAAAACTTCTTGTAAAGAATCCAAGGTTTTATAAGCAAAAACTAGAGTTTGTCCACAATAAGTCCAACGATAAGGGAATTTAATAACAACTAAATAAATATTTGTGTCAATAAGTGCACCAAGTCTATGGCCAGAACTTTCCCAAGCAATCCCGGCAAAATGGCCAGGAGCCAAACGAATGCTTTGGAGACGCTAAAAATATTTTTTTGCAAAATTTTTTACAAAAAATATTTTTTTCTACTTCTCCATAAGCAGAAATAAAATGTAACACATTTCTTTCAGTTTCTGGTAAATCTAATTGTAATCCAGCAACGGCAAACATTGACCCATCTGGTGACCATTGTGCCATAATTATTAAAGTTGAAGGTAAACGGACAATACTTACACCTTCTTTAAAATATTTCTTTGAAAAAAATTTTAAGAAAATATTAACTAGAAATATTTTCATTACACATTAATTGAATATTTCCATTTTGATAGGCAACAAGGAAAGGAGGCCTTCCTTCGGGAACTTTTAAGCGAGAGGCTGCATTATAAGATTCATCACCAGTTAGATTATATGAAGTATCAGCATCTTTAAATATTTTTAATTATTTTAATGGATTTTTGGAAAGTCTATTTATTAGAGAGCAGTTATTTTCGAAATTTTCTCCTTCTATCAGACAATTAAATAATTATTTGTTACTTCTATATTGTTGTGTTAAAGATTGGCCACCACCAACATTAGTAACAATTTTACTTGAGTGTGGAGGTACATACCATTCCATAGAAACAATTACATCTTTTCTGAGATCTTCTAAGTGAAATTATATTAATTAGGTAATTAAAAATTATTTAATTTTCACTTGAAAGTGCTGTCTCTAATTCCATATTTTCAACACAAAGCATTTTAACTTTACTAACAAAATCGCCATATTGACTATATGCATGAACTTCGCCATCAGCAAACCCTTTAAAAAATTATTATTTTTAAATTAAAGTAATAAATGAATAACCAAGTAATAAAAGTGTATCGTCAGTATTCCACTAAAAAGTTAAATATTAATTTTAATTAAATTGACATTTCTTTATAGTTAACGAGAATTCGATTTTTTTATAATTTTTAAAAAATATTTTTTAAATAATTAATAAAATAATTTACTGCAATTTTAGTCAGAGATCCACCAATATCTTTATTCCAAAGACGATTTCCATCTACTGAGCCAATAATTACTTGTCCTATATTTTTTAGAAATTTATTAAAAATTTTATAATTTCCTCCAAATTACCATCTTCATAAGCAATAGCAATTTTCATTCCATCATTTGACCATTTTAAAGAAGATACTGTTGATTTTTGTCTATTATTGACCATTTCTTCAAACCAAGATTCGTCTGGTCTACATTTAAATTATTTTAAAGTTAATTTTTTAAATAACCCGTGTGTCATCCAAACAATAATAACACCAGCATCATCTGTAGAGGCTAATTTTTGATAAACTTCATTCCAACTTAAAACTCTAACTGAATAAAAATAAATTTTACAAATTCTTCTAATACAATATTCATACCACTAGAAGAGTGGCCTTCAAGTTGTTGACTAGATAGCCAAGGATTTAATGACGAGGGAGGATTTGATTTGTCTTTAGAAAAAAATAACTAGAAAATATTTTATTTATTAAGTACCCTGATCTAGATTTAATAACATAACACGCAAAGCTCCATCGCTACCGCCAACAGCTACATAACCTCTATTTAGCATCCAAGAAATACATGTAAATGTTGTTGAACCGGGTGTTTGGATTTGAAACTTGCAATTTAAAAAATAAAAATAAATTTAACAAGGAAAAACTTATTTATAATTTCCATAATTATAATTTAAAATACCTTTCTTGCTGGAAAAACATACATATGATTTTGCATTTTAAAAAATGAAAATACCTTATTTTTATTTATTTTTATTATCTACTTATTTTTATTTAAAATTTTTATTTATTTAATAAATAAATATTTTAATATTCAAAATATATTTAAAATAAAAACATTTAAAATGAAAATTAGATTGTTGCCATGGCTACAATAATGAACTTTTTTATTATTTTTTAAAATTGACAAAAATGTTTTACAAGTGATTTGACATAGTTTTAAAAAAAAAATCTTCTAAATTTATTTTAATCTATTATGTATTTAATAAATCCATTCAAATACACACATTCTAATTGAAGGTTTAGTTAATTTATAATAATTTTAAAGTAAAACGAGTTTAGTCTGAAATAATACAGCAAAGAAACTGATTTGCCTTTAAAAAACTATTGTTAGCCTTGTTGGGACGGTTTGTTGGGAATTCATTTCTTTATTTGGGATTCATCTTAGACTTTTGATCCAAATATCAAATTTTATTTTTTAAAGTTTTAAATTTAAATTAATATTGTACTAGTAACTGAAAGTGCAAAGCTTATTTTACATTTAATAATTTAACTGTATATTTAACAAATAATACATATATGTACTTTCATTTTATTTTTAATTCTTTCGAAATTAAACAAATCTTAGAAAAATTTTTATTTTACCAATTACAATTTTTAAATTAAAAATTAATATTGAAATAAATAGAATGTACAAACAGAAATTGAAAATAAAATTATGGATGCGTATCAGGGGTGGTGCGAGTGCCATAAAATACGAGACACGAGATTCACGAGATACGAGATATTAAGTATATTTATTATTTTTCAAAATTTTTCATACATAAAATTGTAAAGTCGAAAATATAGGGGTTTGAATGGATAATTATTACGGGTGGATTATGAAGGATATTGGGGATTTAGAGAATCAAAGGGATTTATTAAATATCGGGGATTACGGAGAATCATGAGATTTGGAAGGATCAAGGAGAGTTAAAGAAACAGATACCATGGGATTATTGAGTTTGTCAACTGATTTAAGTGATATCGGATAGCGGGGATATGGACACCCGATAAGGAGTCGAAGTTTTTCTGAGCCACTCCATGATGAAGGTATAAAATATAAATATCTTCATAATATCCGCTTAGTCACTAGATAACTTATTAAATTCTCACAATCCATTAATATCTCTTACTTGATGGATTCGCAGATATCCATCCGAATCCTCATATCTATTTAAATTCGCCTTAATCCCAGTAAATCGCACGATATTCTTCTATCCCTTCAGGTCCACCGATATTTCCCGCTTGACCAACTTTATCCCTCTTTCTTTTTCAGCGCCGCAGGCAAAAATTTTGGGATAGAAGGACGTAGCCAAAAAAATTCACCATTTCAGCGCCGAAGGCAAAAATTTTGGAAATTTTGGAAGGCCAATGGGCAAGATATCTTCCTTTTTTCCTAATTCTAGGATCTTAAAATAGTCCCAAATTTTTGACATTTTTTCTAAAATAGATTGAAAATATCCCGTGTCTCGTGGCAAAATACTAGATGGAGACACGAGATACGAGACCTCTAAAAAACACGAGATTTCACGTGATACGAGACACGAGATACGAGACGAGAGCCACCCCTGATGCGTATGTGTTGCAGATTGTTTATATTTCCTTGATCATATATGCATATAAACAAATTTCCTATCCAACATTAGCAATTCCATTATTTTTTTATGTAATTGTTTTAGTATTAACAGTTAATGTATTTTTATTTGTTAAAGTAAATACTTTTGCAGTATTTTTTTTATTTTTTGAAAATAAATTAAAAAACCATTTAAATTCTATAATTAATCTTTGATAATAAAAAACTAATTTTTATTAATTATTAACTATAAGTTCCAAATCAAAGTTCCAAGTGCTTAACGACATTATTCAATAATAAATAGAGATTACGTAGATATTGACGTTAGCGATATTATTTAAAAGATAAATCAAATCCTCCCTCTCACTAAATCCTTGGCGACCTATCTCGTGAGGTAAGTATAAAAACAGCCGTAAACAATCCAGACCATCAGCAACTATTCTTGTCGCAGTGTAATGTCGTCAACAAAGTCAGGTGTATATTTCGATTATTTTAATTTTGTGCGTTACATACATAGTTTTATTTTTTATCTATTTTAAGGCAAACAGCTCGTTGGAAGAGACGAAGTAATCAATGTGATCATATACAATCCGAAAATTGGTGTTAAGTTTTTTGAGAAAGGCTCCCGAATTGCTACAATTTCTTATGATTCACCCTTTATTGAGATATTATTCCCGGGCGATGTCGTTTTAACCGTTGACGAAAAGGTTCAATAAATACTAGTTTTTTAAAAACTATAATTACAGGCTGTAAATTCTGTGAATGACTTCAACATTCTTTGTTCCAAAGGGAAATTGCCTAAAAGTGTCAAAGTAAAGTTTAAACGTGACAGCTATTACCAAATAAGAAAAATAAACACAAAGGAAGTAGTATCAAAAGAAGGAAAATATGAGGAAATTTCACTTGAAGTGAAGTGGAAGCCTGATCTTACAATCGGTATTCTCGTTGAGGAAGTCGTAAGGATTTTTCTTTAAATTTTATAAATTTGAAAATTTCTCTGATTTTAAGGATGGTGTTGTACGTGTGTCAGAAATTGACCCTGGAAGTATAGCCTCTATGCACATAAAATATGGGGACATTCTTACTCAAAGTAAGGATGCGTTAAATTAGACAAAAATACCTTTTTTCAGTAAATAACAAGAATGTAGTCGATAAAAATGATGCTAGGATGAGAATTAGAGCCAGTATTGATAAGGATCATTGTGTAATCTTGAAGGTGATTAGGAAGCCAAAACTTAGTAACCAGCCAGAACTACCAAGAGACGTTTCTTTGATTATGCAACACCATCAAGGATTTTGGAATAAGAAAGAAAAACTTAAGTCAATCGAAGAGAAGGAGGATCAGCAATTACTAGACAACAAAGCCTTCATATGTGAGTTAGAAATTAAAAATAGTTAAACGCAAAACTTTCTATTAATTTTCAGCCAAATCATCAGTTTCAACTGCCATTATAAAAACGGACTCCGATATTAGTGTTGCTACTCCACCGCGCGATGGAAGTTTAAAACAAGAATAGAAGGGAGAATAATAGATGTCTATATGTATAATATAAATTATTCCTAATATTAGTGTAGCTTTCAGTCATTATTCCTTGCGTTCTTTTCTTCTCTTTTCTTGTTTGTCTAATGTAGTAATAAAGCTTGTTAAACGGATATCTTATTCAGTGTAGAGGATATATGCCTAAGTAGGATCTGGATAATTTAGCTAGAATTTTAAATGCAGAAATTCCAAAAGAAGTGAGGAAACAAAAAATTATTTAAATTAAATTTTTAAATAAAGTTGGGCGGTTTTTATAAAATGAATGCAAATACTTGGTCTACAGAACGGACAATTTTTTTAATAATTTATATTGCAAAGGTGAAGACCTATTGGTAAAGAAATCTATATTTTCATTTTTTCTTTAAAATTAATTTAGACAGAATAAAAGAAATATTCTGTGCTCGTCATCCAAATAATCCTAAATGTCTAGGAGTATGTTTTAATTAATAAAATATTTATTAAAATATTTTTTACACTTAAATTAATTCAAAATAGTTTTTTAAGAGGCCAGAATCTCCTGTTAAAAATTTAATCCCCCAAACAACACCTTATAAACCTCAAATTCCAATTGAAGAACCAGAAACAAAACTAATGCCTATTGGCTATTTGGATACTGAAGCTCGTGATGCAATTATTGTAAATTTTTAACAAATTGATTTTTAAATTTTTAACAGATTGATTTAGTAAATTAAAAAATTTCTTTTAAAAGAAAAATTGCCCCAAAAACAGATTATTTACATTATGTTAAAGTAGCAACACCTACATTGTAATAATTAAATAAATTTAAAAAATAAAAAATTTTTAAAGTTGTGGACTTTCGTATATTGGACGAGTAACACCTGCAAATCCAATATATTTGTCTTTTCAATGTCAAGATGTTTGGATTTTAATATTTTAAATAAATTAAATAATTTATTACCGCGACTAATTCTCCCGTAATTTAAAAATTATTTTGAGCATCCCCCAATTTTTAAAAATTCTCCCTGAGGGGTCTGTTTTTTTATTTTAGTAAAACATTCCAATATTTTTTTAAATAAAAATATTTATATTTAAGTAATAGCCAATTGGTGTAGCTGCTCACGAGATTAGGTGCAAATCACGAACATTTAAGAAGGTTCTAGATAAAAATTTTTTTTAAAAATATTTTCCTTAAAGTGATCGTGATGAATATATAAATATTCAATGGGAAAATCCCCAATTTTATGATTTTTTTGCAATTGCAGATCCAAGCAAATTTACTACGTTAGTTTTTATTAAAAATATTTTTAAATAAATATTTATTTATTAACTAAAAAGTTTTGGTGTAATTTATTCCTTTGATTCAATAATGCATTACGGGGCATCTACAGCTTCTTTAAATCAAAAACCAACAATGGTACCTAAAATTGATCCACAATTGATCCAAAAATGGGTCAAAGACAAAGACTTGCTGTTCAAGATATTGAATTGTTGAATAAAATGTATTGCAAACAATCAGGTAATTTGAAGAATTAAAAATTTATTTTAAAGAAGGGAAAAAAGTGAGAGTAATTAAGAAAAAAATAATTATAGAAGAACGAGAATATGTAATATGAAGGGAATACTAATAGTTTTATGTTGTTGGTCCGGCCGGACAACCTTACCGCTCACTTGTTAAGAGCGATTGAAAAAGCAATAAATATAATAATAATATTGTTCACTTTACTGATCAACTGACTGACTAATAGATTGATCCTTTCCTTCACTTATTCTTTGGATTATATTTATTATTGATAGGTGGGGTTGATGGGAAAGTTTTATTAGTATTTCACAATTCAATTTCCGCCTTACATTATATGTATTTAAATTAAAAAACTTATTTTCTTCAAAGATTGTTTTGACACATCAGTTTATTGTGGAGTTTGGGCTCTCCGAGGATTTTGCTCAGTTTACCCACAATATGGTTGGATGCAACAAAATTGTTTAAAATCTTGCAATAATTGTTAAAAATTGTTTTAATTTTTGAAATAAATTTTTTTAAATTTAATTAAATTCTCTCAATTATATACAAATAAATAATTAATTTAAAATTTTTTTTATTTAATTTCTCTTCCATTTTTAATAATAACAGGTAAAGGTGGTGGAGGTGTTAAATCTGATCGTCTAGGTTTCCAACCACTTAAATGTTGACATTTATCATATATTGTAATATCTTCCTCATCTTCTTCATTTTCTTCATCTATTTTTGAATTTCCAAAACGATTTTTTCTTTTTGGAATTTTTCTTGTAATAATTTTGCCAGAACAAGAAAATTCTTTAAAATTGAAGAAAATTATAAAAAAAATTTTTTTAATGGATAAGGTATGATGATGATAAATTTTTAAATTTTTAAGCCAAATAATGGTTAAATTACATATTTTAAAAACATAATTACCTTTATTTATCTGTACTTCTCTTTTAATTAAATTTTGTTTAATTTTTCTTTTTAAATAAACAAAAAATATTAATTCTGTTAATTTTTCTAAGAAAATTAAAAAGAAAATAAATAAATTATTTATTTGAAAGTGTGAATTTGTTGTGTTAATTTGACATAATGATTGAAGGGGGAAATTTAAATAATAATTATTTTGACATTCTAAATAAATACATAATTGTTAAATAATTTTTTTAAAAAAATAACCTTTCAAAAATATTTTTAAATAATTATTTTGTGTTATAATATTTGAATATTTACACATTAATTGTGTAAAATACAAAAGAAAATTAATTAATGAAATAAACATTAAAGGTATCTGTTTAATTTAAAAATAAATAAATATTTTTAAAGAAAAAAAACTTTTAAAAGAATTGTTGGCCAAAACAAAATTGGACAATTCCAAATAATTCCAATAAAAGTACAGACAATTCCAATTAAATAAGTTAAAGTAAATGGCCATAATTGTAAAAGAATATTTAAAAAATTAGGTAAATAAATACAGAGAATAATTGTGTAGATTAAATTAATTACAAGTAGAGAAATACCTATAGACTTTAAATAAAATAGTAATTAATTAAAAATTAATTTTTTATTTGAAAAATTAAATAAAAATATAATTTATTAATTTAAATTTATTGTAGTTTAAGTTATTAAATTAACAATGAAACTAACAAAATTTTAAAATTAATTTCGACTTCTTTTTTGAAAATTTTTTAAATAAAAACTCAGTTTAATTAAAATGTTTTTAGTATTTATTTAATTTATTTTAAATTCTAAAATTATTAAAAAAACAAAACCTTATAAATTATTAACCGCTTTTTCCTTTTCCTTTCAATTTCAGCTAATTTATTAGAATGATTAATTCCAAATACTTTTTTCATTTAAAAATATTTTTAAGTTAAAGAAATAAATTTTTGTTTAAAAAATAAATTTTTTCAATCATCTAAAAAATGTTTTTTAAAATGTTGAATTTTTTGTTTTAAAAATTATCTATTTAAATTATGCATTCAATCGAGGTTTTGTTTTGTATTAGAATGTTTTTTTAAATTTTATAAAGAAATGGAAATTTTAAATTTTAAGATTTGAAATAAAATATTTTTAGAAATTAGAAAAGATATTAAATTTTTAATTAAAGATTTTTAGGGAACATTCATTTAATCGAGAAGACGAAAACAAAAAAACAATAAGTATTCTTCAAAATTCGAAATTTGTACACTTCTAATATTTTTAATTTAATTATTGAACAATCTTCTTCGTTAATTTTATATGTTTCTATTTAAGTATATTTTAAGTATATGTATTTTTGTTTTATTTTTTTATAGTTTCAAAAGATCAACAATAAAAACTTTTAAATTTCTTAAATAAATAAACAACTCACTAAAAACTATTTATTTTTACACCCATTTTTGGCAGTTATTTCCAAAAAAATCAACTTTACAAAGATTAACACAAAAAGGAATCTTGAAAATTCGAAATTTGTACACTTCTAATAGTTTTAATTAAATATTTTCATACAATATACTTTTTTGTTAATTTTATATATTTCTATATACATAATTACATTTTAAATATATTTCGGTTTTATTTTTTATATTTTCAACAAATTGATAATAAAAACTTTTTATGTTTTAGTAAAGAAATAATTAATTTTCTAAAAATCATTTATTTTTACATCCATTTTTAGCAATTATTTTCAGAAAAATTATTTCGGAAAGAGTTCTTTCTAATTTTTAGTAAATTGAATTCTATTATTTTTAGAAACTAAAAATTGTTTTTTATTTACTATTTACATAATTTAGAGACTAAAATAATTCAGAGAATTATTTTTAAAGTAAATTTACTAAAAATAAATCATAACACAAATATTTAGTACAAACATTCTTCTTTCATAAGGTAAAAGCACAGTTGAGAGAATTCTTTTATTTTTGGCAAAAATAAAAAAAAATATTTTATTTTTTATTTTATTTTTTTGCCGAACAGAAAAATTAATTATTTAAATTCTGGTTTTTTTAATTAAAAAATAGCCATATAAAAATAACTGGCACTAAGTCATATTAATTAAATTCAGCTCAAAAATTCAGAAGTTTACTTATGTATATAATCAACAATTCCTTTTACTATCCACTTTAAATATATTTTTAAAATATTGATATATTTAGTAAATAATTTCTCAATTAAAATTATAAAAAATTATTTTGAATTTTAAAAAATTTTCTTAATCAAATCTAGTAGTTAAAAAACAAAAATAATCAAAAATTAATTTAAAACATTTTTGTAAAATTTGAAACTAAAAATCATACCCAGTGAATGAAAATTTAAAAAGTTTTTTTTTCAATTAATTTATTTATTAAAAACAATGTTTTTACAAATAAAAGAATTTTTAAAAATTTTTAAAAATATGTAAAAAATTTTTTCCAAATTTTTTTCCAAAAAAATTTCATTTAATTTTTCTAAAATTTAATTTTCAAATTAGAAATGAAATATTTATTATTTTTAAATTTATTTAATTATTCTTTTATTTTTTTAAATTTAATTGGAATTTTAAATTGTTATGAAGAAGAAGATATAAAAAATAATAATCAATTTTTTGTTTTTCCAATTATGCAAAATAAAAATATTAAAAAATATTTTGAAAATAAAGGTTAATTAATTAATTAATTAATTTTAATTTAAAAAATTAATTAATTTAAATTAAAAATTAATTACAGCTTTAAATAATTTACAAATAAATTTACACAATTCCCGTCGTTGGGGAAATATTTTAATTGGAACTAAAGGTTTTTTTAAAATAAATTATATATTTTTGCAAAATAAATTATATTTTGCAAAACTTAGCGATGATAAGGCTTACCAATAAGAAAGATTTGGGATAATAGTTTTTGCAAAACTTAGCGATGATAAGGCTTCCCAATAAGAAAGATTTGGGATAATAGTTTTTGCAAAACTTAGCGATGATAAGGCTTCCCAATAAGAAAGATTTGGGATAATAGTTTTTGCAAAACTTAGCGATGATAAGGCTTCCCAATAAGAAAGATTTGGGATAATAGTTTTTGCAAAACTTAGCGATGATAAGGCTTCCCAATAAGAAAGATTTGGGATAATAGTTTTTGCAAAACTTAGCGATGATAAGGCTTCCCAATAAGAAAGATTTGGGATAATAGTTTTTGCAAAACTTAGCGATGATAAGGCTTCCCAATAAGAAAGATTTGGGATAATAGTTTTTGCAAAACTTAGCGATGATAAGGCTTACCAATAAGAAAGATTTGGGATAATAGTTTTTGCAAAACTTAGCGATGATAAGGCTTCCCAATAAGAAAGATTTGGGATAATAGTTTTTGCAAAACTTAGCGATGATAAGGCTTCCCAATAAGAAAGATTTGGGATAATAGTTTTTGCAAAACTTAGCGATGATAAGGCTTCCCAATAAGAAAGATTTGGGATAATAGTTTTTGCAAAACTTAGCGATGATAAGGCTTACCAATAAGAAAGATTTGGGATAATAGTTTTTGCAAAACTTAGCGATGATAAGGCTTCCCAATAAGAAAGATTTGGGATAATAGTTTTTGCAAAACTTAGCGATGATAAGGCTTCCCAATAAGAAAGATTTGGGATAATAGTTTTTGCAAAACTTAGCGATGATAAGGCTTACCAATAAGAAAGATTTGGGATAATAGTTTTTGCAAAACTTAGCGATGATAAGTCTTCCCAATAAGAAAGATTTGGGATAATAGTTTTTGCAAAACTTAGCGATGATAAGGCTTCCCAATAAGAAAGATTTGGGATAATAGTTTTTGCAAAACTTAGCGATGATAAGGCTTACCAATAAGAAAGATTTGGGATAATAGTTTTTGCAAAACTTAGCGATGATAAGGCTTCCCAATAAGAAAGATTTGGGATAATAGTTTTTGCAAAACTTAGCGATGATAAGGCTTCCCAATAAGAAAGATTTGGGATAATAGTTTTTGCAAAACTTAGCGATGATAAGGCTTACCAATAAGAAAGATTTGGGATAATAGTTTTTGCAAAACTTAGCGATGATAAGGCTTCCCAATAAGAAAGATTTGGGATACTAGTTTTTGCAAAACTTAGCGATGATAAGGCTTCCCAATAAGAAAGATTTGGGATAATAGTTTTTGCAAAACTTAGCGATGATAAGGCTTCCCAATAAGAAAGATTTGGGATAATAGTTTTTGCAAAACTTAGCGATGATAAGGCTTCCCAATAAGAAAGATTTGGGATAATAGTTTTTGCAAAACTTAGCGATGATAAGGCTTCCCAATAAGAAAGATTTGGGATAATAGTTTTTGCAAAACTTAGCGATGATAAGGCTTCCCAATAAGAAAGATTTGGGATAATAGTTTTTGCAAAACTTAGCGATGATAAGGCTTCCCAATAAGAAAGATTTGGGATAATAGTTTTTGCAAAACTTAGCGATGATAAGGCTTCCCAATAAGAAAGATTTGGGATAATAGTTTTTGCAAAACTTAGCGATGATAAGGCTTCCCAATAAGAAAGATTTGGGATAATAGTTTTTGCAAAACTTAGCGATGATAAGGCTTCCCAATAAGAAAGATTTGGGATAATAGTTTTTGCAAAACTTAGCGATGATAAGGCTTCCCAATAAGAAAGATTTGGGATAATAGTTTTTGCAAAACTTAGCGATGATAAGGCTTCCCAATAAGAAAGATTTGGGATAATAGTTTTTGCAAAACTTAGCGATGATAAGGCTTCCCAATAAGAAAGATTTGGGATAATAGTTTTTGCAAAACTTAGCGATGATAAGGCTTCCCAATAAGAAAGATTTGGGATAATAGTTTTTGCAAAACTTAGCGATGATAAGGCTTCCCAATAAGAAAGATTTGGGATAATAGTTTTTGCAAAACTTAGCGATGATAAGGCTTCCCAATAAGAAAGATTTGGGATAATAGTTTTTGCAAAACTTAGCGATGATAAGGCTTCCCAATAAGAAAGATTTGGGATAATAGTTTTTGCAAAACTTAGCGATGATAAGGCTTCCCAATAAGAAAGATTTGGGATAATAGTTTTTGCAAAACTTAGCGATGATAAGGCTTCCCAATAAGAAAGATTTGGGATAATAGTTTTTGCAAAACTTAGCGATGATAAGGCTTCCCAATAAGAAAGATTTGGGATAATAGTTTTTGCAAAACTTAGCGATGATAAGGCTTCCCAATAAGAAAGATTTGGGATAATAGTTTTTGCAAAACTTAGCGATGATAAGGCTTACCAATAAGAAAGATTTGGGATAATAGTTTTTGCAAAACTTAGCGATGATAAAGCTTAATAATGTAATAAGTTAAGGCTTAATGATAAGGCTTGCAAAAAAATTTTTTTAAATAACCCGTGTGTCATCCAAACAATAATAACACCAGCATCATCTGTAGAGGCTAATTTTTGATAAACTTCATTCCAACTTAAAACTCTAACTAAATGTAAATATGAATTTCAAAAATTCCTTTAACAATATTCATACCACTAGAAGAGTGGCCTTCAAGTTGTTGACTAGATAGCCAAGGATTTAATGACGAGGGAGGATTTGATTTGTCTTTAGAAAAAAATAACTAGAAAATATTTTATTTATTAAGTACCCTGATCTAGATTTAATAACATAACACGCAAAGCTCCATCACTACCGCCAACAGCTACATAACCTCTATTTAACATCCAAGAAATACACGTAAATGTTGTGGAACCGGGTGTTTGGATTTGGAACTTGCAATTAAAAAATGAATTTAACAAAGCAAAATTTATTTATAATTTCCATAATTATGTATATTTTATATTTTAAAATACCTTTCTTGCTGGAAAAACATACATGTGATTTTGCATTTTAAAAAATAAAAATAATTATTTTTAGTATTTTTATTTATTTAATAAATAAATATTTTAATATTCAAAATATATTTAAAATAAAAACATTTAAAATTAAATTTAGATTGTTGCCATGGCTACATAATGAACAAGTTTATTATTTTTTAAAAACAAATGTTTATCATTGACAAAAATGTTTTACTAGTGATAATACTAGAATTTAAAAAATAAAAATCTTCTAAATTTATTTAAATCCATTAATAAATCCATTCAAATACACAAATATATGTAAGTGTTCTAATTGAATGTATTTTTAAAAACTCGGAAAATTTTCCCGAGTCGGGAGTCAGGATCGTGATACCCGAGCATCAATAATACACGTACTTTCATTTTATTTTTAATTCCTTAAAAATTAAAAAAAAATTTAGTAAAATTTTTATCTTACTAATTACAATTTTTAAATTAAAAATTTAAAATTACTATAAAATAAGGAATATGTTAATTATGTACAAATAGAAATTGAAAATATAATTATGGATAATTTATGGATGCGTATATATTGCGGATTAAAAATTTGTACAGAAATACATTAATTTTATACATTTATTTAGTCAAGTCCTTAGAAATAATTTTTATTTAATTAATATTTCTTTGATCACTTAATATGCATATAAACAAATTTCCTATCCAACATTAGCAATTCCATTATTTGTTTTTGTAATTGTTTTAGTATTAACAGTTAATGTATTTTTATTTGTTAAAGTAAATACTTTTGCAGTATTTTTATTATTTTTTGAAAATAAATTAAAAAACCATTTAAATTCTTCTTTTAACGCCAAACGATGTTCAGTACTTTAAAAAAAAAATTTTCAAAATGAAATAATTTTTTAATCAAATACCTAACAATAAAAATAGCCGGTACTTCAACAGATGAACTCAAAGAAGAAGCTACATTAATTATACAACCAATTATTTGTGATTGTTCTGCAGTGAAATTAGAAGAAATTTGATTAAAAATATTATAAACAATTAATGTAGAAATATATCCACCAATTTGTATTCCCATAATTAAAGCAAGTGTTTTATATATAGATTTACGTATTGAACAACCTTTAAATAAATTTAAATATATTGGGTGAATTAGATTTAAAAAATAGGTAGATTTGACAGGCTAAACATTAATAACATTAAAAATTCATTTTCCAACACAAAAAATAAGCTTGGTCCTAAATGGTTTTCGAATTTTTTTGGAACTGTAACTCGGTTTAAAGTTGAGTTCCAAAAGAAATTTTTTATTCAACTCAGCATTTCAAGTTCTTTCAACTGACATATAATTTGTGGAGGATTTTGGAATATGTGGGCTCAAAGCCAGTTTTAACATTTTCTTTTATTTTTTCAATATTTATTTTAATTACCTTTTCCTTTCTTCTGATCATAAATTAATTTAACTAGCATAAGAATATAACATCCCAAAGTCATAAACATTAATAATAATTGTGTCATGTCGAAAAAATTTTGTCCATCAATTCCAACTAAATCAGGAAAGAAACATTGGATTTGTCTTTAAAAATATTTAAATTTTAAATATTTAAAAGAAAACATACAGAAAAGGGTCTTGTATTAATGAACGAATTACAAAACATAAAAATATAAAGGGAAATGATAAAGAAAGTGAAAATAATAATTTTAAATAATTTTTGTCACTTCGTGTTGAATACCTAAAAAATGATAATTATCCAAAAAAATTATTTTTATTTTTATTTAATTACCAAATAGGGCAAAATATCCCCAACATTCTGTCAATTCCAATAACCAACATTAAACTAAAAACATTTAGACAACCACCAATTGGAATTATTTGAATTAAAGCACAAACTAAACGGGGGATTTTGCCTGATCCAGGTAACATAAAAACAAAATAAGGCAAGATAATTTGGATTTTTGAAAGGAGAGAACAAAAAGCATAAATCCCAATTAATAATTGACAAGTATTGTGTAAACGTCTAAAATTAAAAAATAGTTTCTAATTTTTATTTAATTAAATTATTTTCTTAATTAAAATTTTATTTAAAATATGATGTTTTTAATTAGCTTTTATTTTAAATTTTTGGATATTTTAATTCCGAAATACTCTTACATTACAAAAAATTTTTTTAAATTGTTACTTTTGTTTAATTGTAGCAATAATTAAACAAGCAAATAAAAAAGTTCCGATTTGATCTACACAAGTATTTATTGTCCAAGTTGCTCTAGCAAGTGGAGATTCTCTTGGATCCGACATTTTTTTAAAGGAAGAATTTTTTAAATAAAATTTTTAAAATTTAAATAATGAATGAATAAAGTTAAATATTTATTATTTATATATCGTGAAAGAGGAAGTAAAGGAATGTTGCACTTATTTTAATTTTAAATTATCATGAAACTCACCCACATAAATACAAAAATTATTTAAAAATTACCAAGAAAGTATTAATTATTCATTCATCTAAATATTTTTAATTAAACTCTAATTTTTAATCCCAATTATTTTGTTTAATTTATAAGTAAAAGTAATCTAAATATTTTAATACGTCAAGCAAAAACTTATAAAATATTTATATATTAAACATATTTTAATTATTAATTTATTAAAATATTTTAATTGGCTACATAATTTTATTTTATATTTTAATAGTTAAGGTTCTCTTTTTCTTACTGTATTTTTAATTAATTCTATGCAATAGTTAAGGAATGACAGATTTTTATGGCCAGTTTTTGGCTTTTTCAGACCTGACAAGGAATAAAAAGTTAACATTGACCTTTAAATATTTAAATTTTCAAATTCATCAAAACTTTTAAAGCAACTTTTTAATTTTAATAACAAAGCGAAAAAGTCATTCTTTACACAAAGACATAAAAAAATTTTTAAGATTTGTTAGTAGAAATTGTAGAGAGGTACGAGAGACGAAATCTCGATCGAAAATTTCAATGAAAAATCAGTAAAGCCCCCTACACGTTATTGTCATTTAAATGTTATTGTCATTAAACATATATCATTTGGATAACATGACTTTAACTAAAATTAACATTATGTAAACATAGTTTATTTAAGGAAGAAAGAAACAGCAAAAAATTATTAAATTAATTTAACAAATTTTTTCAAAATAATTTAAATAAATCATTTAATTTAGTAATTCTTCTCCTTTTTTTACAATTTTTGTTGGCTTCTTTCCATCCGCAAATCCCATTCTACCATTAACCCAATTAAGAGAAACACAACGATTACGTAAAAATACTTCTCCCATATTTATATACCGTATTTCCTATATTAGAGCCCCACCCTCTGTTAGAGCCCCACCCTCTAATACAGCCCCACTTTAGAGGATAGTTGAAAAATAGAGCCCCACCCTTAATTAGAGCCCCACCCCAAATACAGCCCCACCTAAAAAATATTAAAGGAAAAAAATATCCCAATAACATTTTAGATGTATTAAGAGAGTTAAGGAAATAAAGGGGGATATCGATGATATCGTGATCATGGAGGAGGAGGGATCATGGGGATATAAGGATGATAATGAGGAGATAATCCCGATATCCGTAAAAATAACCTAATATCGCCTATATTCCTCCAAATCCCTCCTATTATCAGCGAAGGAGAAGTTCCAAAATTTCTCTGGAACCGGTTCCAGTTCTGGATCTGCTTTTTTATTTTCTTCAGTTTCAGTTCTGGAACCTGTTCCAAAGCTTCATCAAACAAAATCATTCATATGCCTCATAATACCCCCAGTCACCTAATATTTCCTTTAATCTGTCCAAATCTAACAATAGTTAATAATTAATCTAACTCTCATTGAACTATTGGGACTATTTTATTATTCATTGCTTAAAAAGTTTTTATTTTTCTTGAAAAATCGAAAAATAATCGATTCTCTTTCGATATTTTGCGGTTTTATTGACCAAACCTTCGGCTTATCTCTAGTTCCAATCAGACATGCACGAAACGTTTCGTTTCGTTTCGTTGTTTCGTTAGTTTCGTTATGTTTTTTCCTGTTTCGTCTCGTTTCGTGACGAAACACTTTTTAGTTTGTTTCGTTTCGTTTTGTTAACGAAACACCTCTGTTTCGTTAACGAAACATTACCCATTTTTTAGACCAAAATATTACCCAAAAACTGAAAAATTTTCCCATTTGGTGATCAAAATTAAAAAAATTTTTGCCTGCGGCGCTGAACTCTGGATTTTAAGCGCCTACGGCGCATAATTTACTATATTTTTTTTTAATTTCTCGTTTGATTTGGTTTTTTTAATACGCAAAGCTCAAATTCTATGTTAGATTAGGCATATAGAATCTATCTACCTCTTAATGCCAATCAGGGCAGGCGCAAGAGTTTCAATAAAGTTAGCAACTGATGGCAATGATCATGAATATGGTTGCCTTTGTCGGGAATCAGGAAGGGGTTTGGGGGATAGTAATTTCCGACAAAATTAATTCCCGATTTTAGGGAATCAGGAAATGGTCGTCAGGTCCCTGATATACACATATGCTCAACACATAATTCGATTAAAGTTGATTTGGTGGAATTAAGGCTGATATAGTGGAGTATGAGTAACCTGGGACCACAATTTAAGATCCCGCCAAGCTATTAGATCAATTATAGGCCATAACTGGCCTATTAACGTGTCTAAAATCTAATATTTAATAAAATAAAACCGTTTTTATTAAATTTTTTGAAAGTTAAAATGTTTCGTTTTGTTTCGTTTCGTTTCGCTAAATTTTTACTGTTTCGTCTCGTTTCGTTAACGAAACGATTTTAAAAAAATTTTGTTTCGTTTCGTTTCGTCTGAAAAAATTTTGGAGTTTCGTGCATGTCTGGTTCCAATGGATAGTTAATAAATGGGATTTTATCTCAAAAGAGGGTTGAAAAATAGAGCCCCACCCTCAATTAGAGCCCCACCCTTTAATACAGCCCCACTTCGGCGGATAGTTGAAAAATAGAGCCCCATGGGGCTCTAATATAGGAAATACGGTATTTATTATCATAGTTCATTTCTTCATTTGTAACAAAAAGTAATAAACATTCATTTCCATATTCTGTCTGAAAATAAAAAATTTTTAAAATTATTTCGATTAAAATTTAAAAAAACAGAGGTAGTTCTCCGATAATTGTAATAAATTTTGGGATTTCTCTAACAGAAGAAATCTGTTATTAAATGAGGGTAACATAAAAGTTAAACTACTATAATGAGTTCCGAATGTAATTAGGTCGGTATTTCTGTTAGATACTAGACAACCTCCTAATTATTTTTATTTTAAATAAAGATAAAATTTTTTTAAGAACAAACAGGAGCAATATATTGATATGGAGCTAGTGTAATTGTTGTTGTGATAATTTCTTTTGGATTTGTTGAATGTTTACTGCCAATTTTAGGTCCCCCAAGCATAAAAGTTATTGTTGGTTTTTGCTTTTTACATTCGGTTATGTTGAGTTTATAGAAGCCGCCAATCTTTATTTAAAATTTAATTTTAATTTTGTGTTTCCTCACTTCTTGTGGAATTTCTGCATTTAAAATTTTAGCCAAATTATCCAAATCCTCCTTTGGCATATACATATAAAATCCATCCTCTACAATTCTAAACATTTTAGATTTTGTATTTTTCTTTAAAAAATAATAATTATTATTTTTATTTCTCAATTAAAACAAAACCAATTGTTTATTTCCACTCAATTCAATTTTGTTTATCTCAACAGACCATTGATTACTTTCAGCTAATTCAATATATTTATATGGGGGAATACAATTTTCAGTATTTTCCTCGCCAACTGTAAGTGTCCCAATATTTTGATTGTCTATATCTGCCCCTCTTTTTTTAAAAAAGAAAATTTAAAAATTAATTCGTTTTTAAAATAATAAGTATTAAAATTAAAAAGTATAATTAAAAAGTATTGAAATTTCCTTACGTGTTTGTTACTAGAGATCGAGATCTCTGAAAAGCCTGGACCTGTTTCTGGACTCTGGAGTATTTATTAACCTAGGCCAGATCCTGGGCCTGGGGCCTGATCCTGGGCTTGTTATTCAGAAACTCCAGGCCCATGATCTGGCCCAGGTCAATAAATACTCCAGAGTCCAGCTTGATCTCTATTTGTTACTATTTTTATCTAATAAAGAACTTAAAAATTTTTAATTTAAACTTATTTCTAATTTTTAAGTGACAATAAATAATCTTAAATAAACCACTTAAAACTTTATTTTTAATTAAAGCCTCAATACTTTTAATTTTAAATTTAAATATTTAAAAATTCACTTACATATCATTTATCGTATATATCGTAACTATAGGTTTAGATAAATATTTAGTTAATAAATTTAATGTTGTTGGTATTTTATTTTTATCATTTAGTAAAGGTGCTAATCCAAATTCCCCATCAATTGGGCAATAAAAGTCCTTTCCAGTTGTTGGGATATATTCTATTGGAATTCCTTTTATTGCCGAAGCTATTGTTATATTCTTTATTTTAATTCCACCAATCTATTTTTATTTTTAAAAAATAATTTTTAATTAATTAATTACCTCAATATTATCCAAATAAAGATCACTTTCTATTGAATTAATTGAATCAACAGAAAATGTTAATGTTTTATTTAAGGAATGGAAAGAAGAAGATTCTCTTCAAAAAATATTTAATTAATTAATAAACACTCATTTTTTACAAATATAAACTAGGGTAGCACCAAGTCCCCCGAACCTCCTACCCCGATTATTTTTTGGCAAAAATCCCGACCCAAACCCCGAAGGCTCTACTCCGGCAAACTCCGAAACCCGACACTCCCGACCCCTAAGGCCCTAGTATAGACTATCTAAACTAATGTATTAATAACAACATTCCTTCTAAAATATCAATTTAAAAATATTTTAATTAAATTTAATTTGA